AAACAATAATCAAAATCATCAACATACACAATTCACAAAATAAAAAAAAAAGCCAGAATCACACAACAAAAAAACTAAAACTAACATCACGCACATCATCACACACAAACACAACAGCATAAACACAAACAACTATCTCACACAACACACATCATCACTCACCCATAACCTAAACACACAACAAACACACACAAAACAAAAAAAACACCACACAGCACCACGCATCACACACAACACACCCTCTCACACACAAAAACACAAAATGCACAGCCTCAAAATGTCGGAATACTCCTCCATTCGTACAGCTTGCATCCACAACGGTCGTCTTCCGCTAATCATAATACAGCGCAGTCAGTCTTCAGGCTTAGAGGCCTTCAGCCATTATACTCCCGACGTAGCTCCGCAACAGCCAGCAGGCACGCCGCTCCACCAGAGGTCGCAATCAAGAGTTCCTTCTCGTACTATCAAGATTTACTGCACAGTCAATCACAGTAGGGTAAAACTAACCTGTCTCACGACGGTCTAAACCCAGCTCACGTTCCCTGTTGGTGGGTGAACAATCCAACACTTCGCAATTTCTGCTTCACGATGATAGGAAGAGCCGACATCGAAGAATCAAAAAGCAGCGTCGCTATGATCGCTCGGCTGCTACAAGCCAGTTATCCCTGTGGTAACTTTTCTGTCACCCATGTCCCAAACACTAATAGGACATGGGATCTCTAGGCCAGGGTTTCCCCCAAAACAATCCCGCAATAGGAATAGTCTCAAGCAGGCTTATGCCCTTGTGCTCCACGCGTGGTTTCCTTCCCCGCTGAGCCCGCCTTAGGACGTCTGCGTTAATCTTTAGCAGTCGTGCCGCCCCAGCCAAACTCCCCACATCCATAAATAAACCGCTGAGGCGCAGTCATAGTGGTCTCGCACAAACTCCCCACCTCTCTTCATAACCACCCCCAGCACTTCTCACATGCTAGAGTCAAGCTCAACAGGGTCTTCTTTCCCCGCTGATCAGCCCAAGCCCGTTCCCTTGGCTGTAGGTTCACAATACAAGTCGTAGGGACAGTGGGAATCTCGTTGCTCCATTCATGCGCGTCACTAATTACATGACGAGGCATTTGGCTACCTTAAGAGAGTCATAGTTACTCCCGCCGTTTACACTCGCTTAAACTTAAAAAGTCATAACTAAAAGTGCACTGGGCAGAATTCACTTTGCGTCCTTTCGCAAAGCTATGTTTTTAGTAAACAGTCAGATTCCCCACAATAAACAGTTCTAGCACGCTAGAGCCAATCCTTCTCCCAAAGTTACACATCCATTTTGCCGACTTCCCTTACAACCTTTAAATAAAACGCTTCCGTGGCAAACAGTGGACACCAGATGCGGTATAGGTACGACACATACACTTCTTTTTCATCGGAACAGGCACTCCCCACATCAGTTGCTTCGTCTCTTAACAATCCACAACAAAAATCACCCTAGTTCTGCTATCCTAGAGTAAAGGTTACCCCCATCCGTCATCATCAAGTCGCCTCAAAGCATACATACACACAATCGTCAATGCGTCTCCGTATAAACAGTCGATTCACCCCTAAAAATAGGGAACCCTCGTCCACATCCTAAATCATTTTCTTGTTACTACTACCAAGATCTGCTCATATCACCCCTCCACCCCCGCTCACGCGAGGACCTTCATCAGAATAATATCGCCCTCTTACTCAGCAAAACCACAGCGGCATCAGATAGCAATTCAATCCCTTCCATTTTCTCCAGCGCCCAATTCGGTAGGTACGTTGCAACACGTTTCTTAGCGGATGCCAACCTCCATGGCCACCGTCCAACTGTCAAAATCAAACCGCCAGATTCACTTCCCTTGCATAAGACTCCTTAGCCGCAAAAAAGGTTCATCCCTCCTCGCACATCATGCTTACCACAATATGCCCACTAGCAACATCATTAAAAGACATCTTCAAAGTTTAACGACAAAAGTCATTAGTGCTTTACAACATCTTACATAAATAATCAGTCGCCGCCGTCCTGAGAGACATTTCAGAGGGAACCAGCTACCAGATGGTTCGTTTGGTCTTTCGCCCCTATGTCCATATCATGCCATCGAGTTGCACGTCAGAATGGCTTAGATCCTCCAGAACACTTTCGCATCCCTTCAATCAATACAAACATAGTTCACCATCTTTCGGGTCGGATCATCACATCCAATCGCTCTCGCTCAACAATGTAATCATCCTCTCCTTGGTCCGTGTTTCAAGACGGGTGGGAAAAAAACCCCCATTCACTCAATCCATTTTCATTTCTCATCATTAATCTTTTCACACTTCAATCACTCTACTTATTCGCTATCGGTCATCATCACATATTTAGCCTTGGATGCACATACCACCCACATTCAGGCTGCACTACCAAACAACCCTACTCATCACAAAAAAAGACAACACTTACAGGCCTATCACCCCCTAAGAAAACAGATTCCAATCCGTCCTCAGCATCGTCATCCTAATTCACAACTCACACACGTGATTACCACACAGGCTCATATCCTTTCACTCGCCGCTACTCAGATAATCCTATTTAGTTTCTTCTCCTCCCTTTAGTAATATGCTTAAGTCAAAGGGGTCCACAGGCGCACAAACACCTAATTCAGACATCCGCTAAAAAAAACGGCATATCGTCCTCCAGCACGTCCTTCATCGCAGATAATGCCAATCAATCCCATGGATAGAGAAAGAAAAACTAAAAAACTAAAAATCCCCACAAAATAATCAAATCAACATACTGATCCTGCTGCTGGTTCTCCAACAGCAGCCATGTTACGACTTATATCTTATCTAACACGAAAGACTCAGACCTCTCAATCTTCGTCCACTGCGTCATCTTAGATAGCGACGGGCGGTGTGTACAAAGGACAGGGACACATTCAAAATAACTTGTTCAATCATTCTTACTAGGAATTCCACGTTCAGAAGCCCATTACACAGCTTCATCCCTCACAGTAGCCCACATAGGCATCTATCGTAGTGCGCGTGCCGCCCGCTTCATCTCAGGGCATAACGGACCTGTTCTGTTCCATTCCTCCCTTGCCCCATAGAGCACAGTCAAAAAGGGTCTCACATCTTACGTAACTTAATCCAAAGCTCACGCCATCCATTTAAAACGGCCATGCACCACCGCCGTAAGCATCATGTAAAAACACTCTCACACTCACTTCAGAACCGGTAAGTTGCCCCGCGTTGAGTCAAATTAAGCCGCACACTCCACTCCTTGTGGTGTCCTTCCGTCAATCTCTTCAAGTTTCACTCTTGCGAGCATACTATCCCCAGAACCCACATACTTAAGATTTCTCTCGGACAACACTAAAACAGTCCCGTCCAGTCGGCATCGTTTACTGCTAGAACTAAAACGGTATCTAATCGATTTCGATCCTCTAGCCTTCGTCCTTCATCACCACAAAAGTCCAAGAACACAGCCTTCGCTTCTCTTCGTCCAGTCAGGGTCTTCGTATTTCACCCCTCGCCCAACTATCCAGTGCCCCTCGTCCTCTGCTACAATAAAACTACATCCACTAAAAACCATAAACATCACTCAAAAGACATACAAACAACTACGGACATTTTAACTGCAGCATTCACCATAGACACTACTGGAGCAGGTATTACCGCGGCTGCTGGCACCCGACTTGCCCTCCAGTAAATCACAACAAATTTATACTTGCTAAACATCTTACTTCTCATAACCGCCTCCCCAATAAGGATTAGGCAAGTTTCGCGCCTGCTGCCATCCTTGGACGTAGTAGCCATCTCTCAGGCTCCCTCTCCGGAATCAAACCCTGATCCCCCGTCTCCCGTCTCCGCCTAGTTAGGCCATTACCCTAACTACCAGCTGATAGGCCTACAACTTACTCGGTACGCAGTAGCTACAAACTACCACCCCCAGAACTTACCTGCAGTTTCCCACAGTTACATCCGGGCTCCCAATCAAATCATCGTACTATCACTGTCTGATCAGGTCGTGGAAAGAGAAGTACTTTCCATCTGCAAAGTATGACAGTCCAACCAGGCTATGGAGAGTAGCCATCCCTGTCATCATACTAGTCATCGCTATAATCGCCTACGGCTTTATGGCGATTTTGTCTTTATTAATCTTACATAATGAACTCCCCAGCCTTTTCGAATCTTAAATAAATAAGTTCTACTAACTACCAGTCTACATCCGAATAGATACCTCCTGTCGATTCAATTATCTCTTCTGCCTACACCGCTTCCATCATTCACCTCATCTTTCTCAGCTTTTTCTCGTGTAGATCTGGAAAAGACTCCATAAGGCTCATAGTTCTGAATACGGTTCATGTTGATTGTACTGTACTTGAGCCTAATCAATCTCACCTCCTCGCCCTTCTCTTCTTTCAATACCCTTGCAAACTCCTTGATCTACTCATATCCTAACCTATTCTGTTTTCTAAGTCTATGCTCGATCCTCTCCCAAGGTGTCCTTCTGAGCCCATTTCTTGGGATCAACCTGTAGAACTATTCCAAGTCCAGACCTTGGCTCGGAACTCAATAAAACATTCTAATTCGGAATGGACCACGAAACTTGCAGAAGTTTGCATTCTGACTCATCAAAGAGCTCATAATTATAGTGCATTGAGTATCAAGCATAATCAAAATATTTTGGCAATTGCTTTACATATTTTTTGAGCAGCCTTTTTATTTTTCATAGTAAAATTAAACAAAGATTGTATAAGAAGACCTGCTCAATACTCAAAGCACACACTAAACTCGATGAAGACATTTATTAACATCGGTATTTATGAACTCTTTAGTTTTTTTTAGAAGGCTCTTAACTGTGGAGCAGGGAATTCAAAAAGCACGTTTCCAAGGTTTGTGTAGGGGCATATAAAACCTGATATGTCGAATATGTCTCAGATATATTTTCTTTGTTTCATAAGAAGTTTTTGTTTGCAATGAAGCAAAGCCTTGAAATGAAAAAGCCCATCGAAGAACTTATAGCAAGCCTAGTTTACCTTTTTAGTTCGATACTAACAACGCTTTCCAACAAGTATATACTATCAAATCTTGGATTTAAGATGCAGTATCTCTTAGTAGGAGCTCAGTCATTAACTATAGTTATGGGACTTCTTATTCTAAGAGGTGTGGGATTGATTGAATTTAGGCTGACGAACTTTAGAAAGTGGATGGTTCCCTCTCTTTTATTGACAGTGATGATATTTTCTGGGTCGAAATCCCTCTACTACCTTCCGATATCCTTGTACACTTTATTTAAAAACAGCAGTATAGTTGTAGTTGCACTACTTGAACAATATCTATTTAAAAAAAGAATAGGCGGGCTATCTTATATATCATTTATACTGATGATTATTAGTTCTTACACTGGTAATTCCTCAGACGTTATTCTTAACATTGGATATGTCTGGATATTAACTAATGTTTTGTCTACGACAGCCTATGTATTATCTCTGAAGGCTGTGGTTGACATGAACAGCAAAGCAAAAGCCGAATCTGTATATTATTCGAATCTTATATCATTACCGGTTCTCATTTTTCTTTCAATGCTCTTTGACGAAAAAGATGTAAGTGTATTTAGCTTCAAGGTGCTTATGTGGATATTGATCTCATCACTCTGTGCATTCTTTACATCTTTTAGCACTGCCTGGACACTGAATGTTCTTTCTTCCACTGCTCTGAGCATGATTGGTGCATTGAACAAGAGTCTTGGGTCTTTTGCAGGAATATTTGCGCTAGGTGAAGTTATCAATGGCCAGAAGATATTTTCTTTGCTTCTTGGGTCTCTAGCATCTGCCATATATTCATATGACATCTCGTTCAGAAAGAGAAGCGAGTAAAGGATAAACAGTTGTAAATTCTTATGTATCTTGTATTTTGTTTAGTATTTAAAAGCAGGGAGGGTTTCCCCATCATGAACAGGTATGAAACAGCAGACCATGACTATATGCATGCAAAGGATTACTTCAACAACTATAAGTTTGGATATATTGAAAGAACTACGAAGACTCTTCTTCTTCAAAGCTTAAGACCGGAAGATAGACAAGGCGAAGACCTGCTTACCATACTGAATCAAAGTAAATCCCAACTGAAGGATGTTAAGTCTATTGGACAAGAGGCTTCTAGATCTATTTCTGAGCTATCTGAGCTTATTTATGATGCCAAAAACAAGCTTTTGAAGTATGAAGAGATGTTAAAGTATGAGATAGAAAGAGAAAAGAGCTCTAAGGAAGAGTGTGCCCGTCTCGAAAGCCTTGACGAGAATCTAAGGATTTACGACGAGCTTGTATCACAGTTTGACAGAGGATGTAAAGAGATGCAAGAGAATGCTGAGAAGATAAATGCTCTTAAGAAAGAAATAGAAATGTTGAGCACTAGTGAAGCTGAAGAAGAACTGAAAAGCATTAAGAGCCGAAGAGATAAGCTTTCCGGAAGAAAAAAAAGACTTTCTCTGATAACAATGGAGAGCTACATAGAGGATTCATATAATTGGTACAGAAAGGCGCTTGAGTTCATTAGAAATGTTTTTGGTATAGATCTTGTCACTGTTGAGCAAGAAAACAATGAAATGTACATGAGGCTTAAAGTCTTTACATGTGAAGTAGGAATATTTGTGAGGGATGGTCGGATGATCGAATCTAAGCTATACGGTACCAGTAATGAGGATCTGGCCTTGTTGTTTCCATCATTAAGCAAGCTTGCCATATCTATTAATGATCCACGTATATTACTTATGCTAGTTGCAGATAAGTGTAGGCCATCTAAGGACTGAAACCTTCCTATTACTCTTTGAATTAGCCTCTGATAAATCCTTTTGAATAAACAAATAATGATAATTAGCTGGATGTTTGGGCTGGCGGCAGCAGCGCAAACCTGCATGAAAGACAGCGATTGCTTAATCAGGTCAAGGCCTGATGTTCATTCTATGTTTTGTGTTAACAATGTATGCCAAAGGATCCTTCCACCGGGAAAGCACTGCACCAAGCCTACTGAATGCGCTTCATACTCTTTTTTTGGGCCGCTAGCCTGCACTGGAAAGTGTAAAATCGAAAGTGAGTGTGAATATGGTAAGGATGACAATACAGACTCTATGTACTGCTGTAGAAGCATTCCTGAGGGAAAAGAGTGCAATCCAAATAGGCCCGGACCTCTCAGCGGATGTGATATAACGCAATCCTGCCTTATGGGGAAGAAGGGATTCTACGAGTGTGTTCCTGATAAATCAAGCTCTTGGATATTTGGAGTGTTTCTATCGATAAGTGGGAATATTGGGATAAACATAGGGATAAATCTCCAGAAGAAATCATACAAGCAATCCCACATAAGACTATTTAACATGAATCTACAGACATTTTATGTGGGATGCTTTATATATGGCTTAGGAAAGATTTTTGGATACTGCTCATATATTTTCGGTAACCAGTCTCTAATGGCAGTTCTGAGTGCAACAGGGCTTGTCTCGAATAGCATATTCGCACCGATGATTAACGAAGAAGTCTTTACCTGGAAGGACTTCTGGGCAATATTTTTTGCGTTTGCTGGAACAACTCTTATAGTTATGAATACAACGATTAGCAATAGAGCATACACCTTGTGTGAACTCATGAAGATGTACAGGCGCATAGAAACATTGCTATGGTTTGGCTTCATTATTCTTGTAATCATAGTTCTTTTTGTATTTGTTAAATATATAGAAATTAATAGCAACTGGGAGCTTCCTGATGAAAATATGACATTTTTAAGAAGAGAGGGCGTTTGGTTCGATGAGGAAGGTGTTATCATGAAATACACAATGGTTTTGGCCTATGTGTGCCTGTCCTCATTCATAGCATCCTTTACGACTTTATCTATTAAGAGCTTAGGAGAGATGATCGACAAAACAATTGCAGGTGACAATCAATTTATATTTCTTACAACATATTTCTTTATCATGGTTCTCGTAATCTGCACGTTTTTTCAGATATATTGGCTCAATAGAGCTCTGAGACATTACGATGCTTTACTCGTAATCCCGATGTTCCATGTGACGTGGACTCTCTTAAGCATATTCACGGCAGGAATTTACTTCAGAGAATTTGAGCAATACACCAGCTACCAACTGGGCATGTTTGCCGGGGGAATAGGGCTAATATTTATCGGCTCCATCTTTCTAGGAAGCAGAATAACGAACAAAGCTCGAATCAAAACCAAAAGCATCGGCACAGGGCCCAAAAAGATACTAAAGAACCAATAGAACCCAATCTATCCTTGTAAACTCCATCTGAAACTGTTTTGGGTATTTATGATTCGATGATGAAAACAAGTGCATTTCAAGTATTTGGATGAAAGATGGAGACATTTACATTGTAGACAAAATTGTTGGGCATCGAAGGAGGAGAGGCGTGGAACAGTATCTTGTGAAATGGGAAGGATATCCAGACTCAGAAAATACATGGGAGGATGAAGAGAACATCTTCTGTAAGGAGCTGATAAGGGAATACGAAGAATCCCAAGAAAAATCAAAAAAAGGCAACGATCGCGTGAATAAGAAAAAAGCTGACCCTAAGAAACTTAGTAAGAAGAATCCGTCAAGAAATGGAAGAGACATCACTAATGACTGGGATATGCTTGTTGATAGAATTATATCGGTAGAGAAGAACGGACCTACTCTTACGGTCTGGCTACTATTCAAGGATGGGAAGAAGGACTGTTTTCCTGCATCACAAGTCCATTCGAAATGCCCATTACATTTACTTGAATACTATGAAAGCAACCTAGTTTTCTGCGAAGACGGAGTAAATGATACCAAGTAAAGTTCTTTATTTTATATATGTAGTGCTTGATTGTGGCTTAAAGGAGTTATAACTCTCCTATGATCCATTTGCTTGCTCTATTTTTGAAATTCTAAATGATGGAATAAGTTAGAAGTATAGTACATCTTGTGCCAAAAGAATTGCTGATAGAATATGTAGCACCTTTCTCAATTACACAGATGCTTCCTCTCTTCAGAATTATTTTGTCTTGCCCCATTTCTATGCATGCTGTTCCTTTGATCATGAAAATTGAAAAATTACAGACTGCCTGTTCAGGTTTTATGAATGCTAGGTTGTTCAGAAACAGGACCGCTGTTTCAAGCATGCTTGATGTTACGAGAGGTTCAAAAGCACTTCGTCCTCTGTATAATCCAGATATGTTTGTCACTGCAACTTCTTTTCCGTCCGAATTGTAAATTGTTTCTCCTTTATATTCGTATATTTCTCTAGACTGGATCATGCTTTTTCTTACTACAGATCTTTCAGGCTCTTTTCCAAGGCTTTGTAGCCTTTTCCTGTATCTATCCCTCATTTCCTTTGCAGGGCTTATTCCTTTGTTCTTCGATACGTCTTCCGATGAATCATTGCTATCGTTGGTACCCATACTGTCCTTTTCTTCCATTTCGAACCCAGCGGTGTCAGGCCTGTGGCAAAAGTCATTCTCTTCCTCTCCAATCTCATCATGATCTTCATTCCATACCTCCACCTTTCCGAATGAGTTTGGAGGTTCTTCGTTCTCAAGAATACTGTTTGTTTCTAATGACTCTCTGCAAGAAGGAATGGAACCATCTTTAGGCCTCGCCGATAAGCTTTCCCTAATAGCTTTTATGTCAAACAAAGTATCGCTCTGAGTATTTGGATCATCGTTTTCATTTCTCTCTTCTATGGTATCACTTTTATATATTGAGCTCTCTTCTATCTCTATTGTAGTATCATCCTTAAGTACTGATTCTGCAGTCTTCCAGTAATCATCGATGTTCTCGAGATTATCGTCGTCCTTCATCACATCCAACTTTGTTCCTGGATCCAAAACCCTTTTTTTGTATGATTTCATCTTCTTATTCAGCCTACTCGCCGATTCATATGTCTTTCGCATCACCTGAGGGCTAAACATTTTTGGTGTTTTGGGCCCAGAACTAGTCTTCCAGAATGGCTATTATTGTTCCTGCCATGCCCATAAAAGATACCCTGATGTTTATCGACATTGCTGTGAATATCACCGACAAGCTGCTGGCAAAAGACGAAGACTCCATCGAAGACGTCATTAAAAGATGCAAGGATGGCAAGGTCTTTCCGATATTTACCGGCCTTGATCATCATACAAGTAAATCCTGCGTGAACCTGGCGAGAAAATATAAAACAGTGTCAACTGTGGGGATTCATCCCACGTCATCCTCAAAGTATAAGGACGTCGATGGAATCATTCCATTGATCGATGACGACACCGTTGTTGCAATAGGTGAATGCGGCTTAGATTACGATCGTCTTGAGTTTGCGGATAAAGCTTCCCAGAAAAGGATTTTTAAGTCCCAGCTGGATTTAGGAGGAGACTGCTACTTTCTCCATTCAAGATCTTGTCATAGAGATTTTATGGAAGCTATTTCTGATTACAGGATAAGAGGTGTTGTTCATAGCTTTACTGGAAGCATAGAAGAGGCTAATGAGCTAATAAAAAAAGGACTATTCATAGGAATTAACGGATGCTCTGTAAAGACTTTGGAGGGAGTAGATGTTGTAAGAAATCTCCCTCTTGATTCTCTTCTTATAGAGACAGACTCTCCATATTGCAAGATCAGAAAGAGCTATGCTGGATTCAAGTATGCCGCATCGGATTTCAGTTATGAGAAGGCTCTAAAGAAAAGAAACGAGCCTTGCTGTATTGTGCAAATAGCTGAGATAATAAGTAATGTAACTGGGAAGGACTATAGCTATGTTGTAGAGACCGTATTTGGAAACACAATCAGGCTTTATGGGGACTTGCTGAGAAGGTCAGTGGAAGAATGGGGGCTTTGAATGGATCATGCGACTCGAGCTCTAGCATATTTAAAATTATTTTTAGGTTAAAAATTACCCCACCCTGAAGATGTCTTTCTGCAAAAACTGGGCCTCGCCATTTCTGAACAGCTTATGGTCAGAAACATCTGAAACCTGGCAAGAAAACCAGGAGGACTGGAGAATTGTCGGGACCAACCCGTTCAAGAGAAGGTCGGAAAATGCGTGCAAAATAGAGCGCAGGATTGACATTCCATCTAAACAGGCAGCCGATAATATAGAGAACTCATTTAGATTTATGTCTATAACACCCGAAACTCATTACTACATCATACAGTTTGAGAGCAAAAGGCTTGATGTTGCGTTTGTCGATGTTAATATCAACGTCAAAAAAAATTCATATGTGATATTGGAAGCAGACAGAGGGGAGGACTGTGGGATTGTGGTGGGTGTAACTACGAAGGAGAAGCTTGAGAAGCTGCTTAAGAGATACGATGACATTTCTAATGAAGTCCAACCAAAGAGAATATACAGGCTGGCCACGCTTTTAGACCTTGAGGCATTGGAAAGAAAAAGAAGTATGCAGACAAGGGCGCTAGAGTTTTGTAGAGAAAGGGCCATGTTGGGCGGACTGGATATGGAAGTTGTCGGATGTGAATACCAGTGGGATCTCAACAAGATTACTTTTTATTTTGCCAGCGACGAGAGGGTTGATTTTAGAGAGCTGGTAAAGGAGTTATATAGAGTGTATAAGACAAGAATATGGATGTGTGCCATTGAAAAGTCAAAGAATAAGTATTTGAAGGAACTTATCGAACTTTAGAGCCTTCTTTTGGTCTATGCCCCTGTAATTAGAAACCCAATAAAAGTATTCTTATATATTAACTTCTTCTCTGATAAAGAGTTTACTTTTCTCCCATGAATCCAAAAACAGAAAATCCAGAATAGAATGTCTTGCTATTTTTAATTCTTGGATTGATCTGGCGGTAGAATAATCACTTCATTGATTCTCAGGATGCTTATTGCCGCCTCAGTTGCTGCCTTTAATGACTTCATCTTGTTCATGCTAGGCTCGATTATTCCATGTTCGAAATTGTCTTGGATCCGCCCGGTTGTCACATCAATGCCCAAAAATTTTGAGTCTGAAGACTTTGCGGACTCCTTGCTCTGGGAAGACATTAAGCTTGCTACGATCTCATTAGAGTCCAGCCCTGCATTTGTGGCTAAGATCTTCGGGATCGATAGGAGCGATTCTGCATAGCGATGAATGGCGACATGTTCCTTAGAATTGACAGTGAATGCAAATTTTTCCAACATCAAGGACAATGCACATTCAACAGATCCTCCTCCAGGGACAATGTTATTGGATTCAAGTGTACGCTTCAAAACACAGATGGCGTCATGTACTGACCTTTGCATCTCATCGAGAAGTTGGCTGTTTGCCCCTCTCAATATTATTGATGCCATCTTCCTTTTGAGTCCATTGATGAGTATGCATTCTTCTTCTCCAATTGGTACCACCTCAAACTTATCTGCAGACCCCAAAGCTGTAATGCTGTCTGTCCCATTTAGGTCTGAAATTGAGTTTACTAGGCCTGTTCCTGTAGCCTTAGCAATTACAACAAGATCTTCTTTTTTACATCTTCGAACTCCGACAATCCCTGCCTCCAGCAAGATCTTGGTGCACATATCATCGATCCCTCTTGTCGTAAGAACCACATCGGCCCCGGAGTCGATAATTGCCTTGACCTGCTTCTTCGTTATTTCCAATTCCTTCTTCCTGATGTCTTCCAATCTATTGGGATCATCTACAACTATGCTTACGGTTAGTGGATTCTTGTATTTCTGAAGTCCAAAATCAATGCAGAGGATCTTAGGCTTTTTGATTTGCTTCTTCATGAAGTTAGAAGCCAGAGAACAGTTTAGAGCATATCCTTGATACAAGAATGACTCCTTCATAGAGCCTCCAGGATGCTTCAAAATGTTGATGTCCTCTATTGGATACGTGTTCTTCTTATTTTCCCCGGTAGATTCAATGCATTTTAGCGCATCAATGACAATTCCACAGAACAGCTCGTTCTCGGAATTGATGACCTTACTAGATATACTTGTTTTTACAACGTTCTTTAATGCCTTGGGTCCTAAGTTCAAGGCACTTTTGGATATGCTCTTCTTAATAAACTGCACACATTCATTAAATGCCATCTTATATCCGGAAACAACAACCGATGGATGGACTCCAGACGCTATAAGCCCAGCTCCCTTTTCAATCAAACTCGCTGCTATCAGAACAACAGATGTAGTTCCATCGCCAACCTCATGATCTTGATGTGTAGCCAGATCCACAAGAATTTTGGCTGCAGGGTCATCAACCACCATATTCTGAAGAATAGTTGCCCCGTCATTCGTAATGCTAACCTCTCCCGCCGAATCAACACACATCTTGTCTAATCCTAGAGGCCCAAAGCTTGTCTTTATTGCATTGTATACCTTCATCATCGCCTTTGCATTTCTTTCTACTGCTGATATTCCGCTGTAGCTTTCGCCACCTGACAGGATATCTGCTGTGGAAATCTCCTTGTTCATATAGGGTAAATTTTTCTCGAAATTATACATCTTTGAATTCGAGCAGAAGCATATTCATATCTGGCGTATATATCATAGCCCTACAGTACAACGCCTGCGCTTGGCATTCACGACATCTCTTAAAAAGAGTAATATTTCCAGATAAAAAATTTACCCTGATGTGGTCCAAGATTGAAGAGAACCAGACAGTGGAGATGACGGTAAATCTGAGGAGGATATGCTCCCGCCTTCCTTGGACAAGGAAAGCACCAAAGGCTGTCAAGATGCTAAAGAGGGAGATACAGAAGCACTTCAGGGAAAAGATAGGCGTTGTTATAACCAGTGACCTCAATAATTTCATACACTCACGTGGAAACAAGAAGGTTCCACATAAGGTCAGGGTTAGAGTCACAAAGGAGGCAAGTTTGAAGAATGCCGAGGAGAATGTGCTGAAGACAGATTTGGTCGTAGTTGGCTCTTTCAAGAATCTTAAGGAGGTTATTGTCGATTAATAAAATCGAACATATTGCTTTAGTTCCTATGTATTTAGTTTCTTAAGAAGGACATGGATAAAAGCTTCGTGTGGACGCCCTCAAAGATCCCCCCTTTTAAAAGCGAGATCTAGGTAGTGACAAATTATGGTTTTGCACGATCGAAAATCACTTATTCTAAATTCGAACCCCTTAAAATAAAGTGTAATGATCAGATTGAATCCACACAGTAGCTTGATCCATGGAGTAGCCGAAATTTTTAGGAAGTATGTACTGAACAGGACTTACTTATGCTTTCTAATGTTTCCAATAATTTTCATGGCAACCTTTGCAAACATCCTGTATGATTACATACCCTCGGCCATAATTCCTAAAATAGCAGAGCACATAAAAGCAAATGATCTTGATCTCCACATGAATTTAGTCTACGGGTTTTTCTTTTACGGGGTTCTTGCTACGATTTTTGAATATTTCCCTATATTTGTGATGGCTTTGATAATACAGGACATATACAGAGATTGCTACAGAGATGTTTTTATAGAATGCATGTCATTGGAATACAATACATTCCATAGCATTTCGCCTGGAGACATGGAGAGCAGAATATATAGAAAATGTAAGGCTGTTGGAGAAGCCATAGATGTTGTGATTCCCACACTCATGAATTCTGCTATATTTGTTCTGGTTGCCATGATTGATATATATAGGAGCTTCGGTGCATTGGTGTCTTTAATCTTTCTTGTGATACCTGTATCTTACATCTCGGTAACTATCTTTCTGACATCAAAGAGGAACCGCATTAGAGGGAAGTACAATGCTGCAAAGGACAAGTCTACAAAGAAGCTTGGCGATATTTTGAATAATTACGAAGTTGTAAAGTCTTTTGGTCTTGAAGAAAGAGAGTCCGAAAAGTTCTGTGCTTCTCTGATCGATAGGGTATCAACAGGGACGCAATACAGTTGTTCAGAAAATATCATTACATTCCTGCAAAAGCTCTCTTCGGTAATTCCCCACATCGGAATTCTGTATCTTTCACTCAATACCAATATTTTGACATTTGACAAAGCTATCAAACTCAACAGTCTTCATTTTATCCTTAAAGAAAGGCTGACAGAGTTTTCCAAAGAGTTTACAGAGCTCTACGAGTACTACTATGATTACTCAACAACCACCTATGAAAGAGAAGAGGATGAAAGGAATCAAATTGACATAAAGGAATTCAGCAAAGACATAGAGGTTAGAGATATGGGAATCAAAAGAGGCAATAACACTATCCTGAGCGGAATCAACTTCACGTTGCATAAAGGGGAAAAGCTGGCTATTGCCGGGCCAAACGGTGCTGGAAAGTCCACTTTTATCAATTCACTTCTGAGGTTCCTCAACTATTCCGGTGAAATCCTTATTGATGGGATCGAGATGCGCAAGTACACAAGAAAATCTACAAGGCACATAATGGCATATGTGCCCCAGGACAACTGTATTCTTGACGACACAGTTCTCAAGAACCTCCAATATGGAAACAAGGACATATCTTTTGAAAAGATCAAAGAGATTTGCAAGAGATATGGAACCCATGAGGTGTTTAGCAACCTTGAAGGGGGGTATTTAAAAGAGGCGGGGCAGCAAGGATGCGAGCTGAGTGTTGGCCAAAAGCAATACCTAAGTTTAATGAGAGCCATAATCAAGGACTCTCCTATTTTCATCTTAGATGAAGCAACCTCCGATGTTGATTATAAAACAGAGATGGAGCTCATCAATTATGTCATGTCAGTTCTCTCTGACAGAACAATAATAATGATAGTCCATAACCACTCTTTACTCAGCAAGTTTGACAACATCCTCTTCTTAAAAGATAAAACAATGAAGGGATACGGAAATGTCAAGGAGCTACTCAAGTCGTCTGAAGACTTTATCGATTTCTACCTTGGAGAAGATCCCGCCTCCGATACTGGAATTCAACCCTAAGGTCTAGGCCTTGATAGAGTCCAGACTTTTGAATAAAACCATTTAGCAAATATCAGTGGGTCACACTATCACGATTTTTATTTTACACCTCCAGCTGTAGAGACTCAACTTCGTAATTGTAAACAGATAGCCAGTACTTGTGTATCATAATGAATGTGCAGAGGATAAAAAAATGGTAGAAAAAAAGATTGTCGAAATATCTGTCTGTCATTAACCCTATGGTTTTTGATCCAACAAATGAAGCTGCATTTGCAGTTAAAAAGCATACTGTTGATATCACTAAAGTTCCATATGCCCATATCTCTCCATCTGTTTTTCTAAGTCTTTTGACCTGAAATACCATGTATAGGAAGAAAAAGAGTGGATTTAAGACAAAGAAAGGAATTGAAGCAATTTCTTTTGTCGAGGCGGTTAGCCCCGTAAATATGACAGTACCTATCCCTACAGAATAGATGGCTGTGGATATTTTGAGCAAAGTTGCAGCTCTAAACCCAAGAATTCCCGTAAACATATCTATAGTTATACTCCCTAGAAAGAGAGAAAAGAATCCCGAAGCGTAAAGCGATAGCTGGATGGATGTAAGAAACAAATGTGTTTGTTTTGAGATAGATTCCCTAAACCCCACAAGTACTGCTTCTAGTGCAGCAGATCCAAAATACAGGTTAAAAAACACAAGCATTTCTTTGCGTCCTACAGAAGAACACAGGGCCTTCACATGTCTGATCATCCTTACAGCAGATAGCATAACCACAAACAGAAGAATTACAGTTGTTGGAGAAGACACCTTGGTTTTGAACAGAAGAAATCCTCTGCTTGTGTTTTTACAAATCTCATTGCTTAGATGTTGGCACATCGGAAAGTTGGACTCTGTACACACCTTGTCTATTGGATGCATTTCTGTTTGAATAAACAAAGCGAGTTTTAAGAGAATTGGGCTCACACTCTTATAACCCTCGAGATCCCAACCCCAAATATGTCCACAACAAAACAAGAGATTCAGAACCAAATGGAACATGCAGACAACCTATTTGAGGAGATGAACAAGAAGATGGAGGCACTCAAGGGAAAACTTTTGAGCCTGTCTAAGATGGTTGATGGCATCAACAAGAAGATCGAAGACATTTCTACAGACTCGATAGCTTGAAAATACGTTTCTTAGTAAAATTAAAATTAGCATCTATTTTATTTTTGAAGTTGGATCTCATTTGATTCTTCTGCACTTTCCTCCCCAATTGCCTTCTTTTTAACATCTTGGGAATAATGATGCTCTGCATTATCCAGCAAAGACTTCATCTCTCCGAATTCTCTGAGATTTATCTCAGGTTGAATGCTTCTGAATCTATCGTGGGCTGCTCTCATTTCTAGTGAAATAGTCTGGCTCATTGGATTTTTCCACATTGAAACGCATTTGAGCAATTTGACTCTTGACTTACTTCTGCATATCTTTCCGGTATTCCTCTCCGCAGATCCCTTTTCACGCTTTTTGGCCCCTCTCTTGCATGTTACTTTCAATGGATCTGGATTCACCACCTCTACCCTTCCATATTTCCCTTCTTCTATCTCCTTCACTCCCATCAGTCAAACAATGGGATTACAGAGAATCCGTATTTGTGATCTAAACTATTGAAAGGCCAGAAAAGCTGTATACTGTAATGGTCAATAAATATCAACAAGCCTAGCAATGCTTGGATATTTGATGACCTTAAAAAATAATCCCTACAAACATTGGAGATGAAAACAAAAGTGTTCACAACATTGACCGAACGCCAACTGCTTGAAGAAATGAACGAGTCTCTTACAAAATCTCCTGTATCAACTAGAAGCGCAGTAAAGGCTCTAAACAACCTATTTTACATGTTGAGCACAAGAAGATTGTCTGAAGCAACAATTAGAAGCGTCTATGTTGCGCTTTTAAAGGGATTCCAGTCGAAGGACCTCTACTTGAAGCTCTGTATATACTCTGCCATTGAGAAAATGTCTAAACTTACTGATGAAGGCTTGGTTGGAATCAACATACTAATGAATGATTTAAATGGAAAGATCCCTGAAAATACTAAGGCAATGACTTTGAGAACCTTATTTTCTATTGTACCCTACGAAATGGTTTATGATTTTAGAAAGTATATAAACCAGGCTTTTGTGTCAACTTCAATGGCCAGAAGAGACATGTCTGTTGTTGTGGTTTACAGATTGCTTTGTAGCAATTTTGTGCAGGTAAAGAAATGGCTTGAGGGGATTGATCTTACTGGAAATCCTTTGATGGATTACCATATTGCTAGGTTTCTAGCTCAGTCAAAGAGGCTTCAGCTGAGCTCTATTGAGAATCTCAGGGGGCCTGCAGGGATAGTAGGAATCAGGATGGCAGCAGATATGCTAAGAGAAAATAGCGAGGCACTTGTTATTTTTAGAAAGTTTCTTAACTCGAAATTTTGCGACGAGGTTGTGTTCATGGAAGCTGCAAAGGTGGTATCTGGGCTTAGTGAGGAGTATGGATCGCAATTTGTCGACCAAACGATCCAGTCCTTACGAATATTTCTTAGATCTACCAACATGATTCTACAGTTTACTGCCATGAGGATTATCTCGCAGCTTGCACAAAAATATCCTCAGAAAGTTTCTGTTGCTAATAAGGAAATCGAGGATCTCGTATCATCTGAAAACAAATCTATTTCGATGTTTGCAATTACTTCTCTGCTTAAAACAGGAACGGAGGAGACAATTGACAGGCTTGTGAACTTGATTCCGAGTATGGTTCACGATATGAGCGACGGATTCAAAAAGATTGCAATTGAGACGCTAGAGTCACTGAGTGGCCTTTTTGAGTCGAAAAAAGCATTATACATCGACTTTCTGGGAACATCACTGCTTCAAAAAGGAGAACTCGAATTCAAGAAATACATAATTGATGTTATCTCAAGAGCTACAAGAGATGATGATGCAAGAGAAAAAATCCTTGATATTCTTTGCGCCTATATTGAAGACTCCCAATACTATCAGATAACGCTAGACATCCTAGGGATATTCGGTAGGGAGATTCCTAGATCAAGAACACCTGGAAAGTATGTTGTTCATGTATTGAATAGACTTGTTTTAGAAAATAACCATGTAAGAGCAGGGGCACTGCAATGCCTATACAATATCTCTTCCATTGTTTCGCCGTCAACAGTTGAGAATGCAATGAGAAGATGCCTCAATGACCAGGACGAGTCAATTAGAGAAACAGCAGCCTTTCTGTTGAGAAATATGAGGTTGGCAAGGGCATACGAGCCCTTTAGCCTCGATGAGCTTGGAGATCTCAAGGCCCGTGTGCTTCAGCATATAGGAAAGCCTTGTGAGGGCAAAGAGATCGAAAAGGACCCCTTGATAAAGAACTGTAGAGAATTGGTTCTTACTGAGGCTAATACAGACGTACAGATAAAGGTTGTTAAAAGAATTTATGAGGATAAGCTGGTGCTTCAGTTTTCATTGAAGAACAATCTTGAGGGAATTCAGATATGTGATGGGATATTAAATCTTGCCAGCTCTGATTGTGAGAAGAGAAGCCTGAGTATAAAGATCGACCAGATAGATCCGTTGGGTTCTATTTCCGTTGAAAGGGAATGGAATTTAAAAGAAGGATGCGTGATTAATGGTGCATTTGATTACACCATCTGCGTTGAGGGAGATATGTCTGATACTGAGACGGATTCCATTTCTCTTTATCCCTTCCAGATAACTACTCTGGATTTTGTAAGACCCGTTAGGATAAAGAAAGTCCCAGGAAAAAAGAACGAGATCACGTTCAACCTCCAAGGAGACATTTACGCTGCAGGAAAGAAAGTTTTGGATCTTTTGAACATGAAGATAATAAGCCAGGAGACAGAGAACAACACAATGACAATTTTGTCACATGGGGAGTATTATGAAACACCGATTGCCATACATGTAAATCTGGCTTATAATGTAGCCTGTAAGTGCATTATTGAAGTATATTGCGATAATGAGCACATGGCACAGAAGATTACCAAACTATTCGATTGATTAAATGCCGTCTTGTTGCATCTAACCCAAAACTTTCTCGGCTTAGGTGGTGTCGCCCCTTAACCCCGGGCTTTCAGGTATCAACACCGAAAATATATAAATTATCGTATGGGAATAAAGATTTAATGGTCTAAAATTGGAAGATGACCATATAGGATGCTGTCGTCAAGCACAGACCCATCAGGAATGCATATCTTACTTTTCTCATCCGCCAGTATGATAACGGTTCCCTTAAGAACAACATTCTTGCCGAATATAACGTTGCCACTTACTGTTAGGATGTCCAACTCAAGAATATCTGGAATCCCTTTGAAACATTTCTCATAGTTTTCTATTTTTGAGAAATTCTTTCCAATAAGTCTGATTGCCGGACACGTCTTCGGGACTCTTGATGGATGAAGCTGAAGCGTCCCATTCTTCTCAACAAATAGGTTGCTTTCAACAAGAAATAGATCAGAGCAGGTCTTCACAGGTAAGAATCTAGATCGCGGAACAACGACACCACAAGAGTTGGGGAAGTATTTGATTGCAGACCCTATAGCTGTCTCCAACTGAATAACCGTTTCATCTCCTAATGTCTTCTTGTTCTCGATAATATCCAAATCAAAAAAGCCTTTTTCTAGCTTTTTCTTCATATCCTTTAAATTTATCCAAATATTGTTCGTATTGAATATTGTGAATTTCTTGAAGCTTGTAAACTCCGATTTCTTGCTTGATGGGACCTGGGCTATTTCAAGAAGTCTCAATGCCCCCTTATATTCTATAAGGGTTCCTCCTTTGACATCTGCACGTGTCTTATCAGTCACCTCCATAAGAAATCCCAGATCATTGGTAGCAAAATACTCCAGAAGCTTCAGGTCTACTGTGGAAGCCAGGTTGTCAATGTTAGACACGAAAAGGTATTCATACCCATCATTCAGAAGCTCCTCTAGCATCCCACTATTCTTTAATGAGTAAAACAAATCTCCATGCCCTGGTGGATACATTCCCTTATCTCCGTATTCAGATGAGACAGGGAGTAATGTTTCCGACGAGATTCTTGGAAACTTGCTTTGGGAAAACTTCCTGATTCCATCATATCTAAATATGATCTTGTCTGTCATCCCTTCGGTATTGAACGAGTTCATCAGTATCAACGGAACATCTATGTCGTACTTTGAATTCAAGTATCTGACTTGCTTAACAATCAGATCTATGAAATTCTTACCATCTTTAACAGATATGGCACTCTTTGGCCCTACACATCCCATCGTTGTTCCAAGCCCGCCATTAAGTTTTAGTATGGCTAGCTTCTTCAACAGTTCTTTGGATTTTTCTGTTGGCCCTGGTATTTCATCGTATTGAATAATCCTATCTTTTGGCGACCTAATTGTTTCCCATACTATCTTCTCATTTCTTGTTCTGAGATATCTTTCAAATAATCTGTGGAATTCATCTAAGTCCCCAGGATTTGGATGATTCTTCTTCATCTTTTCTAATGTTTCTTTCATTTCCTTCAAAAGCTTGCAGGTGCACTTGTCGTCGAACTCATCTAAGAATCTATGGACATCTTTGTCCTCATCACCGGAGAGTGTGGCCTCTTTGTTCTTATTATCTTGCATACGGCCTTTCTTCTTCACTTTATTTATAGTAAGTAGATTCATTTCAATTTGTCATTTCTGTATCTACCATTGGCTGAGAATATTATGTGTTCCAATTATTTTAGAGCTATCAATAATGTGTCAACACTATAGAGGTGGTTGGACCCAAGGCAGTTGACAAGTATGTTCTAGTTATATCAACAAAACTTGAGGGAAAGTAAACATACCCAATTAAAAAGTTTTTTTTTCATGAAAGACAATGAAAATTTCTTTATTGGTATAATTAGAAATGGCCATCATTTCTTCTTTTTTTGTCACCATCTTGCTCCTTACTTTTGCTTTTGTTTGAGAAGTTAGGAGTTAGTATTGAATATGAAGGGCTAGTAGGTGAGTATGAAGGGCTAGTGGGCGAGTACGATGGACTAGTAGGTGAGTACGATGGACTAGTAGGTGAGTATGAAGGGCTAGTAGGTGAGTATGAAGGGCTAGTGGGCGAGTACGATGGACTAGTAGGTGAGTATGAAGGGCTAGTGGGCGAGTACGATGGACTAGTGGGCGATAACCTTCCACTTAAATCTCTAGGATATGCCATTTCAAGGTGTGTAGGACTCCAATTACCACTGTTGATTGATAAAGAATCAGATGAAGGTGTACTAATCATCGGAGTAACAGGATCATTGGGCTTGAATACAGGATTTGATAGTGGAATAGCTTTATCCAGCTTCTTTACATCCAACATAATTTCAACATTTCCAGTCCCCATAGGTGCTAACTGCCCCATCATAATATTCTCAGTTATTCCTCTACATAAATTCTTCTCTGATACCAGTGCAGCATCTAGGAGTATCTCTACAGTTTCTTCAAAAGAACTTCTTTTTAGCGCACCAGCCCCAGCCTTGTTGACACCATGCCTGGTTATACCACACAGATACCCCCTCATTGTCATTACATCAGCAAGCAAACTCATGTGCCTATAATTGACATATGACCCGTTTCCATCTATCACTATTGCCAGTTCCCTTAAAATAGATTCCCTTGCAGCTTCAATTCCTAAGGTTTCAGCAATCTCAATAAGATCGTTAGAAACAGTAAGTCTACTGTTCACCGCAGGATTTCCTAGAACCTGCGGAAGACAAATCCCGTCCGTTTGGAGATACCACTCCCTTCTGTCCTTGTCCTCACTTATATAAACCTTTTTGACATTCTTATATCCTCCAAGCTGAAGTTTTAGTAGTGTGTTCAATACAGTCGTGTAGAAATTTAAGGACTCATCATCCGACTTTGTAATTCGAACTCTTATCACCAAATCAACCGCATTTTCATCACTACAAATCACATGGGCTCCATTCCCCAGCTCTTTCTTGATAGATGCTGCAACATATTCCATATTGGTTCCTCTGCCAATAAGTTTGGCTCTATCAACGATAAGCCTAATCAAAAATGGAGATAAACATGAAAAGTCAACATCGTCATCGGGAAATTCAAAATAAGTCTCCACGAAGTCCTTGTCCTCGTCAATCTCGGTGCCTGTTATTTCAGGATCGTAGTATATTTCCGAGGAAAGACATAAATCCTTCACACACAAACATTCTATCTCGTTCTGAATTGCCTTTGCAGACTCAATTGTTTTACAGTGATCCTTATCAAGATATATCTTCATGGATGGCGTCTTCAGGTTCTTTGTTACATTGAAAATTTCTTTAAGTCTAGGAACACCCATAGTCACTGTGGAGGAAACCCCAGCCAGGTGAAATGTGTTCAACGTCATCTGTGTCGCAGGTTCTCCAACAGACTGTGCAGCCAATGTTCCCACCATTTCGTTTGGTGTTATCCTAGCTTTCAGGATCTTTGCTTTTGTCATCTCCACAACCCAGTTGAATGCCTCGGTATTCAGTTTATGCTCAAGAAGGACTCTTTTTACATTCAAATTTGTTCTTATAAGTACATTCAGGATTTTGTTAGATGTCATAAGATTCCTATGAGCCTCAAGTATATAGTAAGGAGAGACGTCTCCAACAGAAAGATGAAAAGCTCTCTTTGCTGTTGCTAAGAGACGAGTAAAGTTGCAGGGGCTCATTACGGCGCTCTTGTAAACTTCCTTGACCTGATAGTCTCGCTCTATGTCTATTTCTCCCGGCGAAATTGGTGGAGGTCCTTCAAATATCTCTCCAACTAACCATTCATATTCTTGATCCAAAAGCTTCTGTAAGTCGACATCTGAAGAAAGCATTCCATAGACTTCCTCAGAAACTTGGCCTTGGGTAATCGCCAACTTCCCGTCCCCAAACATATCAATACAATATCTTTTTGCGAAGTTCTTTACATCGACCTTCTGAGATTCCAGAAAAGTAGCATCAAACCCGTCCTCACCATACTTTACCTGATACACCAGCCCATTTCCACTTCTAACACTTTCATCCTGCCTCACAATAGCATCCTCAAGCGCCTTCACCAACCTCCTCTGGATATAGCCCGTTTCTGCTGTCTTGATTGCTGTGTCAATCAGTCCTTCTCTTCCTCCCATCGCATGGAAGAAAAACTCCTCAGGATCTAGCCCGGTTAAATAGCTGTTTTCAACAAACCCTCGGCTCCTCCCAGTGTAATCATCCTTTACAAAGTGAGGGAGTGTTCTGTGGGAGAAGCCAAATGGAATTCGCTTTCCTTCAACATTCTGCTGCCCTACACAAGCAGTCACCTGCGAGATATTGATAAAAGACCCCTTGGACCCTGCAAGAACCATCGTCTTCATATTGTTATTTCCACTTAAGCTCCTCTGCGCACTTGTTCCACTTACATCTCTTGCTCTATTTAGTACTAGGTTTAAATGGCTTTCAAAGCTTTCTTTCATAGTCATTCCAGGAAGCCTCTCAAGACGATTTTGGCGTGCATTTTCAATTATAACTGAGACCTCCTCCTTTGCTTTTCGAATCGCCTCCTCGACCATCTTTACTGTTTTGGCATCTGCAATCGTATCTCCAATTCCTATAGAAAACGTATGGATTCCAGTCATGAAAACGTTTATCATCCTCTGTACACCATTAAAAAACTGCGCAGCTCTTTTGGGCCCAAAATCATTGAAGATTATATGAACAAGTCCACCTTGTGTTGCTCCTGCTGCCTTTTTGTCAATCACTCCAGAATGAATATACCCGTCTTGTATAATGACCTTAGTGTCATTAATATTTTCACTATCTTCATCGTTATGCTCAGAGGAAAATCCAGTATAGTTCATATTTGGAAGAACAAAGCTCAGAATTTGTTTTCCTGTCCAAAGCCTCATAGGCTTTGCTATTGCAGGTCTTTTCAGCACCTTCATGATGTCATAGTCTTTTGTTCTTCTGAACCCTATATAGCCCGTGCTTCCTGGCGGTGTATCGCAGAATTCTATGTTCACTGCATACAATAACAGCATAACTTCTCTTTCATTCAAAAAGGTGTCTCTCAAAGTAAACAGCCGTAGGCCTGTAAGTGTATCTTGCACAATACCCATAACAGGTTTGTTCGACTGGGGTGAGATAATCTGCTTCGATACAAGTGCCAGCTCCTCAAGCTCGGCCTTGGATGTATAGCTTTGGGGCATGTGGAGATTCATTTCGTCTCCATCAAAGTCTGCATTGTAGGGTGATGTAACACTAAGATTCAACCTAAAGGTCTTATCGTCCATCACCCTAGCATAATGTGCCATCATTGACATCTTGTGAAGCGAGGGCTGCCTGTTAAACAGAACAACATCTCCTGTCTGCATGTGCCTTTCTACAACATATCCCTCCTCCAGCTTTATATCACTTTTGTTGAAATTCAGATCTATCTTCTGTCCATCAGACCTAAGGACATAGTTGGCACCAGGATGCTCATTAGGTCCTGTCCTTACAAGCTTTTCGAGCCTGTCTATGTTGAACGAAGTAACCTTCTCTGGGAATGTGTGAATCTTTGCAACCTCAAGAGGAACACCAACCTCTTCAAGTGATAGATTCGGATCTGGTGTTATTACAGTTCTTGCGCTAAAATCAACTCTCTTACCCATGAGATTTCCTCTAATTCTTCCTTCCTTTCCTTTTAACCTGGCAGACAATGACTTTAGTGGCCTTCCGCTCTTCTGCAGCGCTTGCGGCTGCCCTCCAATGTCATTGTCTATCAGCGTTGCAACGTGGAACTGTAGCAGCTGCTCATAGTCTCGAACAATATGTCCAGGTGCTCCCTCCTGTTCGTACTTTTTCAGATACCCATTCGACTTTATGATATCAGCCAACTTATGTGTAAGGTCATCTTCTCCCCGCAACGAACCCTCCATCACAATTGAAGGGCGGACTGAAGGTGGTGGAACAAGCAGCACAGTAAGTATCATCCATTCAGGCCTACTGTACTTCAAGTCAAACCCCATATACACACAATCCTCATCGCTTATCTTCTTAAATATACTATAAACCCTTTCCCCATTCAGCATGACCTTGCCCTCGTTACTTTCTTCTCCCTTCATAAAGGCAACAAGAGTTAGACCCTCCTTTTTGACCACAGGCTGCCTGTTTCCACATCCACTTCTTTCATCACCAACGGCCTCTCCCTCACACACAGTCTTGCCTTTACTCATGCTCCATACACTGTTAAGCGTGGACTTCGCCCCTCTCTTCGGTATTTTGATCTTGGAGCAATAGAAGCAAACACACTCTAGGACCTTCTTAATTTTTGAAATGTATCCAACATGAAACATAGGCTTCGTAAGCTCAATATGTCCAAAATGTCCTGGGCATGAGAAGTTGTCCCCCCCACAACTCTGGCAAAGATACATCCTGTCAGTCGTCCCCATTCTCAGATCAATAAGCCCTCCAACCTTTGGAACCCCACTTTCCATGACCTCGGGATGAACAATCAAGGCAGCACTCCCATTTCTTATTTCCTCTGGTGAAAACAGGCCGAACTGTATCGACTTGATCTGTTTCTTTACTTTCTCCTCAAACATGAATGGGGTCTGATGCAATGACCTTTAAGGCTGAAATTTTTGTTGTGCAACACCCCTGGAAACACACAGGATATGAACATCCCTTCTTGCTGGGTATTTTATCTTATGGATAACGAGTGCACATCAAGGTCCGGTATTCTCCATTCACGGAATGGGAAACAGTAAACAGTATAGCCTCCATTTCCTTTAATAGAACACATGACTAACTCTTGGTATACAAAACTACTCTTCAGATGATATCCATTCAAATTCTCTCTCGATTTTCATCAATTCCTCATCTGTAATGTTGCAGTCCACTCCAATAAATTCCGCAAGCTCTCTTGTGTTCTTATGCTTCATCTTCTCCGAAATAATCTTACAACACAGCTCAAGAAGATATGGATATTCAAGATAATTTGCACCATTGCATATATCCAGCAGCGTTCTGTTGTCATACTCCACGAAGAAGTTGAAGTCTGACTGCTTGAATCTTATCTCCAATGGATTGTAGTCCTCGGACAACTGAGAGGTATCTATTTCCATGTATTTTCGGATTATTTCGAAGACAGGTGATGACACTTGAAGGGTAATGGGGTTTTCCCACACAGTCGATGTGCACACATTTTTTATCAAGATACTCTTATATGCCTGCTTTTCCTCTATCTTAAATATGCGCCCATCTGTTGTCTCTATCTCAATCATTCCCAAGTGGCGATTTCGGGGGATTAAAAACAATGGAGGATGTTGATGCCAAAGGTAAAGAGGAAGGATGGCTATTCCACCAAGAAATGATCTCCTTATACACTCTTAATTCCATTTCTACTGATAAGGGCTTATGGACGAAAGAACCAGAATAGGCATAATAGGAGACGAAGAAACACTCACAGGGTTTTTGATAGCAGGAGTAGAGAACGTTCACGACAATCCAAATCTTGTTCAAGTAACACCGGACATGGCTGAAGATGACCTAAAAAGGATTTTTTATTCACTAACAGCCAGAAAAGACCTGGCCATGATCCTTGTTTGCGACTTTGCTGCAGAAAGACTGAGTGAAGAGATAGATGCGTATGATGAGGTGGTTCCTGCTGTGTTAGTTATTGCATCGAAAAATAAATATGCCTAGTCTTGCACCTTCAATGCCATGCACACCACAAAAGTCATTTTAATGGGATTGCTTCCTCAAAGATAAACACAAATAGAGGAGACGATTTATTTCAACGGTAGGACTTCTGGTACCTTGCACGTGCGCCTGGGCCTCCAAACTTCTTCGGCTCTCTCTTTCTCGAGTCAGCAACAAGGCTAAATCTGTCAAAATCCAACAATCTCTTTTGAATTTCTTGTTTTTTCCATTCGTCAAGGTAGTTCCCATAGAATGCAAGTATTGCCTTCGAAAAGGCCATTCTCACTGCATACACACGGGAGACCTCCCCTCCAATCTTGCATGTTATGTCAAATGAAAGGTCCTTGATGTTAGCATACTCAACAATGCATATGATCTCCTTGAGCTTTGCAATCATCAAGGTGTTTGTAATAAGCTTGAAAGGAACCTTGTTGATTCTTATGGAAAACTCCCCTGAATATGTGCACACACATGTGGCAATTGCTCTTTTCTTTCTACCCAGAGTGGTGACTGACTTTACAGATCTACTCATTAAAAGGGCTAAAGCATTTGAAAATTTTTAACCCCAATGAAAGGCAACCACGTACTGCCAAACAATCACTTTCGCAAGACGTCTTTGAAGATAAAGGTCCATCATGATCCCGAAACGAAGCTTAGGGTAATGGAGGAGAAGAAGATTCGAAAGGCCAAGTCGATGTTCCCAATTCCTTTGAAGAAGCTCAGGCCAGTGATTCGATGCCCTTCTATCAAATACAATCGGAATGAAAGACTTGGAAGGGGCTTTACGGCAGCCGAGTGTGAAAAGGCAGGGCTTGACTACAGGCATGCCAGGCGTCTTGGAATAGCTGTCGATCTAAGGAGACGGGACACCAACCTTGAAGCCCTTGAAAAGAACGTAGACCGTATCAAGACCTATCTGAGCAAGATCACTATATACGAGAGTGTCAAGGAGGCGAAGGAAAAGGGTGCTAAGCCGTATGCAAAGAAGATTATGCCTTTCGTTAAGCCCAAGGTCGTTGTTGGATCTATCTCGAGGGATGAGGTTGCTTCTTATGAATAAATTCGATTCTATTTATTTGAGGTTTTTATGCGTATGTCATATACCCTTGGGGTGCTTCCACAATGTAGCTCTGGAAATATCTCCATTGTCGCTATTTTTGAGATGTTGTGGCCGAGTGGTCTAAGGCGACGGATTTGAAATCCGTTGAGGTTTCCTCTCGCTGGTTCGAATCCAGTCAGCATCGCTTTTTGCCACGGCCATTGTCTTTCCCATTCATTATGGTCGATTCACTTCGATACACATAAAAAAATAATTCAGGTAATCGAGAGGGACTCCTACAAAAACTTGTGAAGATGGAAGACCAAAGAATAAACTTAATGCTGGAGTCTTTGTATCAGATAGAAGACATGATGGCCTCCAAGGTGACTTCAAGCGATATTGAAGAAGTAAGAGGTGCGGTGGCTGTAGTGAAAGCATACAACTATAGGGAATTTAGGGAAATAAGGACCTTAAGTGGAATTGAAGGACTAAACAATCTGGGAAGACAATACGTGCTTAACAAGCAGATCCACGGAAAGAGTGGGTCCTTTCTGTTTTTCACAAAGGACCTCAAGTTTATTGTGAAGACTATAAGGAAAAATGAGTTCTACTGTATCAGGAGGATGATAGAGGAATATAGGACGTACATCCTTCAGAACCCAATGTCCTTTTTGTGCAGGATACTTGGATGCTACAGCATATGGACGGGAGATGGCGAGGAGTACTTCATAGTAATGGAAAGCATGATGAAGGGATTCGGGATGCAGGAGATCTACGATCTCAAGGGGATGTCTGTAAATAGAAAGGGGCATTCCATCTCCAGCCTAAAGGAAATGGACTGGATTGAAAATAGTAAGAGAATAGATCTTAAAGGTAAGAAGGAGGTAGTTATATCCCAGATAAAAAACGACGTACAATTTCTAAAAAGACATAGGATCATGGATTACAGCTTCTTTGTATCCTTTGGGACTGAGGGAGAAGAAAGGCTTGGCTCATTTTCCTTATCCAAGGATCATGGTCGTACGTCTGAGAATGAATGTGTGTACTTTGGAATAGTAGACATTCTTACACAATGGACCTTTTCAAAGAGGATGGAGAGGCTGCTTCATATACTCTGCTGTAAATCGAACAGCTCCTGCCTGAATCCTGATGCATACATGGATAGATTTTTGACTATGATTGAGACAGACATTTTCAAGTGACAGACTCAGAGATATGGTGAGTCAAAAGCCAGAAGCCACAAGTAGGAGACGAGGTCTTCGAATTTCTATTGAATTTTGTATAAAGTAAAATCTGATTTGTCTCTGTTTGGAATATAAGCAGCAGGATAGGAGAAGGTACAGAATGGGGTGTTCGGAAGGCCGGTCGGAAAGAGAAATAAAGGATGCTGGTGCCCCGGAAATGGAAAAGGATAGTTGCGTCGAGACAAGGCTAATGAAGAAGAGGTATATGGAAGCAACCTGTGACCTAGACAGGTTCCATGAGGACATAGAAATGTATGGAGAAAAGAATCTTCTAAAGCTGATGAAGTTTAGCACTGGGGGGATGAGAGGACTGATGAGAAGCGGGTTTAATGGGATTAATGAGGTCACATGTAATCTCATTGGGACCGAGCTTTGTAGAAGGTTCTCCAGCATTGTGATAGGATGCGATGGAAGATATAACTCTTTGAACTATGCAATTCTTCTTAGGGAAATATTTAGACTTAATGGGAAAGAAGCTGACCTGTACCCAAAGGTTGTGACGCCATTTCTCGCCTTTCTTACATGCAAACTTGGAGCAGAAGCCGGGATAATGGTTACAGCATCGCACAATCCCAAGGAATACAATGGATTTAAGGTGTACACATCGAAAGGAGGCCAAATAGGCCCTCCATTGGATAGGGAAATAGAGGAGTCCATGAAAGCTCTCGATCTTACACAGTTTGATAGAGAGGGAAAGCACGGAGATATATTCAGGCGAATAAAGGAAGAAAACGATGCACTGCGAGGAACACTGTCTTGCAGAAAGACAGAAAGTGTTGGCCTAGGGGACACAGATGTTTCCAGGAGAAACGAGCTCATAGACGCCTACAACAAATGGATGTTTGAGGGCTGGGATGACAGAGTAATCCAAAACATCAGAAGTGTGAATCTCTCGGTTCCTATAGTTTTCACAGGCCTTTGTGGAGTTTCTGGAGAGTTTGTGAAGAGGGCCCTGGAATTTTACAACCTTGACAGTATTATACATTTTGTCGATGAAGAATGCTGTCCAAATCCAAATTTCCCGGGGCTCCCCTTCCCAAATCCAGAGGTTGTTGAAACCCTTCTAAGGTCAAAAAGGTCGAACCTTGCAGACATTTTATTCTCTTGCGACCCAGACGGAGACAGGTTTGGGCTTTCAGAAAGAATTGATGGAGAGTGGATTGACTATAATGGAAATGAGATAGCAGCCATACTTATGCACTTCTTTGTGGAAAACTTTTCTCCATCGGACCTTGCATTTGTAAATACCTATTTATGTAACGGCCTCATGGAAAAGGTTTGCTCTGTCCATGGAATTGAGTATCTGAGGACGGAAACAGGATTTAAGAATGTTAGTCGGGCTGTCGATTCTGTGAAGAAGAAGAATGTGTTTGCCTACGAGGATTCCCTCGGGTTTCTGTTTGGGAACGGCAAGGAGAAGGACGGAATCAAATGCGTAGTCCTTATGGCATATATAGTTCAGAAAGAGCTTCCAAGTAAGATTCTAAAGAAGATGGAAGCATATGGAAGGTTCAGCTCTGTGAATATTCATGTGAGATGCAGCGATCCTGACAGAGTCCTTGAGAAGGTCCTCAGAAAGCTTTCAAATGTAGAGACTGAAGGCAAGAGAAGTACAGTAAGATTCGACGATTACAAGGCAATATTAAGGGTGAGCGGGACTGAATCGATGGTGAAAATTTATGTAAGCTCCACAACACTCGACAAAAAAGACCTTGTTAAGTCGGCTGATGATTTTGCCAACAAGTATGTTAGAAGTGAGATATCTCACAATTGACAATGCTTCGAATGGCAAAGGATGTTCAAGAGAATGGTACCAACCTGTATTAAATTGTTTTACTTGGCCCATGCTTTTTTTGGCAATGTCTGAACCATCCAAACTTTGTGGACTTTCCATTTGACTTATGGCCTAACACCACCCAATCATTGCAGATTGCGCAGAATCCTTCTGCCTTATCCCCCACATATTTTATTTGGGGCTCGGGATATCTTACTCCCTTCGAATTTATTCCATGCTTATAGTTCATATGATACCAGTAGCTACTTGTCTTTAGTTTGAACCATAGGTTGCACATCCTACAGTATCCTTCTCTCAGTCTTCCAGTGCCCCTAATCTTCCTAGGCTTATAGACATCTCCATCTCCTTGCTTCTTAATTTCCTTTGGATGGATAACCAGGTCGTCGGCGCAATCGTTTATGATGACGGACTGGAGTAATCTGTCATCAAACAGCTCTGTAAATCCGCAAGTGCCATCCAGCCCGTAAAGATCCTGGAAATCAAGAGCCGTGCTGCACACGGCAGGATCCAGTATCAGAAAGTCATCCAGATAAAGTGCTGTTTTGTCTGAGCTCATCGCACCTTGTTCATGCTCATAAAGAAATAAACATTGTGCCCTATATTAGAGTTCACTTAATAAAGTGGAGTGGATTGACTATTTACAACATATGTGGAGGGCAAAAAAGCTCTCCCACCGGGATTCGAACCCGGGTCACCCGCGTGACAGGCGGATATGATATACCACTACACTATGGAAGATGCTAGCTGTCACTGTACAGTCCAAGTCCTTGCTGGTGACGCCCATGCATCCCAAAACATAGAATCAATTCAGCACCATCCCTTTGGATGTATCCTCTGACACTCCTGAGAATATCAAGAAATAAAATAGTGGAGCTGGAGCTCAAGAACAACGACCAGCTAAGAGGGCTGCTTTACAAATGTGACATGGCCATGAACCTTCATCTTAAGAGCGCTACCATCCAGAAGGAAGACGGAACCTCGGTTTTCATCAATGAGTGCTACTTAAAAGGCACGTCAATCAAGCTTGTAAAGCTGGAGTCAAAAATCCTTTTGGAACAGAAAGAAGAGGATGTATCTAATAAAGCATGATTAAGTTTTATCTTCGGAGAACCTCCACTGCCAGAACATTCCCACAAAGGCCGTTATTATCCATATGGCCACCGGCGTGGATATAGATGTAAGTTCTAGGTATTCAGTGTCCTCAAGGTCTAGTATTAAATCATAGAATCCCATTTCATTATTTTCTGTGATAAGCTCGATTGAAGTCAGTAGTATAAGTGATCCTGTGATTCCAAATAGAATTAGAAGAAAATATTTTGCTACTCTTCTTGTTATGTAATATAGCACTCCAAAAGACGCAAGAAGAAGGATGTAGAAAGCTTCTGGATTAGATTCCTTGTACGTTTCAAAGCCTATGTGGAAAAACATTCTATATATAATGTAGAGCCCAACTATAAACAAAAGATTACTGGCCATTTCGAGCGCCCACACAAGAATAGACCCCAGCAGGAAGGAGACGATCCACAGGGAGGCTGGGTCATTGTTTTTGCCTCCAAAGACTTGTTTCATGGTTTGCAGCACATCTGGAGGAATATGGTATTCTTGTATCGTTTTGGGGGAGACATTGTTAAGACCCTCTCTTATATCACAGAAGTTGTAGTATAGAAGCGCTGCTATGTACGGTGCCAGAGATATCCTTGGGTATCGAGAACCATAGAAGGTTACAAAGAATGAGCCAGCAAGTATGGCCCATGCGCCGACCGAGTTGGGGAAGAACATGTTCTCGTAGTACATTACAAAGTCATCGATAAGATCAAATATGAAGTAGCACGATGCCTTCCTGATGAAGAGCAAAGAAAGAGCAATCCTCATCCAGTTCCTGTAACTCAGCCATAAAATCGATTTCATCAGCAAAAACTAATAGTGTTTCAGGTTCAGGTAGGGGCCCAAACAAATGATCTCAAAGCAAAAAACAATTTAATATAGGGAATTTGCTATTCTTTCTTGTCTTTAACAGGTGGCCTAAATTTCAGGGGATTTCTACGATAGAACCCCCAGGACGGAACTACAACAACGACAGAAACAACCAGAGTTCCAACACTTATGTACATTGTGTACACAAGGTCATTAAGCAAGACACCAACTATAAGTGCTGCCGTGTATCCAACCCCAAATATAAGATACATAAGATCAGATGCTAGTTTCTGACCTACATAATCAATTGGCGGATCGATCTTTGACAGAAGAGACCTGAACATTTCAGGGCTAGAAAAAATTTCTATAAGCTCTCCTCTGCACTCAGGAGGGAATCCCCTACAATGTTTTTGTCTCTTTGGTACACATAGATAAACGGGACTGCTGTGCAAAACATAAGATGCCCCGCAGACAGTAGCGAATACCCCTTGGAAACAGCCTCTCTAATCCTTGCTGGGACTCTTTCAATGGACTTTTCCATGTAGTAATAAATAACTATTGGAACTTTCTTTATTACTGGAAGCTTCTCGTATTCCTCCACTGCTTTGCTCCGAAGCTTAGAATCATGTTCCATCATGAGTTGGGGGCCTTTCTAAACAATTTTAGCTTTGCTCCCAAAGCTCTTCATACTTCCTCTTCATCATTTATCTCCATCTTCATGTTGTTTTTTGTGGTAAAGTGCAATGCCAAGGCACCAGTTACCATGCAAAAAAGACACATTCCAAGCAGAATGAGTATGCAAAGAGACACCCCTGTCCCATCAAGCCCCCGGAGCTTGATTTGATCCTCTCCCATCATTTGTATGCCAGGGCCTTCAAATACTACCCCATTCAATTGGTTCTGAAATGACGCCTTTGTTGCATAGTGCACAGGTGAAATACAGACAGCCCATCTAAGCCAGCTGGGTATGGTTTTTGGATTGTTGAAGGACCCACTGTAGACCAAGAACACAAGCAGCCCCATCGTCCCCAGCACTTGTGAGCTGTTCTGCGTAGATGTCATTGCACCAATAGCTAGCGAATATGCTATTCCAAACAGTATTAGAGACCCCAAAATAACTAGGAACGTTAGAAAAGTCTCTATGCCAGGCCTCAGCCCAATCATCCAATATATTATTATCACATAGGGCATCTCTATCAGAAAGTTGATAAATATCTCGGAAACATACTTGGCCATAAATGCAACAATCCCCGAGTACATTCCAGATCTTCTTTCCCTGAGTATTACAAGTCTTTCCTCAGAAAATATATTGAATATGGGGTTGGCCACTCCAAAGAGCACGTTTGTTAGAATAAACGTTATTCCTCCCACCCTGGTATGTATACTTTCTATAGAGTATCCCATTTGTAAGTATGCAAGCCCAAACACAAGCATAAAGAAAACCTTCTGAAAGGCCTTGATCTTCAAGTAGTCAATGTTTCTGATGTAGTTCTTCAAGTTTCTATTCAGAAGAAGGTAAAATCCAAGTGAGGACCTTCTTGCAGTGTTTTCTATCCTAACCTCGCCATGGAGCTTTGGCACAGGCACCTTTCTTTTTCTGTCCCATTCGTTACTTATGTGAGTAATCACATCCAAGCTTTTTCCCTGTAGCTCCTTTGTTCTTGTATCAAGACTTATGGTCTTCAAGAAGAAGTCCATCGGGTTTGTGAGCTCAGGCAGCCGATACCCACAGCTATCAAAAAACTCGATGCATCCCTTGACATCTCCATCATAAACCACCCTCCCCATGGACATTAATATAAACTTATCAAAGAAGTCTATCATCTCATATGATGGCTGATGAATGGTGACCAGAATCGTCTTTCCCATGCTTGCTAAGTTCTTGAGAACGCTGAGAATATTTAAGGCGTTGAATGAGTCTAGGCCACTTGTGGGCTCATCGCAGAACAGTATTGAAGGATCTCCAAGTAGCTCAACCCCTATAGAAACCCGTTTCCTTTCTCCTCCAGACAGATTTGCAACATAGGTATCCCTAGCATTGTTAAGTCCAAGAAGCCCTATTATCTCCTCTATTTTATTCCTTATCTTTTGTTCTACCTCTTCATATCTCATCTTTATTTTCGACGCAAATAAAAGAGTCTCGAAAACAGTCTGGTATTCATATGCATGGAACTCCTGCTCCACATACCCAATGGTGTTAGGCCATGTGTCTTTCGATCTTGGGTGCGAATTCACGAGGATCTCGCCCTTAAGATTCATCTCAGACGAGATTCTCCCTGCCAGGGAGTTCATGAGGGTGGTTTTCCCCGCTCCACTTGTTCCCATAAGTGCAGTCATTGTCGAGGGCTCTATGGATCCGCTGACTCCCTTCAGAACAGCTTTTCTTGTTCCATTGCTATCCTTTGAGATAAGCCTTAGATTTCTCCAGAGAAGCTCAGAACTTTGTAACTCTGCTTTCATGGGTATGGACAAGCTGCAAAATTACAAGCTAGAGGAAATGCCCTAGATGCCCGAGGGTATAAAGGCCTCGTTCGAAGGAAACGATGTATTTGTAGTGGTAGACGACATAAGAGTGAGAATCAAAAGGGACACGTATACGGCTGTCGCACCGAGCAATGACAACGCCTCTGTCATCAGAGACATTCCTTTAGTCGAGATACGATCCCTGCATGTAAAGAACAATGAGGGGTTCTTCCTAAAGCTGAATCTACTTGAAGAGACCATTATACTTAGATTTAGCTCCCACCATTCCAGAGATATCATCAAGTCAATAATCCTCTCGTTCATGAAGACAGACCAGGACATAGCAAAGAGGATCCTTGAGTCTGATCCATCCACGAGAATGTTATTCAACAACCTGAAGCAATGGGTTTCTCCCTCGAAGTTCTGGTCGATCAACAAGGACAAGATGAAACAAATGATTTCCATAGTCAGGCAGCAGCCGTCAAGAGAACTGGAGATCGACGAAAAGACCTTTATATCCTCGTTGGACCCTATTCTTCTGAATGTGTTCGAGCAGATGAACTGCTCCATCAACCAGTTTTATAACCTCCTAAGGCAGTCGTACTTTTGTGATCCCAAGAACGAGAAAAACAGCCTGGATAGGATGATCAACTCTGCAGTAAGAGACTACGAGGTTAGGCAGGATTTCGCCTCCAGAATCAACACCCACTCGATCCTGGCCTTGAAGCCCATTGGAGACGTGGAAATCCATCCGAGCACAAGAGAGGGAAAGAAGGTGGAATTCTTGCCTATATATCCATTTGAGGAAGAGGAGATAGAAAGGCCAAGAAGAAAGTTTAGGTTCGAGAAGAGGCCTCTGAGGTGCGAGGTTGAGCTTGAAGTCGTGCCTATGGCAGAGAAAAAAGCATTTGAGAAGAAAGATCTTGCATGGATTAGAGACCTGTCAAAGATTGTGTACAAGTCGATGAAGGAGAAGGATAGAGAATTCTTAAAAGAAGTGACTGGAATCACCAAGAGGTTTCTAGACAATATGGAGAAGAAATACGGAAAGGGGTGCGATGTTTACCTCAAAAGGATCCTGCCAACGTACTTCATCGAAAAAGAAGACAGATAGTGCGATCTTATGGTTTCTGCTTCTATTTGAAATTTTTCTTTGTCCTTGCCACTTAATATGAGTTCGAGGGGCGAAGTAGCGTTTTCGGTCAAAGAAGTCAAGCAGTTGCTAGGTGTTAAGTTCATCACGGAGTCCTGCATACTTCTGAATCTCTCCTATCAGTCAAGATACAAAGCACTTGTTCTATTTTACAATTTCAATGAAAAGGTAGATTTTGCAGGCTTGTGCATGGCCTCCCTCCTCCTAGCTTCAAAGCTAGAAGAAGAGGTCTGTACCTTAAAAAAGGTGATATACGTCTTTAACTATCTGTATACAAGATATGAATCAAAGCCCACACCACTGACTAACAGACTATCAATTAGGCTCAAGGAAGGATGTATACTCGCAGAAACGCAGATACTGAAATCCTTAGGATTCGACGTGTCGTTTGAAGATGTATATGGCGATTTCATTGACTTTCTTCAAGCCATAGACCTTTCCCCAGACCTCACAGATAAAGCCGTCCGGGTTTTCAACACAATGATACAGTGGCCTAGAGTGAAAGATCTTGATTCTAGAAAGCTGGTGGAAGCCGTAATGGAATCCTTGCTCGGAAAAAACAAGGAACTTGAAGACTTCGTCGCGAGATACAGGCTGTTCCAGGAAAAGAAGTTCAATCTGGAAACTTACGAGGAAATACCTGCAATAAGAAACATAAGTGAAAGCCTAATCACAGGCTTCGTCAAAAGACAGAAACGAAAGTAGAAAGAATACAAGGCAGAATAAAACTCAAATTTAGTTCTTTCTTCTCTTCCCAGGCTCGTCATAGCTTTCTTCCTCGCTATCATCCTCATCCTCATCTTCATAATCATCAGAGCTGTCATAGTAACTTTCGTCTTCCTCTAGCTCCTCTTCGCTTGATACATCACTTACATCATCGTCGGTAGAAATGTTTTCTGTCTCGCTGGAGCTTAACTCCTCGCTCTCCTCGGCCTCGGATTCTTCAAAACTTTCCTCGCTGTCTCCAACCATGAGCTCTGACCATGCGCCATCCTCATAAAACGAAATGGGATCCTTCATTATGCTTCCAATAACATTGTTCCATCGAATACTTGCCGAGGTCTCCATAAACAGCACATTATTGGAGTCAAGATACTCTTTGAGCTTGTTGACACTCTGCACATCCACGCTCAGTATGCTTACAAGGAGCCGGGACTTGTTCTTCATAACCACATCTAAAGGATATCTGTTCTTTAGGATAAAGAGCACATCTACAGTTTTTACTGTCAATACAACCCTTTCAAAATTGACCACCTCAACATCCTCCAGAGTCAGCACAAAGTATGGTGCCTCATCAAGGCTCACAAGACACTCATGGGTTTGCTTGATCATAACATTCTCTCGGAATGGAACACCGTAGAACCCGGCCTTCGGTATCTGGACCTTGAAGTGTGTTTCAGACTCAATGCTGTTTACAAACGATCTGAACTGGTTGTTTATCATTTGCTGCCTGTCTTCTTCTTCTTTCTCGATGATGTACTCCATGTGCTCATCTCCCCTCTTCATCGTGTCATAAACCATAGCGTTTCCAGCCTCTCGGTAAAACTGCACATTCACCACCTTCCCTCCAAGAAGAATCGGATTTAGCAGGTGGAAATGAAGAATGGAGTTCGTCTCTACATTCCCCTCAGAAAAAAATATATGCCTGATATTTGAAAATAGAATCACAACATTTTCCTCTTTAAATCTGAATCCATTCTCGTGAAGTTCCAAGCTTCCAACCTTCCGGCGCCTCGATCCGCTTTTCATGTCGGTCTTCATATAAACATCAGTGAGGCTGAGAGGCCTTGGGATAATCTTTAGCTCCTCAGAGCTTTCCACTTCTCCCACAGTCTTTTTTGTCGAATGCGCCTTCTTCAGGCTGTTTATCTCCTCAGCCAGATCTCTAGAGTTGTTTCCATGGATACTTATAGACTTGATGGCACTCAGAAGACTCTCTCCTTGCTCACACTCTACCTCTTCTCCTTCCTCTTTTCCTTTGGACTCTGCTTTGAAATTGATTCGGAGAAACTTTTCGTCGGTAACAGCAACACTCTTAATGTTAGAAATGTGAAATGGAACAGCATAGCTTCCAATAGGTATAACAACCGATTCTCTTGAAAAGTCTACAACAGTCCTTCCCTGTCTGGGAACAAGCCCCTCCTTGGCATACGGAACCACCCTGACTTCTTTCCTCTCTTCGTCTTTGCCTCCGTCAGAAATATTTCTATAAAACTCGAGCCTTTCCTCAATAAGCTTATCGAGCAATTCTTTTTGATGCTCTTTCCTTCTCATGTTTAACTCATATTCTTTCGTCTTGTCTCTAAATCTCGATCTCTTATCTAGAAAATCAAGAGCTGTGTCTTCGGATGTTAGATACTCAGGTTTCTCTTCAAGAACGAATGTGTTCGACAAAGAAAGTGTTTCGCTGCTCAGCCTGATCACAAACACACATCCCTTTTTCAAGATAAACGAGTTTTTGAAGCTTCTCTCCTGGCTCATCAACCCGACTGTATATACAAAGTCTGCATCAAATTCTAACCCGTTTTCCGAAAAGTACTTCTCCGCTTCAGAGTATACAAATCCAGAATCAGCCCCAGGCCGGATAAGCCCAAGAATGTACTCTTGTGTCATATATGCCTCCTCCATGCTTATCACAATAGTTCTTGATACCTCGCTACAATATCCATTGTACCTCACTCCAATCCTGAGCCTATCTCTTGTGTATTCTATAGGAAACGAAAATTCGCACAAGCTCATGTCAACACCCTCAACATTCGAGCTCATCATCTCCTCAAGCTTTGCCTTCTCAAAAGCTCCTTCCCACAGCATCTCCATCCCTTTCTTCATTAGTGCAGACACTGCAATTCCAGATGCCTTGCAGTTTTTGATCTCTTCGTCGTCCTTGACCAAAAATATCTCTCCCACCTTCTCAGTAATGTCCTCGGCATTGATTCTCTCAAGAATCTTCTTGCAGAAATCCCCCTGCATCTCTTCACTTCCTACAACATAGTATGAATCCTTGAGAACCTTATAGATCTCGTCCATATTCGAGTTGTCCTTGTTACGCACAAGGACATTCAGGCAGCTTATCTGCTTAAGAATTTCAGACTTCTTTTGACTCGTTATTACAGTGCACGTGTCATCGACTATCAAAATGGTCTCCGGAAACTCATATCCAAGCAGATAGATAAATAGAGCAGAGTTTATCTGAAACTCAAGAACATCTTGGCTCTTCCCCAGCATAACAACCAAAGGCCCACCAAGGCGCTTTCTTATCTCCTTAGACCTCTTTACAAATCTTTCTTCTTCAAGCCTGATCATCGACATCTCAAGGATTAAAATTTTATTCATCATCTAAAGTCGGCTGTCCTGTCAAGAATCTGCAATTCAATTGAAGAAATATACTCTGTTGCTCTTCGTCCCACACACAATGCCTCCGTCACCCTTTATGTCGAAGCAGTACACCTCATCATCACAAACAAGATCGCTCACTACCCTCCTCTTGCTCACACGGAACATCTTGACGGTTTTGTCTTTTGAGCATGAGACTATCAGATCATTCATCATTTTGACCTTGTACACAAGATCCACGTGGCGAAAGACCAAAAGCTGCTGCCCAGAGTCCATACTCCATAGCCTTACAGACTTGTCAAATGATCCAGACGCTGCATAAATCCTGTTGGGTGATATCGAGACAGAGATAACCTCTGCATTGTGCTTCATTCTCTTGTGCAGAGAGAATCCCTTCCACACAATCACATCCCCTCCATTGCACCCAGACACCATGTAGTTTCCATTGCAGTCAATCGCATTGATTCCGGAGGAATGCCCTCGGAGCTCGTCTACAAACTTGAGATTCCTGTATACCTTGATTTTCCCATCTTTACTCCCAGAGGCTATGTAATCTTCTCCAGCACAGATACATGTGATGGCCATCGTGTGTGCATACGAGAGAAGGACTTCTCCATTCAAGCTCCACACAACAACGGAATTGTCTCTAGACCCTGTCACAAGGCTCCCCTTATGGAATGTCAATGCTACAACACCCTTCCTATGCCCAGGGAAACTTCTAATATACTCCCCATCGCTTGAATACAAATTAACACCTCCATCAAGTGCTCCGCTGGCAACATACTTTCCATCTGGCGAAACGTCAAGAGATAAAATCCAATGCCCGTGTCTTTTGATTATTTTGCTCTGTGTCTTTGTTCTGGGGTCCCAGAATCTCACAGTAGAGTCTCCACCTCCAGTAACGATCACATTGCCGTATCTTACACACAGCACAGGACCTTCATGCCCACTGAAGGACGACGAGCAGTGGAAGGCCGCCTGTGTTGCTGGCTCTTCCTCACACATTCTGATCTTCACAACTTCCTCCGCTGACAAAATATTCTGCAGCTTTAGTGTCTCCTCAAGGGTCTCGAGAACAGGCTGTCCATTGACATAGAGTGCAAGCGTTGTGTTTGCAAGAAGCTGCAGCTGCGATCTAAGTATCTTGACTGGGATTTGGAGTCTATCTGATACTTTGCGCCCTTCCTGGTCTTCAAATTCAACGAGAACCAAATCTGACATAGGGTAGGTGCAGTTAAAGTTTTTATTGGCAGGACATGCCTAGGCTTAGATCCTCCGCGCTGCTCTTCGATGGTGTGTGCACAGTGGTGTTAGACAGAAGTATATCATCGTTGGAGAAAATTTTATCCCTAGCGATGGAACTGAAAGATGCTGCAAAAGCTCATATAGAAGCCTACAACGCAATCTTCGATGAAAACGTACTTGACAATCTTGTGGCTGGAATTCCGCCGCTGATCAGGGGAAGAACGAAGATAGTTGTGGAGGACATTCACATTTCTCCTCCATACCTCAGTGACAAGGACCATATTTCTGTGGACAGAAGACTATTTCCTAGGGAATGCCGGGAAAGAGGACTAACATACAGAGGAAAGATAGCTGTGAGAGTCTCCCTGTTCTATGACAGCAAGCATGTGATGACCGAGGATAAGTTTGCGGGATATTTTCCCATTATGGTCAGGTCGAAGCTCTGCCATCTGAAGAATGTCGAGAGCATGAACAGGGTTGGGGAGGATGAAGAAGAGATCGGAGGATACTTCATAGTTAACGGGATCGACAAATTTGTTAGGCTTGGAATCATACAAAAAAGGAACCATATATTTGCATTCAAGCAGCGGAAAAAAGAGAGTTTCTTTACTGGCTATGGAGTATCCATGAGATGTGTAGGCAAGGACGAGATTGGCCATTTGAACAGCCTGTACTACTGCACTGATGGGAATGTTATTATCAAGATATTCTACAAAAGATCTACATTTTTATTTCCTTTGGTTCTTATTCTAAGAGCATTGGTTAATACAACAGACGAGGAGTTATTTGAAGCACTTGGCGGAGGAGACAAGGCCATTCATCTTCTCAAGTGCTTTGCAGAATATAATGTCTTTTCAAGAACAGAATGTCTTGATTACATTGGATCTCGATTTTTGGCGGTCATAGATGTGGGAACAAAGGTCGGAGCTGCCGAAGAAGTCTTGAGCAAATATGTGGCCTCCCACCTCTCATCGAATCTTGACAAGTTCAACTTTCTAGTGCTTGCAGCAAAAAAGCTATTTTCCTTTGTGAACAATGAGATAGCGGAGGATGACTTTGATTCGTCAGGTAATCATGAGTTGCTTACAGTAACGCAGATTTTGTCTTCCTTCATAAGGGATAAGATAGAAGAATACATGAAGCTGTTTCGCATTATATGTAGGAAAGCATACTTTAAGAATGCGGGAGGAAAAAGAAAGTTGGAGGAGGACGAAGGTGTTGAAGACGGTCTCTATGAGGATAAGCTGGATCTGACTGAAATCAAGGAAGTGTTCAAGAAAACGCCCATTAGTATTGGACATAAGATAGATATGTTCTTGTATGGTGGGAATGCAGTCTTCTCGAGTTGCTCTGATATTCTCCAGAAAACAGGGTTTGTGATTACTGCGGAAAGGATCAACTTCTACAAATATCTCACCAATCTTCGTAGCATCAATAGGGGCAGCCACATTTCTTCGTTGGTGACAGATGTCCGTAAACTTAGGCCAGAGTCCTGGGGGTTCATCTGTCCAGTGCATACACCTGATGGGGCGCCATGTGGAATTCTTCTGCATATGGCCAAAGGAGCGGAAGTTGTCTCTAAGGTCGAGGATTTCGATACAGACATCTTCTTTGAATTTGGGGTTGTTCCGGCCATAAGGGGGGCCAAAATGGATGTCCCTGTCCTTGTGGACGGAAGGATAATTGGGTCGACGTCATCACCTTCCATCCTCGTCCGCATGTTAAGAGAATACAAGGTCAAGAATAACCTAAAGATCGAGATAGTATATAGCGAGGGGCCCAAGATGTTTCCTTCTGTGTGTGTTTTCAATTCAGTCGGAAGGTTCGCCAGGAAAGTTATGAACAGGAAGCTGAACTCGGAGGAGTGGATTGGAATAATGGAGCAAGTTTTCCTAAGCATAGATGTTGAGGAAGGGAAAGGAGAAGGAGACTATTATGAAATAGACAAGACCAATATATTGGGGATATTGGCTGAGCTAACACCATATTCTGATCATAACCAGAGTCCTAGAAACATGTACCAATGCCAGATGGCAAAGCAGGCAATAGGGATTCCGGCATACAACATTAAGACAAGAACAGACTCGAGCATGTATACTGTAAACTACCTACAGTCTCCAATCGTCAGAACAAAAGGATACGACCTCGTCAAGAATTATCCTGTAGGGATTAATTGCATGGTGGCGGTTCTTTCGTATACAGCATATGACATGGAGGATGCCTTGGTCATCAGCAAGAACAGTATTGATAGAGGGCTATTTACGGGATACATTTACAAGACAGAAAAAGTGTCCTTAGAAAAAGGCCGCTATTTCACACATCTTCTGCCTGTTGGCGAGAGGATAGAAAAAGGATTAGTTTTATACAGATATGTTGATCAGGAGGGCAGAGAGTATGAGAGCAAATACTTCGAGGCTGAGGGGGGAGTCATAGATTCTGTTAGGGTATTTGACAATGATTCTGGAGAGAGATGCGCTACATTCACGATAAGGATTGTTCGAAACCCTTCTATTGGAGATAAATTCAGCTCGAGGCATGGACAGAAAGGAGTTTGTTCTATGAATTGGCCAACGGTTGACATGCCATTTACAGAGTCGGGATACGTTCCAGACATTATTATTAATCCTCATGCGTTTCCAAGCCGAATGACGATTGGGATGCTGATTGAGTCGATTGCAGGCAAAGTTGGATGCCTAAGTGGAAATGTGCAAGACGGAACTGCGTTTGAAAGGGGGCTCCTTTCGGGAGAAGATGAGAAGAACAGAAGAAAGGAGCTCCTATGCAAGGAGCTCCAAGAGCATGGCTTCAACTACTATGGAAATGAGCCGATGTACAGCGGGATATCAGGAAATGAGCTTCGCGTCGACATATTCGTGGGGGTTGTATACTATCAGAGGCTAAAGCATATGGTTGGAGACAAGTTTCAGGTGCGTACGAAAGGAGCCGTTGTGTCTACGACCCGGCAGCCAGTTGGGGGAAGGAAGAAACAGGGGGGGATCCGTTTTGGAGAAATGGAGCGTGATGCTTTAATCTCGCACGGGGCCTCGCATCTTTTACAAGATAGACTTCTCAAATGCAGTGATGGGACAATGTTTGAGTATTGCGGTACTTGCAAGAGTATTCTATTTACAAACAACGGCGACTGTATTTGTGGAAGCAGTGACCTCAAGACAGTTGAAATGCCATATGTCTTCAAGTACCTATGCTACGAGCTGCTTGCAATGAATATAAGGGTTAAGATCGATCTATGAGTAATTAAATTGCGTTTTGAATTTGTCCTTGTCACCATACATCTCAGCTGATGAAAAAGACAAAGAAGAGTGGAATGAAAAGCAAAAGCACTTTAAGGGATGGCCTGGAAAAGAAGAGCGATCCAGACATGGCCGAAGATGATATTGAGGCAATATTCTCTGGAATAAGCTCTCCAAAGAAGTGCGAAATTAAGAAAAAGGAAGACGAGGAGTCTGATGAAGAAAAGTATTTTTCTGTTGGGAAAGACGGTAGAAGATACCACGAGGGGCTTCCTGTTTACACGCTTGAGGAGCTTCAGCTTGGAGATGGAGGAGGAGACACTGAGGATTGCCCGATATATTGTGATTGTTGTACGTAAGGCCAGTGTCTTAGAGCCAGACTGGTTGTGGTTTTAATAAATAATGGATTTATTTTGAAATGACGTTCTTTTCACAATCTACTTGATGAAGCATCGGTTCCTTTCCGGAACTAGCCTCACTTGCCTCAGAATTTCCACCTTTCTTTCTTGACGACTTAATTAACAAGTTTATGTGTTTTCTGACCTCCTTTTCTATCATTTTTCCCTCTACTTTTACATCACTTTCAGTGGCAACGTTTCTCTCTGGGACGTTTAATGGCTGACTGCAATCCTCCTTCTTCGTTATAGAAAGCCTTCGGACCCCGTCAGTCATGGACTTTAATCCCAACTCCTCGCCGAGGGCCTTGCAAAACTCGTCGCAGTCTCCATTCCAGAAGAAGTCAAAAAGCTCCCGAAATTCTTTAGAGGGTTTATCGAGATTTACAAGTATTCTTCTTCCTCTTGTCGTGTTAAGCCTACAAAAGTATTTCACCAGCTTTTTCACGCCAAAGACTTTGAGGCTGGTTCCCATGACTATAAACAAATCGCAATCACTATCATTCTGTGCCGTCCTTGAGATGAAGGAAGAATCTGGATGTGATTGGTTGTAGTGTATTATTGTTGTATGAAACACCCCGACGGGTCTTTTCCTTGCATCCTTCCCTCTCTTCTCATTGCGCTTTATGCAGTTAGGACATATAATCTCCTCTCCTTTACCATATGCACCTCTTTCTGAATCCCCAAACTCTATTTTGTACCCACAGTAGAGGCAGCTCAGTTTCTTCATATTTCCGTGAAGATAGACAAGCTTGGCTGACTTGTCCTTTGATGCAACCAGGCCGGCTTTCTCTTCAAGCCCATCAATGTTCTGTGTGTACATTCTAAACTTTCGAGAGGCATCTGAGTAAAGAGAAAGAAACTCATGTGTAGGTGAGGGGACTGCCCGGTCGACCATCCCTTTAAGCTTACTCATATATTTCAAGTAGTTCTTCCTCATCTCTTTAGACATCGACATACTGTACGTGAATAAATCGCTACCACTGATTCCCAGGTCCTTTTTAATATCACTGAAAATACCAGACTTCGACCTAAAATCCGGTATTCCACTCGAGACAGATATCCCTGCACCAACAACAACGGCAACCTTTCGTTTCGAAAACATCTTGATATTGGACTTAATCCATTTCGAGTCGATGACTATCATCCCACAGGGCCTTAACAAAAATATTTGTTTGACGAGCTCCCAATGTATTTCAGCAGGATAGTTAGAAGAATAAAAAAAGAAAGGGCCCAGCTTAGAATACTTGTGCTCGGCCTGGACAATGCAGGAAAGACAACTGTTCTACATAAGATCCTCTCCAAACCAATAGAAGATGTGCGCCCGACCTTTGGATACAAGATCTATGACGTTAGCTATAAAACGGTTAATCTTGTAATCCTCGACATAGGAGGGCAGTCTATGTTTATAGAATACTGGTCGAGCTACTATGAGGATGTTGACGGCGTTGTATTTGTGTTTGATTCGAGTGATAGCAGGTCGTTTATTGAACACATAGGGCACATAAGATCCACTCTACCCAGCACGCCTATGCTGATACTGGCAAACAAGTCGGACCTCAATCCTATGTTTGATCCTAACCAGTTTGGAAAAGATTTCAGCGAACTTCTTGAGAAGGAAGATGTAAGGCTCATTAAGTGCTGTGGGATAAGGGGAGACGGATTAGAATCAGGGTTTGATTGGATGGTAGGCAAAGCAACGGAAAAGCTTGTATTAGATGAGGAAGTAAAGAAGAGGATGTAGAGCCAGGTAGATCTTGAAATATGTGATCCCTGAATGCCCATCTTTAGAGCCGCATGGGGTTTAAGATAGGGAATGCATATACTACGTCAGAAATAAAAAAACATAGGAAAGAAAGAAACAAAAGGCTTCTTTTAGAGGTATATGGACTGACAACAGACCAGAACTTATCGAAGGACGGTGCCGGAAGGTATATATGTGTGGTCTGCAAAACCAAGCATCTAACAGAAATGAGCTATGTGAGGCATAGGGAAGGAAAGAAACACAAGGAGAAGCTCTCGGGCAAGAGCGAAGCCAAGTCCAACATTCCTTCACATAGTGTGCGATGCTTAGTTGAGGGGGATAAAAAGGGATACGGCATTACTATTGATTACAAGCTCGCTAAAGAAATGCCGCAGTTCCGCTTTGTAAGTAGTCTCGAGCAAGCCGTTGAGGAGTATGACGAGTGCTCTAAATATCTTGTATTTATATGCAGGCCGTACGAGAACATCGGTTTCAAGTTTGAGAACAAGGAAATAGATAAGAGTTCTATTTATGAAGATATCGACGATGAGACGGGTGCATATACATTCCACTTTTATTTTTTTGAGGGCTCATGAACTGTAGATTCGTTGATTTTTATGTCCCACTTTTTAATCCCAGCAGGATGTTATTTTGTCCTCTGTGCTCGAGTATGCTGGTTGTCAGAAGACAGTCCATGGGGAATGAGCTTTCGTGTAGGATGTGCGGATATCTATATGCAATATCCAAAGAAATAACCAAGTCTGTTCCCATGACACCGAAGAAGAGTGATGGGCTTATTGATGAGGATGAGAACTTGAAGTTTGTATCGAAGTGTGGCAAGAAGTGCGAGTGTGGCTCTGAGGAGGTTTCCTTTGTAGAGCTTCAGACACGAAGTGCAGATGAACCAATGACAATATTTTATAAATGCATAAGATGCAAGAAAGTCTGGAGAGAGTAAACAGTAGATCGCAGGGGCACCTGTAAACAGAATAAAGCATATTTATCTTAACTCGCTTTCCACTGGTAGCTCATCCAAAAGGTATAGGCTGGAACCTACCGTCATTCTTCCTCTCCACATATTTCGATCTCTGAAAAAGCAAAGAAGACCTCACCTTCCTCGTTATTATCCCCTTCTTCTTCATATACAATCCTATCAGATGGCCACTTCTTCGCTATGGTTGTCCATTGGCTGAGAATCCTTGATTTCTCTCCACTCGTCACAAAGAACATGTATTCTGTAGGAAGGCCGTATCTGTAAACTGACTCCACAAAAAGCCTCAGAAGCTTCACGTGAATCAGTATCTTGAGAGCCTCTGTTAGATGGACATGCACGAATGTCATAAGTACTCTTTCGATGGCAGAAAACCTTTCCTCGGCTTTTCTTCTTTCTGCAATAATCTCCTCAGAAGACATCGTGTTCTCATCGAGTTCTCTGACCAAAAAGCCCTCAGCATGCATCGCATTTCTTACTTCCTCCTCAGAGCAGTGCAAGATGTAGAATTTGAAAAGATCGTGGTCTTCGTCGCTGTTTATCTTCTCGACTACTTCTGGTGATATATGGGGAGACTCATCTACTATTCTATTGAACTCCGAGGCTTTGCTCTTCTGAACGATCACATAGAGAACCTTAAGGAACTCGTACTTTTCTTCCTTTCCCACTATTATGCTGAGGTTTATGTCGCACAGGTTTCCCCTTGTGAGTTTTTGAAGCTTGTCACACTCCTTCTTTGCCTCGTTGAACTCCTCGACTTTCTCCTCATATGCCTTGCTAACTCTCTTGTACTCTCCCTCGAGAAGTAGAATCGCCTTGTCAATCGAGTTGGTTACAAAGCTTTGGGTGTCCCATCTGAGGAAGTCCTTGATCTTCTCGATGCTATCGCACATAGCTTTCGCGCTACCCTCGCAGGAGTACCCCATGAATGTTTTGAGAAGGCCCTCGCACGACTTTTCCAATGAGCTTAGTCTTTCCACTTGGTTCACTATCCCCTCTAAGGACACTCCTGTGAACGACGGAAGAGCCACTTGACAAGGACAGATCCCGTACTCCTCCTTGATCTGACTCTCTGTCAGGCAGGGCGCATCCTCTTCTACTGGCAGTCCCACAAGAACGAACATCGGGGTACTGTATTTTGGTGTTTAAGTGAGCTCTTTGGGTGTAAGATTTGTGATCTGGAGTTGAATGGTAAGTAGCATCGACGTCTTGAATTGAATCGCAGTGTTTCATCACTTCCAAATAAATAAAGACAGTGAAACCCTGTGTAAATAATGTATCTTCACAGATCAGAGATAGAGGCTGGAGTTGAAAAGCTTATGAAGACCGTAGAGGACAACGAGGCTTCTGAGAAGTGTAGGAAGCTACTGAAGGAAATCGGCAAGCTTGAAGAAGAAAACATCAGAGACTTCATCAGAGAGAAGCGGGATGTTGTTGATGTCTTTATGAGGGGCCTGAGGGCCAGAAGGCAGGTCCAGATTTTTGTGATAGATTTCATTTACACTTTTCTTGTCAACGATCTTCTTGGTTTGAACGATATTAGTGAGATTATCAATGTTATATCTGAGGGCAGCTGGTGCGAGGCATCGAAGATGAAGATACTTCAGATGAGCTACTACATCATAAGATATGACAACTTCCAAGGGGACCTTGCATTGTCCTTGTTTAAAAGCATAGTGAAGATGATTGATGATAGAAGCAAGCAGGTCCAGACGACTGCAAAGCCCATAGCAATGCATCTTATAGACGTTGCTTTTGGCAAAGCAAGTTCAGTTTTCAAGGAGGAGGCCCGAAGTGAGGAGAGTGAGGTCAATTCTGGTATGCAGGCGGCAGACACTCTTGAAGGTTGTAGGCCTGGGACTGAGAAGCTACTTTTGAGGACGAATTTGGAAGTGGGGAGTCCGATAGACGATGGGATTTTATTTCTCCGGTATCTCCTACAGAACATTGGTGCCTCAAAAGAAATGGGATACTTTGTGATTGACACGGTGGTCCTGATAACCCGAAAGAGCGAGCTTTTTGAGTATGAGGAGTTTAAGAAGGTCTACAGTGCGGAGGTGATGGATGTGCTGAGGGAACTGATAGGGAGAAGATGCTCTTCTAAAGGAAATGTGTATAAGGTGATTTCGCGGCTGGCTGAAAGGCACAACTGTTTATTTGAGAAGGGGATCCAAAGAGTGTTTGATGAGATTGAGAAATCCTATGATTTCTTTGACGACCTGGAGATGGAGATATTTTTGGACTTTTTTGGATCGCTAGATATACTAGTATTCAATAGTTACTCTGAGGTTGTAAGGAGAATCTTCTTCAGGATTCTTGAGGGCACATCGCTTGACAAAGATGCGGGAAGCGGGGATGCCATAAGCGCCATAAGAATTTCACTGAGAAACCAGTTGGAAGCCGAGGAAAAAGCCAACGGAAAGCACCACCCATCGACAAAGGCCTTTTTTGATAAGTTTTGCGAGATTCTACATGCAAAGTTGTCTGGAATTACTAATCCACATCCAAATGTTGAAGACCTGCTAGAGACTGTTCTTAGGTTTTATGCCATTTCTGGGAGCAAAGAGTCACTGGAAGTGTTCATGGCTCTTGGATGCAGGCTTGGGTTTACGGGGGTTGTGTGCAGAAATGCAATTGAGAATAGAAAGCATATCCAAAACTCCTGGGATGTTGTCCTTGGCGGGTGCAAGGATCATCTTGGAAGTATCATTGAGTCTATTGGCACCTTTGATGCTGAGGAGATTTTCTTTCTGATAAAGGCTGTAGAGGGGTTGGAGTCTACCAATGCATGGAGTTCGAAAGATAAGGTAGACTTTCTATTGTCTGTATTCAATATTACCAAGCCCATTGTGGTGGAGCCATTGAATGTAAAGATATTTGAGATGATTCTTAGTGGGATGCTGAGGGAAAGCAGCAGTGACGAAGGCTATTCTATTCGAATATTCTGCTCTGTTCTTGTGGACTATTCCGGGCAACTAGAGACTTTGACACCTGATGTTGAAAGTGTTATTTTCACGCTCTTGCAGAGGATGCTTGAGAGGAACCTGGAGAGGAATGGGCTAGAGATTCTGGAGACAATGTCAGAGGTGCTGAGGATCATAACGCCTGAGAGTTCCTGGGACATTGTTTTGCAATGTGTTGAGTGTTCATGCATTCCTTGCCTATACTCTTCTCTATATCCCATTGTGAGGTGGATTATAGAGGGATCTGGGCATCTCATAAGTAACGAGCATTTTGAGAAACTTATTGACTGCCTACACTTGATGTGCTTGTCAACAAATAGTGAGATAAGCCTGAAAGCGATGTCTATTTTCCAAGACGTGGGAGAGTGCTTGATGAGTAGGAAAGCATTTAATCGATTTCCTGGTGCCGGAGCTGAGGACAGAGAGATGAACTCTGCATGGGCAAAATATATCAAGGTTCTTGGAGGAGCAGCAGGGGACGAAAGATGCATGGTACGCGAGGCGGCGATCAAGTATCTTGTCATGTTTCTTGAAGCAGAGTCTGAGTCCCTGAGTCCTCAAGAGCTAGATTTTGCTGCAAAAAGCGGGCTTGTCCCTTTGTTAGAAAGAGGTAAGCAGCTTCTCAGAGCACAGGAGCAGGAGTCACAATGTACTTTGATGCTGATGCTCGATGAGTGCAGTAGGGTGATTGGAAAGATGGACTACCACTCGGAGCTGTATAGTAAGTTTCTTGAGGTAGTTACTGATGGAGTGTGCCATTCTGGCTCTTCTGAGATCCAGAGCATGTGCATTGAGAGCCTAAGGATGATAGCAAGCAAGTCTTCTGAGGTGAAGCATAGAGATGGGCCGCGCCAGGAGGGAAGTGACCAGAGTTCTGAGGACATGGGATTTAGAATGGGTGCGGGAGAAAGGAAGTCTTTGATGCCTTCGTTCAAGCTAAGGGATCTGGTTTTCAATGCGTACAAGTCGATGTTTGGTATGATTCCTGGAAGTGAGGAATGCTCTACTAATATGTATCTTGAGATGATAGATTTAGCTAAGGAGTTTACATTTAAAAGCTCTGAGATGCGGATACTGATTCCTTTACTCCGTAAGTTTGTTCACAGCGAGAATCGCGTTCTTCAAGAGAAGGTGCTGGACATGGCTGAGATGTGGGGGTCTGAAGCGGATGTACAATTGGAGGCCTACAACGATTGGATGAACTTCAGGGATATTCAGCTGAGCAGGATGCTTATTGGGAGGATAGGAAGGGTATTATCAAGGAACCCTGAGGATTCGAGATACTCTGAAGCGGTTATGGAGCTGGTTGAGTATTGTAAAGAAAAGGCTTTTTGGGAGGATGTTGCTAGGGCATTTATGAAGGGGTCTGAAGGCATAAGATCCCGTGCTTCGTTTCTATCCTTTATAAGTGGGAGTAAGATGATTCTAGATGAAGCTGCTAAAGTTGGAATACCCGAGGATTTACGGGAAATGGAGGATGGAAATGGATTGGCTGCAGAGCCTGTGGAAAGTACGGCGAAGATCGTGAAGAAAAGGGAAAGAATTGTGCTGGAGTTTTTGGTGTTTTATCACAATCTTTTGACGAGATTTGCTCATGCTTGTAGCTCTTTGCAGACCCACACGATGCAGCCTTTTGACCAGGCAACTATATCTGACGTTAGAGAGGGATACAAAGTGATATTTGAGATGAGCGAGGTTGGGTCAGGGCTTGGAAAGGAAAGCATCTGTTTCAAGTGTTATGAGATATTGTTCCATGATGTTGATCTTATCTACAACGATGTCAGAGAAAGGATCAGGAAAGTTCTGAGTGAATATAACGAGATGGAAATGATATATAACGGCTTGTATTCAAGGGTAAAGCAGAGGGAGGTGTACACGATACTGGAGAAGATGTGGAGAAGTGAGAATAGGAAGCTTGTGAATGATGTTAAGGATGTTCTTGTTGAATCTCTCAGGTCGAAGGACTACAAGGTTATTGACCATGTCCGGAAGTGCTTGGAACTTATTCTTGTGCAAAATAAATAAATACTGACCAGTGCAATATTTTTCTAGAAAAAACAGATAAATCCGGAAAGAAAAAATAATAAAAGGCTGAAATCCCTAAAGGTCAATGTCAGAAGAGAAGCAAAAGTCTAATACTTCTAGAGCAATTGGAATTGATTTAGGGACAACGTTCTCCTGTGTTGCTGGATACATAAGCGGGAAGGTGGAGGTTATTACAAATGCTGATGGGGAAAGAACAACGCCATCTGTGGTAAGCTTTGATGAGAACAACTGCACTGTCGTTGGTACGGCAGCAAGGAACATGGTTGGGATAGACCCCACGTCTGTATTGTTTGATGCAAAGAGGTTGATTGGAAGAGAGTTCGATGATCCAAAGATCCAGAATGCTATAAGTGCATGGCCGTTCAAGGTTGTGAGATACAATCACCGGGAGAAGAGGGAGGAGCCCAACAAAGTTCCTGAGGGATCCAACTCCTATGACAACATAGCATTCAAAGTAACGAAGAATGGAAAGACCAGCTACTATGCGCCTGTTGAGATCAGTGGAAAGGTGCTGTTGTATCTTAAGAATGCAGCAGAGGCAAGGCTTGGAGGGACTGTTGACTCTGCAGTTGTGACTGTTCCTGCATACTTCGAGGAGCCTCAAAAGGATGTGACCAAAGCAGCGGCAACGATTGCTGGATTTGACCCCAACAAGGTCCGACTTCTTGCAGAGCCTACTGCAGCGGCAATGGCATATGGGCATATCCAAACACAGAAGAACGCCAACTTCTCTGCAAAGGAGGATGTTCTCGTGTTTGATCTTGGAGGAGGTACATTTGATGTATCTGTACTTGACTTTGAGTTCAATGGAGCAGCAGGGTCTCTTGGGATTGTCAAGGCGATTGACGGAGACACATTCCTTGGAGGACAAGACTTTGACAACTTCTTGATCAACCACTGTATCTCTGAGTTCCTCAAGAAGAACCCTTCGATTAAGAAGAGTGACTTGAAGGAGAGCGCACTTCTCAGGCTTAGGGCTGAGTGTACAAGAGTCAAGGCAGTTCTTAGCTCTGCAACAAGCAGCGCCATCTATGTTCCATGCTTCCACATGACCGATGATCTGAATGTTCAGATAACCCGTGCAAGGTTCGAGCTTCTCTGTGATCACCTTTTCAAGAAGTGTATGGAAAGAACCAAAGGATGCCTGTTGCGCTCTGCAGGTGTTCCTGAGGTTGAATACTCTGCAGATGGAAGCAGACTCCTTCTGAATCCTTCTCTCGAGAAGACATTGAATGAGGTCAGGAACTCCATCAGCAAGGTTCTTCTTGTTGGAGGATCATCGAGGATTCCAAAGGTTAAGGCAATGCTTGCAGAGTACTTTGGTGCACACAAGGTTGTCGAGCCTGTGAATGCCGACGAGGCTGTTGCATACGGAGCAGCATACCAAGCAGCATCTATATACTCTGATGCTGTGGATGCAGGGTCAAGTCTTCTACTTATTGACTGTGTTCCACTGAACCTCTCAATTGAGACTGCCGGGGGAGTTGCAACCCCTTTGGTAAACTGTGGTGACAACATTCCCATCAAGAAGACTGAGACATTCACTACCTACGAGGATAACCAGACGGCAGTGACTATCAATGTGTATGAGGGAAACAGGCCAATGTGCAAGGACAACAAGAAGATAGGTAGCTTCAATTTAGACGGAATTATTGCAGCACCTCGTGGGGTTCCAAAGATCGAGGTTACATTTGACGTCGATCACAATGGGATTCTTATAGTTACTGCACTAGACAAGCAGACTGGAAAGGAGAACAAGATAACTGTGACGAACTCGCAGAACAGACTCAGCCAGGAGGAGATTGAGAGGATGGCTAAAGAGGCAAGAGACAATGAACAGAGGGATAATGAAACAAAGGAAAAGATGACCAAGAGGATGTCCTTTGACCAAGCCATCTTCTCTTTCAAGAGTCTCCTTGAGAAGGCAAACATTCCCCAGGAGAAGAAAGACGAGTCTCTAAAGATCATCAAGGAGAACGAGGAATGGCTTGCAAGGGCACAAGGGCCAGATGACTTTGAAACTGAAGAGCTTGAAAGGAGGTCTAACGAGCTCCAGAGCTTCATGAACGACATCATGAAGGAGTCTGGGATGGGTGGAGCGCCAGCAGCCTAAATAATTAAAAATGGTTTGTCCCTATAATTGGTTGCCTATACTTTTTTTCTTAGCATGATGGTTTAAGAAGCTGATCTTGTAACCCCGGGATGGCTATTATTTCTCTGGTAGTCATCAACGTACACACAAAGAAGATAAAGGCCAAGGCATTCAGCCTTGGGCAGTTTTCGTTCTTCACCAGGGGCAAGGTAAGGGAGACTCTAACATTTATTTCCCAAGAGCTTGCCGAAAAGCTGGAGACATATGAGTTCCAGGAGTACACACACGAGTTCAATGACGAAAAGGTCTACAAGCTGTTCAGCCTAGTCCACAACGACTATGCATACATAGCATGTGCAGATGACGGCTATCCAGGAATTGTGGCTCTGAAGCTCTTGCAGGAAGCAAGACATGGAAATATCGAGAGGCTCATTGACGAGTACAAGGACCCTGCGTCCAAGCACACACTCTTGCAGATACAGAACGAGGTGGAGGAGACCAAGGGTGCACTGTCCAAGACACTGATGGCCGTTCTTGAGCGCAACGACAAGTTAGAGGACCTGGTTGCTAAGTCTGAGCATCTTTGCTACGAAACAAAGTTGCTATTCAAAAGCGCAAAGAAGAAAAATAAGTGCTGCTAACTAAGGGTCCGTAAAATAAATTTAGACACGCCATACTTTTTCCAATTTTCTAGAGGTTGCCTTGCGATCCCATCGGAATGGACCGCGAGTTCAAGCTGTTTTATGAGACACTAGACAAAGGCAAGTTCAAGTTTTTTGCAAGGGGGGAGGCATACAGCGTGTTCAATGAGGACATAGAGATGATTCCCCGGTACAATGCAAAGGATGTGGTCGAGAAAAAGGAAGGAAGGGAGCTAAGGATTTCCAAAGGGGAAATCGAGGATGTTATCAGAATGCTTCTGACGGAGGCTAAGATCGGGGTTCAGGAGTACGATGGGCAGACTCTTCTAAGGGAGGGGTTTCCAGGGAACTGGAAGGACTTCACGGATCTACTGCTAGACTCCAGGAGCGTCCCATCGGTTGCAGCCGTAAAGATAGGAGATGCTGTAGAAATAAGCTTTCTTGTCACATCTGAATCCACAATCTACACATCAACCTTCGAGGATGATGAAATATTTAGTAGCCTATACTGGATCTTAAACGAAGTGAATGTTGTTGAAGTGGTGTATGATAACAGGAGGCTGGATGATTTTCTAAACAGGCTAGGGATCTCCAGCTGCCTGAGAAGAAGTGAGAAGAACACTGCAAAGCTCCTGTGCAGATACCTTAGGATATCCGAGGAAAATTATGAGCACAAGGAATACATCAGGCCGTTTGTGTGCCGTGTAGATAGAAATGTTCTTCTTGCACTGAACGTGTATAGCAAAGATGAGCATTGTGTATCCAAAACCTTCTGTTGCCATACAAACCAGGGATGGCGGCTTCTTCATAAAATGTTTCTACAGCCACTTCGTAGCAAAGAAGAAATAGAAAAGAGGCTGGGCATTACCGACTCATTGAAGACACTCAATCTTGATGTTCTGAAAAAATTTCCAGATCTTCTAAGATTGTCAAGGAGAGTAAGTGGAGGCAGGGTGTCTTTGAGAGAGATTCTTAGGCTGATTCAGACTGTAGATACCATTCCCGAGCTTCTGTCTTCCTTTTCATCCTCCATACCTCTTACCAGAGATGTTGCAGACCCTCTCAAGAAGATTTTTTCGGCATTTGAGCCGGTCAAGGCTGAGGTCGCAAGAGTAGTTGATCTTGAGGCTGCAGAAGAGAATGTGTACAGGATTATGCCCGACGTGTCCCCAAGGCTTCTCAAACTCAATGAAGCCCTGAAGAAAGTTGACGAGGAAATGGGTGATGAGTATGAGAGGGTGTGCGAGACCTTCCCAAAGCTTAGGATAGACAGGGCCTCAGGGGTTTTCAAGACCACAAAAACAGAGTACCAGAAGAGTCAGAATCTTTTTAAGAAGGAGGGCTTTGTCGAGTTAAGCTTTGGCAAAGGTGGTGTTTCACTTACAACAAGGGTGCTTTCCTCCTTGAATGAAAGAAAGATATCTCTTAGAAAGGAAGTAGAGGATGAAGAGAAGGACATTGTAGACACGATAAAGGCCATGCTAAAGAGCTATGTGTCCCACATCGAGTCCTTGAACTACCTGACAGCATTGATCGATGTGTTCAATGCGTTTTCCCTTAAGGCCACTCTCAAGGGGTACTCGAGGCCTGTGTTCAGCGATGGCACATTTGAAATAAGGAACGGATTCCACCCGGTGCTTGAAGATCAGGACTACATTCCTAATTCGATAAGAATGGACGACAAGAGAATGTGCGTGGTGACAGGGCCGAATATGGGGGGAAAGAGCACCTTTCTCAAGACTTGTGGGGTAATTGCTCTTCTTGCACACATGGGGTGTTATGTTCCTGCGGAGTATGCTAGGATTCCAATTCTTGATGGGATATATGTTAGGATCGGCGCCACAGATTGCTCATTCCTGGGATCATCCACATTCATGATGGAGATGGCCGACATAGCGAGGATATGCCATCTAAGCTCTCCAGAGTCCTTGATAATAATAGACGAGCTTGGGAGAGGAACCAGTGCAATCGATGGACTAAGCATAGCACAAGCAGTCAAGGAACACCTTGTCTTCAAGAAAAGCCTGTGCCTCTGCGCCACACACTTTCCAGAGCTCTGCGGTGAAGATGTTCTAAACAAGAAGGTTAGGAACGAAGGAACGCTCCTTATGTACGAATTGGTCGACGGTGTTTGCGACACGAGTTTCGGCATAATGGTTGCAGAGAAGGTAGGGTTCCCCACACAGGTGATCCAAATGGCCAAAGAGTACATGAAAAATGATTTATGAGAGCGCCAACGGATTAAGTTGCTTGTACAGGCCCCACCATCACCTTTGCACAGAAGCACGTTTAATAAAATCATTTGTTTTATTAACTCTGTATCAATAGGCAAGTATTGCCAGCGTGCAGCATCCATGGGTGACTACGACTTCGAAGGGTTATCTTTGTCTTCATTGTCTTCGGATCCAAACGTTATTTCATAGAAGTTGTTTCCATCGTGTAGCAATGGCCTCATACTTCCCTCTACAAACCTTAGGTTATCATGGGATTTAGTAAAGACCAGCAGTCCAGTTTTCATGTCAAATATATTTACGATGTGGGGCCCAACACATATAACATGGTTCTTGATCACTTTAAACCCTAGTGGATTGCAATTCCACAGAAAGATGATATCTGTCCGCTTAAGCTTCCCAGTGTCGTCAACTATGAATCCCATGGAATTGAAGCACAAGAGGAACTCATGGGAAGAGACAGGGAAGATCGACTTTGCAACCATGTTCTTGAGCCCATGGAATAGCACAGGGATGAACGGGTCATAGACCTGCAGAAGCTCCTCAGACCTAAGGGTCTCCATATCGACAATCTCAAAGTCCTTGCATCCTATCACAATCTTCTCCGAGCAGAAAAATACATTGTACACCTGCAGACCTATATATAGCTTTCGCGAAAGCTCGATTGTAATCGAGTCGAGGGACACCACCGCCAAAAAGAGAAATATGGAGACAGATTTGCCGTCTCCAGAGTCTGTTGATGCAATGCAAGGCCCCTGCTTTGTTATTCCATAGAAGAAGTCCTCAATGTTGTCCTTCAGGACATTTTCTTCAATGCTTGTTGATTCAACATTGAAATGGGAAGCATACAGAGTCGACCCTGACTTGTATAGCATGATTTCATATGTGGAGTCGTAAATTATCTTATCTACCTTCCTGTCTAGGATCTTGTCGAGCTTCTTATTCGAGAACCGATAAACCCCGTCTCCTATTGCTACAATATACATGGCTCTCTGTGCAGAAGTGTATTCGGGATCGTCATTTCTGTCCAGGGGAGGTGAAATCCTGATGCTGCTTACAAAAAAGTCTGCCGTGGGAAAGAAGCTCTTCCACAAGGATTCTTTCTTGTTGGACGAATTTTCGCATTCCTCCCTCCTAGGCTCCTGCACCTCCTCCAGATCAGGATTCTTCTTTCTCTCAATGTCGTTCCTTCTGGTCTTATGGAACTTATCTATGAGCTTGGTTAGGTCTTGATCCTTAGACTCCTCCGAGTATCCAATATTGGCTGAAGATTCCTCATCAGACAGTGTTCCGGTACTGGTCTCTAGGCTATCTGAAGAAGAAAAGGACTCTTCATACCACTTTATATCGTTGGCTTGGCATGCATACCTCACAGTCTCGTCCACTTTGTAGGGCAGCTTCTTGAAGGATATGTCACCTCGAAGATGTGCCTTGATCTTGAAAATCGCCTTCTGAATTATGTTGTAGTATACATCCCTTTCTCCCTTGTCATAGAAATATAATCCCCAAACCCGTATGCCTCCCCTTTCAAACAGAAATAGAGGATACAGATTCTGGAAAAACGGGTCTTCAGGAAAGAACCTGACATTCTCCTTGACCGCAACCAGCCTCGACATAAACATCGGCTCTTCGTTGATGTATATCTCAGAAAACTTGTCTTCCGGATAATCACATATCAGCATCAGATGGTCAAAGATAAACACCTTGAACATCTCGGGCTCTTCATTCGAATGGCTTCTTATCAATGCTTCTCCTTCCTTTAGTAGCTTTCTTTTGCTTTGAAATAAGCCCAAGCAATGCTGGTTTCTAATACTTTGCTTGTACCTGAAGTTAATCCCCAGCTTGTACATTGAAAACTGCGTGCTAAACCTATTGAACTCTTTGTCTGCATTCTTCGCTATCGCCATGAACTTTTCAATTAGGTTTTCATACTCATTCTTGAGGTCCCCCTCCTCGTTCTTGGCTATGGCCTTCAGGAGCAAAGGATACCTTGCAAGCTTTTGTGACGGCCTGTACAAAAAATGCTTTATCCCAAGAAACGAGGAATTCTTTTCTCTCAGAAATTCCTCTGCCCCCTTTGCAAATTCCGGATAGCGGTGTATAAGCTTCTCAAGCTCAAACTCAGCCTTGGGAAGCCTCCTTACATATTCGTTATACAGCTCAAACTCTTCAATGTGCTTGTTGTATATTGAAACATACTCTAACTCCTGCAGGCTCGGGTTTTCGGCATCAACCTTATCGATCATATACTCACTAGTATTTTTCATGACATTCTCCCCCGTCACCTTCGAATACATGCTAAGGTTTGCCCTCCTCATATCCTCGCATATCCTATTGTGGAGTTTTTCGATCCTGTCCATGTTAATAAATATCCTGTCGCATATCTCATACTTGACTTTCGGGGTACTGAACAATGGGTATCCAAGAATCCATATTCTGAACTCCTTTTCCCAAATAAGAAGATCCTGGATGTAGGACTTCTCGCTCTCAAAAATCTCTCCAATGGCTTCGATACGTTTTTTAAGCTTTGACATATACAATAGAATCCTTTGTTTTCTGTATTTATCTCTTCTCAATGTTTCAGAAAGAAACATCAGTAGCGTTTGTTGTTAATCCACTGGCAAGAGGGAGCACAGCTATCTATCCTTGAAGACCTCCGAGTTCCTTCTCCTCAAGTGATCTGCTACATTGAACATCGTTTCCACGCCCACAATAGACGGCTTCTGGAGCAGCTCCATACAAACATCAAAGTCTTCTTGGATTATAGCATTCCTCATTATGATTATTGCAGAGGCACAGCAATACAACACCATCTCAAATCTGTATGTATCGCTGAGAAACCTGTCCCATAGCCATATGACATCCTCAATTTCAAAGCATGACATAAACATCAGCAGTATCCACTTCATGTGGAATCCTCCCTCCGTCAAGCCCTTTCTTCTCATCATAGCATACAGCTCCTCGTCCGCCCCTCTAACTATCTCCATAACCATGGACATCCTGTGCATTATCCCTCCGCTGCATTGGTCAAGATCTCTTATGAAGTTATCTCCTATCTCAACCATCAGCGAGTTAAAGCAGAAAAAAGAGTCCTCTTCACAATGCTTCTTGTCATCCTCATCATCACTTGTGCACAGCACATAGTATATGGCTATTAGGATGAGATTCATGCCCTGGACATACCTTACAGACGAGTTTGACATTGCATAGCACTTCAGTATCCTCTTGATCACATCTCTGTGTGTTTCTCCAGAGCCCAGGGATACGCTATCCAGAAATTCGCAGTACCTCTTTTTTTCCTCGGAACCTCCACAGCCTGTTCTTGGCTTAATGAATGTCCTTGAAACATCGTTGTCAATCACCTTGTAGCACTCTTCTTCTCCCTCAAACCCACTTCCGACTCTCTCTGCATAGAAGCTATACGAGTTCCTCATGTTTCTGAGAAACATTTCTGTCTTGAACTTGTTCTTACTGTAGTATCCAAGAAATACCTTCCAGTACTTCGGCCTGAGCGATGAATTGGAAAACCCGTAGTAGCAGTACTTCTTTATCTCGCAAACATCAAGCGGCGTAGAGTCTGTGGGGTTTATCTGCTTTGATATGAGGCTGTGCAGCACCGTTCTTTCTCTTTTTCTATGAAAATTCATCACCTCCCTCTCTGCACTGATCCTATACAAGTTCTGTTGTTATGTGTGAACTTCGGCCAATAAGCTCCGGGCAATGTGCATTGAGTCTTCTGGGGCGATTGGGTTCTTATAGCAAATCCTTGACCAATCAATGACACCGGAGCAAGAAGAGGCTTGCAGAGACATGAACCATTGCGCTTTCCTGAGGTACAACAAAACTTCTCTGCCCTAATGCTCCTAGATTCGTGAATCAGGGTCGACCTGTGCTTCCCATTGGCACATGAGGCCGCAGACTGCGTGGAAAAGGAGTTCAGTATTAAAACGGAATGCAAGAAATGTATCCATGCATTCAAGAGAAGCTTTGGCTCTTGAGAACGGTGCCAAGTATAGAGGTGAGCAGCTTACCAATGGAGGGTCGTTCAAAATAGAGATGAATGTCGACATCGTTGACATCGAACAAGAGTTTATCTGCGGGACGTTTGAGATACACAACCTTACCGATAGATACGAGCTTCTCACGACGTATTTTGAGGGCGAGATAGTCGGAAACATCTATCCATTCACGATGGAGGAGTATTCGATGGCAAATCCAGACATAATACACTGGAAGCTTTTCCCAGAATGGAAAGGAGAATATGTCTATAGAAAGGGATCGTATGATATAAAGAAGAGTAATTTCATGTACATCAAAATCAAAGAACTGTTCTTGCTGCCCGACCCCCGGCTTAAAACCATACCCGGGGCGTCGATTGATGGGCACTACTATTGCTGCTACTACAAGAACCTTGACTGCTTTGCAGGGCACTATTATTACAAAAACACGTCGAATCTAATATCCCAGCAGGTGCTTTTGGACAGAGTGTTCTTAAGAAAATCGAGGAGCAGGTCATTTAGCAAGTGACATTGATATATCATTAAATAATAATTTCAATGAAACTCTACGCCAGGCCCGGCGATGTGTTGAGATGAATCCTCTCAAGATTTGACAGGACTTTAAATGTTTTTGTGGAGGACCCTCGATGGATGAGGGTTGGAAAGTAAAAAGGCCACCTAACGGGACGAAGGCGGAGTCCAAGCTGTTTTCTGCACAAGGACACAAGTGGAAGTTAGTTCTATCGAACAGGGGCGGGAGGATATATTTGGCATTGGAATACCAAGGGGGATCGTACCACGACGTCCTGACAACATTTTGTTTTGATATTAATGGGAAGAGGCACGAGTATCAGTATCAGTTTTCGATGTTCAATACCGATATTGGAATTTATGTTGAAGACAAGGACAGCTATGTGGTCAAGGTTGATATAAGCGTGAGGAGTGGATACTACAACTCAAGAAAGGAAACGGGGCATGTAGGGCTTCGGAATCTTGGAGCAACTTGCTATGTAAACTCCCTAATGCAGGCCTTGTTCAACATAGCAAAGTTCAGGAACGACGTCTTTGGGCTAGAGCCTAGCGGAAGGGTGCTGCTCCTCCAGAAGCTATTCAAGGAAATGCAGGTGGAAGAGCATCCCGTGGACACAACAGACTTTGTTGTGAACAACATATGGGTGGATGATGTTCATGTCCACCAGGACATTCACGAGTTCTCGAAGGTTTTTTTTGATTCTCTGGAGAAGGACAGCAAGAGAAAGGACTTTATAGAGGATCTAATCCAGGGAGAGTTGACGACCTACATAGATGGAAAGTGCGGATGTGTCCGGAAAATAAAGGAGAAGTTCCAGGATATCCAGGTGGAGATCAGGGACTTCCTCAACAACAAACTGTCATCAAATCTCCACGAGTCTTTGAAGAGGTATGTGGAGGCGGAGGTGCTTGATGGAAATAACAAATACAACTGTGAAAAGCATGGGTTTGTGGATGCAAAGAAGGGGGTGCTGTTCAGGTCTCTTCCCCCGGTGATGTTTGTTCTTCTGAAGAGGTTCAATGTTGACTTTGAGACAGGAAATGGCTATAAAGTGAACGACTACTTTGAGTTTCCCTCCTCAATTGACATGTCACCGTTTATGGAGAAGGACGATGGCGAGGAGAAGCAGTCTGACGAGACATATGATCTCTATTCTGTGATTGTGCACAGAGGAGACCATGACGAAGGACACTTTTATGCTTACTTGAAGATTGGTGGAAGATGGCTCAAGTTCAACGACACGGTTGTGACAGAGGCTGGGGAGATGGAGGCCATGGAGCATAATTTTGGAGGAAAACATCCTTACAAGGACAAGATAAGGGATTACTCGGGATACTATCTGATTTATCTCAGAAGAAGTATGTCTGACAGCCTGTTGAATATGAAGGTTACTATTCCTGGAAGAATAGAGGAGATACTAAAAAAGAAGCAAAGCAAGGTCCCGATCAAGTGTATAAAAATAGATAACATCAGGAACTATAGGGGGGTTGGATTCTACAATGTCAGCTCATACGACTATCCCCTGAGTGGATATACTGAGTTTATTATAAAAGAGGGAGATAGCATTAAGCTTCTGAAAAATAACATCGAAAAGCACCTTAACACTCGGAGATTCTTGTATCTGTTTGAATGCACCAGGATGGAAGACACCAAGAAGATGGATACAGCAGAAAGGCCAAGCAAGAGGATTAAAGAGGATGCCCATGGGTCGATGGAGCCTGAGACTGGGAAGGGAGAAGATATTTCCAGGGCCATCGAGTATGTAAGACTCAGCCATCAGAGGAACGTGAGCCTTGTAAGCGACGGGTTTGTCAACACTGATGCTGACTACTTCATTTATGCATGCTATCCAGAGGTTGACTTTAAGAGAAACAGGCTTATCTTTCTGAAGGTTTTTAGTAATATGCCCTGGTGCGAAGACACACTACCCACCTCTTTAAGGCTTTGTGCATGTATACATATGGAAGGAACGATCAAGGACAATATGAGCGTTATCATTGAGAAAACAGGGCTTGAAGATGTTGTGGTGTTCAGGGAGTTTGATTTCTCGTCTGCATTGGACCCGTCTACTGATGTTTCTAGCCTTCCACAAGGAGACGTCTTGATTAGCGTTCGAAGGGAGGATGTCCTGGAGTTCCTTGACTTTATAAGCGATTTCTATAGAAGACTGTGTGTGAATGTTTCCTGCGGCCCTCACAACTTCACTGTGTTTGTGAGAAGGGGATTGACGAGCACAGAGCTTGAGGGCAAAATCCGGCGGTTTGTAGGGTCTAAGGAAATCTTCCTGAAGAGAGGAGAGGCTGTTTCTGATAGCTCAGGATTCAGGACGGCAGTGGAAGACTTCACACAGTCGGATGCGGAGTCGGATGCCCGTGAAAGCCTGCAAGCAAAGAACACTGTGACTTGCACTATCAGTCCGGAGTATCAGGTGGTTTATCTGGGGTTCTGCAACAAAGAGATGGACTACAACTCTGTTCCTCATCTTCACATTTTTGTAACCAAGATCGGGTGCACCTCCCTGGAGCTAATCAAGAACGTTCTTGTGTCTCATTTTATATGCCTCAATCCTGTGCGGGGGCATTCTCTGAAGGCCCTGAGGATAGTAGACACTGTTAGAGATACGCTGTATCTTAAGGGGTTTGGGATGTCCGAGGAATTTACCGCCAATGGGATGTGTGTTATCCAGCCCTTTGTAAAGAGGGCTATCAAGACAGCATACTACAGTGGAATGTACAAGATAATAGGGTTTCCATTCTTCTTGCAAACAGATGCAGAGAGCGTTGCTGAGTTCAGAAAGAAATACAAACTGTTTGGGAAGATGGTTATGTTTGACGGAAAGAGCTATACAGACTTAGAGCTCGACTGGCCTATGAGCAAGTTCAATGACGAATGCTTCCTGTTGATTGAAAGAACGTAGCTTTACTATTAAAAGATGATGTATTTCCAGGCGTGGTTTAACAAGGTCTTCTGTGGATGGAAAGACAATAAAAATGGATGGTCTAAGAGCCCTTGAATGGAATTTGAGGAGTGCGGAGAGGGGTATGCTGACAAGCTTGATCTGAAGTCGGCGTTCCTCGGAAAGCTACCTGGGGACAGGCCACTGCTAGAGGAGCTGGGGATAGACTTCAGCACAATAAAGAAGGAAAGCCGCCTGATTTTCGGGGTTTTCCAGAAGAAATACGTCGACTTCTCGTTTGTTAAGAATGCAGATCTTTCTGGGCCGATTGTGTTTATTGGGCTGTACACTCTTGGGCTTATCCTGAACTACAAGATCCACTTTGGATACATATACTTTATTTCTTTGTTGACAGCCCTATCCATGTACTTCTTATTGAATGTCCTTGACACAAAACACATAGGGTTCCTTGAGTGCTGCAGCGTCCTTGGATACTCGTTTCTTCCTGTAGTCTTTTTTTCGTTTACAAACATTCTCATGGGAAGGATCGGAGTTGGATTCAAGGTGTTCTATGGGCTTGGGTTTGCACTGTGGTCGAGCTACACAGCGTCTGTGGTGTTCTGCAGGTATCTCTCGCTCAGCAACAAGCACCTGGTTGTTGGATATCCGCTGTTGCTCGGATACACAGGCTTTGTAATGGTTGTTCTTTTTTGAAATAAATCATATAAATATTAAGGTCTTTGGGTTTGAACGCTATCATGGGTATGGACATATTTAATATTTGTAATTGATCTCGGAGATATAAAAGAAAAAACAAGAAAACTGGGATGCGAAAAAATGACTTTGACGTGAGGGAGATGAACGCGGCACTAGGTCTTCTGAAGCTTGCAAGGGAAGGGAAGAGCGAAGGAGATGAGCCCGATATAAGAACAAGGAAGACAACATTCCAGATGATGGTTCTCAAAGAAGTCTTCAAGATCGCGCCGCATCCATCCACACTCACAAAGACGGACCTTGCACTTATGATCAAGCTTCCATTGAAGGCTGTGCAGATATGGTTTCAGAACGAGCGGAGCAGGAAAGAGAGAGGTGGAAGGACTGGGAAGAGAAGCAGAGGAGGGAAGTCCGAAAATATAGATCCTGTTAAGCTGCTTAGGATTATAATGAAAGTTCTAGAGAAAAACAGAGAGGGACTTAGCTTCTGAGTTGCAGGATGTATTTTTGCATATTGGTGTAAGATGAACAGAGGGTGTTGGCCTCTGTATGATTTCCTCCAATTTTGAACATAAATTAAATATGAGCTTTCTTAAGAGGAGATATTTAATATCAACTACCCGTAACTTCCTTATTAGGCTGGGCGGAGGATTACCTAAAAACAGGACTTGAAGCGTCTACTTCTTTTCACAGTGCAAACTTGGAATCTGTTTTTGTAGTTGAGAAATAAGCTTAAAAGTATTGAGGAGGATACCTGATTGCGATTAAATTATAAATCTATTTAATAATAATATTATGTACTAGACTTTATTCAGGGTGCAATAATTTCAAGGAACAGATAGAGTTTTAATATCTCGAAGTGTTTTCAACAATAGACATAATTTCCCTCAAATCGATGGTTCTTGAATCGACGGCATCCTCAGCACTCTGGTTCTTCCCTTTGCTGATGTGTCTTTTGTTCTGAAACCATATATCTACAGCTCTCGGAGATAAGGAAATCAAAATTCCAATATCAATCTTGTTTTCCCATGTTGGATATGGAGTAATTTGGTATATCTTCTTGAGGACCTCCTTCTGGAACTTGCTTTTCCTGACCTTCTCGCCCGGTTTTTTCAGGCATCTCTCCGGGTGAAACAGTAAAACCATTCCAAGGGCAGCCTGAGCCTCCATCTCTCTTCGATCAAACACCTTGATGGTGAAAAATTTTGGATCTTTTTGTTTTAGAAATCGCCTGTTTAGGTCTCAGCCCCTTTCGAAGCTCCAATTGCCTGGAGAGTACCGATGTCATTCTTATCATCATGATAGATCAGGGAGTTTAGATCCTATCATGTTTCATTTAGATTCGGCATTTAAATTAAGCGATGTCTTGATGTATTTGACATCATATCTACGGCTAGGCAAAAACTGTGGAGGGCCAATTTACTATTGATGGAAATTATGTGTTTCCCATGGCGCTTTTCATCTAGGCCATGCTGCTAGTAATTACCCGCTTTTGGTATCCATAGATGGAGAAATACGAGGTTCAGGAAACACTTGCAAGCGGATCCACGGCAAAGATTAAGAAGGTGGTAACCACTGGAGACAAGGAGTATGCGATAAAGCTGATGAGAAAGGAGAGCGTGCCTCTGAAAGTGTTTTTGAGAGAAGTGAAGATACACAAGTCTCTGAAGCATCCAAATATAGTCGAGATTGTTGATTCATATGAAGACAGGGAGAGATATTGCATTGTAATGAGGCTGGGCTATGGAGAGGTGGGCAGTATGATTCAGTCTGGTGTGGGGTTAGACCCGCTTTTGGCAAATGTTTATTTCAGACAGTTAGTTTCTGCAGTGAGATACCTGCACTCAAAGGGAATATGCCACCGGGACATAAAGCCGGAAAACATGCTTATTGATGCGAATGGAAACCTTCTGTTGTCAGATTTTGGGTTTTCAACCTTGTTTCTCCGCAAGGGAAAGAAAAGAAGGCTTCGATTGCTTGCAGGGAGTCCTGAATACATGGCGCCTGAAGTCTTTGAGGGCGACTACGATGGAAGCCTTGCAGATATATGGTCTTGCGGAATAAGCCTCATTGCATTTTTGACGGGCACGCTTCCATGGGGTGCAGCAGAAAAGTCTGATGAGCAGTTCTCCTCCTTTATATCGAAGAGGGACCATAGTCAGGCACCCTTCGATAGAATAAGAGGACAGGTGATGAGGCTTATAATGAAAATTCTGGTTAGGAAAGAAGATCGTTTGTCTGCATCGATGATTATGGAGGATCCATGGGTTGTGCAGCCCAACAGGCTTCTCAATGAGTCGGGGCTTTGTAAAGATGCCCACGGGATATTTGAGCTGATTCCGTGCAAAAGTAAGACTGCACTCCACTTCACTCAGCCTGGTGAGATGCACAAGACACCAAAAGCATGCTTTATTTCTTCGCAGCCAGAAAGAGTTAGAGGAGGAAACGTCCATAGGCTATATGCTAAGAAGGTGCATGGCAGGTGTGTTGTGAAGGAGATATGCGAGGTTCTCGACTCGATGGTGGTTTCCCACAGGGACGCCGGGGAGTCTGTCGTGTTTTCTACAATTGATTCCAAAAGATCAGCGCTTTCTGGAGAAATTGGTGTCAGGAGGCTAGATGGAGATTACTGTGTAACTGTCCGCAGGACGAGGGGAGATGCCCGAGAATTCGAGAAGTTTGTAAAAGTGTTTGAGGGCCTGATTGGATACAGTAGCAGGATGCACCTAAATAGAATTACATAATAATGATATTTGATAAATAAACAAAACTAATTCCTTTCTCCTAGAAGATCGATATGAACAAGATGAAAAAGAATGATTGGAAGCATACAGGGTTTGGAGCTCTGTCGGTCATACAGGGATACCACAGAAGGATGTCAAGGAAGATCCAAAACATCTTTTTCATGGCCTTGGCGCTTCTTTCCTTTATTTTCCTCTATAAAAAATATTTTTTTGTTTGTAGAGCCAAGGAGGATCAGAGAATGGAGAGGATGTGCTTAGATTTCATAAACAAGAGGGTTGATAAATGCCTACAGCACAAGTCAAGGTATGAGCAGAACAAGGAGTTTGCAGCAATCAAGACACATCTCCCGCTCATCCCGTTGAAGATGACTCGATCGAATGCGGTTTTTCTGTATACATATAGGAAGCCTTATGTTGTGATAAAGAGGTGTATTGCGCCGGGCACACCGGGGCTTGCGGAGGACGAGATTCTTATGTCTCTTGACCACAAGAATGTTGTGAAGTTTCTCAAATCGTTTAGGGAGAAGTATATGAACCTGAGGGAAGAGGAAGAAACGATTATTTGGATATTTATGGAGCACATGGATAGCAAGGTGTCCCAGGATGTTGTGAAGGGAAATGAAAACAAGATAAGGGAGATAGCTAAGGGAATATTGCACGGGCTCAAGTATCTTCATGGAATGGGGATAGCGCATCTTGATTTAAAGATTTCAAATGTCATGGGGAAGGAAACGAAGGACGGGATTGTATATAAGATCATTGACTTTGGGTTCGCCAGGAAGCTTGAACATGTAAATGACAATGCTGAGATCCAGATTCCCTCGAAAAGCTTTGGGACATATCCATACAAGCCTCCTGAGACGTCCCAGCTGAATATGCATGGGGTAAAGGGAGACATATGGTGTCTTGGTGCCATAGTATGGTTCCTGTCTCGAAGGCAAACGCCGTTCTACTTTGACGACGGGCGGAAGAACCTAGAGGAATGGAGGATGTTCATAAGAGGAAGATTATCCATTTCCTTCAAACCCAATGCGTCACCAGCGCTGAGGGATTTTGTGAAGAAATGCATGAACTTCGATAGATTTGCAAGGCCCAATGCCTCTGATCTCCTTGAGCATCCTTTCATTACTGGAGTACCAATGAAAGTGACTTCTGAAGACTTAAATGAGATGAGCGAAGAGTTTTCATCTACTTCTGAATACAGTAGCATGGAATCTGAAGATTAAAGTATTTTGTTTTTACCTAGGCTTGGCTATGCAATTGTGCCTGTACACATAGCCTTTGGCAAAAGCCCTCTGATGGATGGATCTGAGGAGCTAAAATACCTAATGAGGCTTCTACCGAAGTACATGAAGGTTGGGGGAGAGGAATATATCCTTTACAGGATGAACGAAGCTGTGGGTGAGGACAGCTGGGCTAGGGCGATGTTTTGTGGAAGATGTCTTCATCTTTATATTCCTGTGGTGAATAGTAGAGTGAGGTATGATGGTGTGCTGACCATTGAATGCTTCGGATGCGGCGAAAAACATGTGTTTGACAAGGTGTCTGACGTGTTTAGAAAGGATCTGCATGAAGGCAAGGAGACAACGCTTGAATATTATTTTAGATGATACCTCCCAGAGAATCAAGGCTTTGTTACGCAAAAAAATTTGCCCTTCGAGAATGACTGAGCTGATAGAAGCTGAATCCATGGAGCTATCAGCTGTTGCCCACATCAAGGCAACGAAGAACGATACATTTGTTCATATTACGGACATGACTGGGTCTGAAACGATTGCAAAGATAACTGGTGGGATGAGAGTCAAAGCGCAGAGGGACGAGGGATCGCCGTATGCCGCCATGCTTGCAGCACAGGATGTTGCAGAAAAGATACTTGGGCGTGGAATCAAGATACTCCACTTCAAGCTTCGAGGAGCCGGGGGAGTTAAGCCGATGGCTCTTGGCCCTGGTGCACAAACGGCAATCAGGACCTTGATACGTGCTGGGCTCAGGGTTGGAAGAATTGAAGATGTTACGCCGGTTGCAAGAGACCGTGTGAGGAAGCGCGGTGGGCACAGGGGAAGAAGAGTTTGAATAAAGCTGCCTTTATTTACGTATTTTGTTTGACAGATTTATAGCAAAGGATATGTCAACGCAGTTTGATGGGCCTATTTGTTTCCCTCACTGCCAGCCCTTAGATGAGACTGCCTGATCTCTCTAGATTCAGAGAAAAATGTTGTTACTGCTATAGTGATGTGGAGGAGGGGATATCTGTATGTGGATGTGGACTTTCATTTTGCAAAGGGCACGTGGACATCCACCTTGGAAAGGCCGAGTGTCATGTTGTATTTGAGATTAAAGAGGTCGGAGATGACCTTGGAATTGAAATCAAAAACACAATGCTCAAGCAGGAAGAGATTGAAGAGCTAAGGATAAGAATGGAAGCGCTTGTTAAGCCCGGAAATGAAGATGAGAGGATCATCTCAAAGGATGAGGAGGTGGGCTGTGCGCATGGATGTCCTGAAGGCCCATGCTCCATAGAGCTGGGGGATCTTGAAAGACTAAGCTGCAAGCTGTGTGATGTTCGAGCAAGGCTATGGGCTTGCTTCAGCTGTGGGTATGTAGGATGTGGAAGAGTGCAGTATGGAGTGGAGGGGAACGGGCATGCAAGGGCGCATTATGAACAGACGCAGCACAATGTCTTTGTCCTGGTTCCAAGCCTTCTCAAGGAGAGCTGCGAGGTGTTTTGCTATCTCTGTGACTCAAGCATAAGGTCTTACTACGATTTTCCTGAAGGTAGCATTACGATTAGGTTTGAAGCAAACGAAAAGGAAGGAGAAAGAAGTGTGAAGAAAGCACTAAGGTACATTGGAGCGGCCCAATCGGCTAGCAAGAGGGAGGCAGCCGGCAGCAAGGAAAGGGAGTCTGTTCCTAGCCCATATGTGGGGATTATCAATTCTGGAAACACCTGCTATATTTCGTCTGTTCTCCAGATGATGGGATACGTTGTTTCGAAGGAAGATATTGACATGGACCAGCACTTCGAGATCTGCTGTGTGAACAATCCTCTGGAATGTTTTTTCTGCCAGTTGATGAGAGTGTTTAACAAGATGAAGGAGTCCAGGAGTAAGATGGAGATTAATAAGATATCGATCTTAGATCTCATCATGCTTATATGGAGAGACATGCCTATGTTTTCCAAGTTCATGCAGCAGGATGCCCACGAGTTCTTATTATTCTTGCTTGAGAAGATCAAGGAGGGGGAAAGCTCTTACCTAATTCCCCATATAACGTCCTATTTTGAGTTTGAAGTTGCAAGGGAGATTTCCTGCTCTGAGTGCACGGAGAAGTCCACCAGCTACGAATCTATGATGATGATGTGCACATGTCTGAAGGGCAATATAAGGAAGTCTGTGGACATGTTCTTTTCTCCGGACGAGTGGGATTGTGAATGTGGGGGAAAGAAGAGCGCGAGACGATTTGTCACTGTTCCACCGAAATATCTGATAATCCAGGTTGGGAGATATTCCTACAATAACTGCAAGGTGGAGAAGATTAAAGACAAGATTGGAATGAAAAGTGTTAAGCTAGAAGGTTTTATGAGAAAGGGCGATGTGGATAAGCCCCTCTTAAAAAAACTAGTCGACGACGGGTATCAAGAGGAGCATGCAGAAAGGGCTCTAGGCATCTTTTCCAACGACGAAGACAAGGCTCGCAGCCTCCTGGAGAACAGCTTGACAGACCTTAGACCAGACATGAAGTATAGGGTTGTAGGGTGTATCAATCATTCAGGGGACAACATCAAAGCAGGGCATTACACATGGTGGGTATACGACGATGAAAAGTGCTATAAGATAGATGATACAAATGTTCTTAACAGCAATGTCGAGGTATTAGAAGATGGATATATATTCTTGTTTAGATGAGAACAGACATGGATGTTTGAGGCAATAAACTTCCATACTTTCTAACTCTTTATCTTCAAGTGCTATCAAAATAGAATCCACTCAAAATCCCCTTGAGCGGCTTTGACTTTCTTTCTCCGAGGATCTTTTTAGCTGTGCTCCACGAATACCTAACTCCAGGCGGGAACCCAAAAACTACATTTGCATTTCTTTTGAGCCATTCAACTGTGTCGGGATCGCTTGGGTATCCAGACCCAAGATCATTTCCAAATTCCGAAATCAGCACGTCCCTCTGAACCTTAGCAACTATGCTAGCCCCTGAGACAACCTGGAACTTCGAGTCTGCCTTCTTCTCAACCACAAATCTGTACGGATAGCTTGCATTCAGCTTGGATTTGTACTTTTCACAGTCCCCAAGTGTGTCCACATAGACAGCTTCCACCTTCTTGCACTTGGTTTTTATTTCGTCAAGAATCTGGAAAACAGAAGCAATCGATATCCTATCCAGAGTAGTGGACCTAAGCTGCATCATTTCTGTAATATAGTCGGGATGAGTGCAGTGATAGATATATCCAAATCCTTTTTCTTTTATCATTTGAAAGAAGCAGTGCCTTTGTGCAGGCGTCAGAACTTTCGAGTCTCTGAATCCCGTGGCTTCCAGAGCACTCTTTGGGGCTACCAGGGCCCCATACACCATATACCCAATCACAGGGCCTCTCCCAGCCTCATCAATTCCAATAACAACTTCCTCTGAGGTCTCTTCAAGACTTGAAAAGAAGATGTTCTTGCTCTCCATTCCTAAGGACTAAAACATAGGAAACTTGTAAATCATTTATTCAACAGACCTACAAATGTTGGAGTACTTAAGCCAGTAAGGGTCCTTTACCCTGTGAAGGCAGGGGTCGAACTCCTCCAGCACCTCGTCAATCCTTGTGAACTTGGTCTTGTCTTTCAGGACTCCAACAACTCCAACTCCACATCTCTGAAGACATAGATCAACAGCTTCAATCCCGAGTATCATTGCATTTATCCTATCTATCGGCGACGGATTTAGCCCTTGCTGTATGTCTCCAAGGATAGAGTAGTTCGTCTCAAATAGGTCCCCACTGTCGGTCCTTAGAATCTCGCAGAAGCTCTCAGTGGGAATAGAGCGGAACGTCTTCTCGTTTCTGAATATCACAATTCCCCTCCTCGCCTTCTCCCTGAACTTCACCCGAAGTCTCTGTGCCGCTTCTGAGAGGTGCCCTATGAGATATTTCCTTTCAGGAATGAAGACCTCAAAAGCCCCTGCAGCTATTCCTCCCATCAAGGATAAATATCCGCAGTTCTCCCCTCCAATCTCTATGACAAAGGCGTTGTTCTTGTATGCAAACGAATTCAGCTTCGATACATCAGAAACCTTTAGAATCGTGTTGAGAGCTGTATCAGCCCCGATGCTTATGTCAATCCCAGGTATGTTGTTATAGGAAGATGCAGGTATGAGAACTGCATCAATCCCCTTGAGCTCCTTGATGATGTTCAAGGCCCTACTTCCTCCTATGACTATCAGAGAGTCCAGCTTGTACTCCTCCACCCTCTTCTGAATTAGCTCAATGCTTATTCCTTCGCTACTGCCTATTCCTATTGCAGACCCTCCATTGTTTACTTCTCCAAAGAACTCATAGGGCCTTGGCTTCATAAGATGCCCATTTACAAGCCCTTCAAACCCATTTGGGATGTAGTATGCCTCTACACCTGCGACCAATGAATACTGAATCGCAGAGTTCAGTGCCGTATTCATCCCACTAGACCTGCGCTCGAATTGCAATATTCCTATACGTATCTTTCCATTCTTCTGGTTTCTGACAGAGCTCAGGTTATGGCTACAATCCCCGATGTCTTCGACTCTAGTCACTAGAGACTTCCTGAAATATGAATATCCCAGCTTAAAGAAGTCACTTCTGCTTTCCAATATCTCGGCGAATCTTTTTCTTTCCTGGAGGCTTCGGACAAGTTCGTTTTTTTCTATAACCTCTTTTAGCCCAACCTCAGAAATCTCGTCTCTGAAAATACTGATCATAACAGGCTCCTTCATGGGGCCCAAGGAGATCTCAACGGCCCTGACACCGAGAAGAGTCCCATATATTCTGTCCTGTGCAGAAGTCGGGCCTCCTCTCTGAATATGGCCCAATTTGAGCAGTCGAACCTCCATCCCAGACCTTGCAATCTCCTCCACAACTTGGGAGGCTGCTATAGGTGTTCCGTCCCTTTCAACAGCCCCCTCTGCAATTATGACAAATGTTCCAGACTTCCCATATCTTCTTGCAGTCTTAAGAGCTCCAATCATCTCTTCCTTCCATTCACAAGGCGCCTCGGGAAGCAGCACATAGTCTGCAGCACTTGCCAAAGCAGACATAAGAGCTATCCATCCGCACTTTCTTCCCATGACCTCAATAACAAATGTACGCGTATGCGACTTCATGGTGGATATCAGATGATCTATTCCCTCAATAACCCTGTGGATTGCAGTGTCTTCTCCCAAGGAAACAGGTGCACCACAGATGTCATTGTCTATTGTTGCCGGAATTCCTATGACCTTCAAATCATAAATGTACTTTTCCACGTCTCTCGGGTCCGTGCCCTCACCAGAGCATTCATCCTGGAAATCCTCAAGATCATCAGATGAGTTAAGGTCATGATAGATCGTAGGCGTCTCCTTATAACACTCAGGCTTCCCGTAGAAATCAGAGTATCCAACTACACTTGTGTCCGTGGTTACCTGGATCTTTTCCTCATCCTGAGGCCCTATCCTATCCATCTCTATCTTCCGAAGAACCCTTCTGGAAACTCTTCCCTCCCGTACAAGATCCCTTAGGTGGTCCTTGAACTCATCTCTAAGAGTCATGGCTCCCTTCATAGATCCATCTCCGCCCAAGACTATTATACAGTTGATCCTCTTCTCAACCATGTTCAGAACAGCCTGCTTTCTCCCGCTTCGCTCCATAAACTTTTGGGATCTTGCAGACAGAAGAACAGTTCCCCCTTGGCTGCTGCAATGTGTCTCGGTGTCCCAGCTTAGCCTGCGTATGTTATTGCTGATGAGCCCGTCATATCCGTTATACACCCCGTAAACAGATGCTCCCCACTTAATTCCTGTCCTGATTATACTCTTGATCGCAGAGTTCATCCCAGACGCATCTCCTCCACTAGTCACAATTGCAATCCTATTCATTCTCCCCTGCCCAGAAAACGTAACCACAATCTTGTTCCCCATCATGTCCACCATCTCGAGCGGCATCCCATGGCCGTTTTCATTAACAAGCCCACGCGTCATCAAACGGCGCAGCACCTTGTACGAAGTGTGCACGTGTATTCCAGAGCTTATGGACGTTATCCTGGCCTTTCTGGTGCTATATATCTTTAGCGTCTCCCGGTCGTATATCACGTCTAACCCGAGAACCTCATACACCTCTCCATGCTTCTGCGAAACCCCATCTCCAGACAGCAACAACTCCTCAATAACAGCCTCCATGTCACTGATTCCGAGATCGCATTTATCTATCGCATGACCAATCAATTTCCTATTTTCACCTATAACCAATTAGCAGAGGCGATCTCTAATTTATATAAAAATAGAAAGCTTTAATATCCACAAGCAATTTAAGCATAATTGTCTAAATTTAGCAATCCAGGTGAAATAAGAAAAATGAACAAGGGGATCGAATATGCCATGCCAAGGCAAAAAAGAAGACAGAGTAAGTAGAAGTTTAATTGAAGATGCTTCTTTGTTCTTGTGGTTCGTGAATGCAGTAAATTCTGGAGGATACTGCAAAGTGCTCAGGAATGGGGAAGGCATATCCCTCACTCCAAAGAAGAAGTTTCAGCAGAAAATAAAGTTCAAGGCGTACAGTATGAGTGCTGACAGTATCATGTATGAAAAAAAGAACGAGATTGCCTTTGAAGAAGATAGAAATGGATTTATATGTGCACATTGCGATGCAAGGTATGTATACAAGAGATGCCTGGTAAACCACCTCATAAAGTCTCACCATATAAATTCAAACACATTTCATTGAAGCAGCCTAGAAGTTGTTGAATGGAAGGGCAGAGGAGCCCATGCTGCTGGGCATCCAGGCTATATCGGTAGAATGATTTGCTTCATTAAACATTTGCCAGTTTATTTATGGTAAGGAGGGTGCCTCTGAAATCTCAAGCGTAAATCTTCTTCTCAGGAAGAACCTTTCGTCGTCTCTTAGGACCTTGACCCAGATCTTCTGGAGCATCTCAAAATGGCCTTCAGAGACTATAGCCTCTTCGAGATTGTATTCAGGAACATATACAACTATCCCATTTGATTTAACGCTCGTGACAAATCCCTCGGCAACAGGCTCCTTATCTCTGAGTATTGCATAAATGTTTACTTTGTCACACTCCCAGGATGCTTTCTTGGCAGATCTATATCTGGAGTTCATGTTCCTGCATACTCCCTCGTCGACAAAGACTTGATCCCGAGGCCCTCCGTCCAAGTCCTTTCTTGCCCTAAAGGTCACAACCCCGAGGCTCTTTATCTCCATCTCCCCAGGCTCCACGGTCTGAAGAATGCTGCTTAGAATCCTGTGAACTATGATGTCAGCATATCTTCTGATCGGAGAGGTGAAGTGTGTATACATGGGCGTTGCAAGCCCATAGTGGTGGAAGTTGGAGGTTTCTCCTGACACAACATATACAGCCTGGTTCATGGACTTGATCAGCATCCTTTTCATAAGATCCTTTTCGACTCCGTCCATCCTGTCCAAAATCTCTCCTAGGCCCTTTGAAGTAGATGTATCAATGTTAGGAGATATGTCTAGGACAGATGGGGGCGGGTGTTTCCTAAGCAACGAAGAGTCAGGATGATGATGGTACATGAACAAAGCGACAGAGATATTTGCAAGGATCATAAACTCCTCAACAAGAGAGTTGGTTGGAAAGTATTCCTTCACTTCAAACTCCCCTTCCCGGAACGTAGCTTGTCTCCTACTCAGATCTAGTGAGCCCTTCTTAAGCCTGTCATTCCGTAGAATCTTGCTTATCTCCAGAAGCCCTACCAAGGAATCAAGCACACCGCCTTCACTATCTGAAAGTCCCTTGATGACGTCATATGCCTCCTTATAGCTGAAGGCCTTTCGAGATCTTATTAACGATCTGCAGAAATGTGTTTTTAGGATCTTTGCATCACCAGACATTTCCCAAACAACAGAAAAGGCCGCCCTATCCTTCCCAGAAACCAAGCTACATATGTCTGTACTCAGGTCAGGAGGAAGCATATCAATGCGCCACTCAGGTAGGTAAACTGTTGTTCCTCTATCCGCCGCTATTCTGTCTATCTTGGAGTCCTTGCGAACATAATATGCAACATCTGCAATGTGAACTCCTACCTCAAAATTCCCATTCGGAAGAACCCGCCAATGGAGTGCATCATCAATATCTTCGCATCCAGGCGGGTCAATGCTTATAACAGTCAGCTCACGGAAGTCCTCTCTTGTCCCTTCTTTGACTTCCTGGTATATTCTGCTCATACTCAGCCAGTCTTCATCCATCCAGGAGGTTCCAAGCATGTCGCCCCAGCTTCTTCCATAATAAGTTATTCCATTCGCAACAAGTATCGCTTCCATCTCTGCCTTCTTGTCTCCAAGGCACCCCAATCTTTTATAGTAGTGTCCAATGGGATAGTTGCTTGTCCTTTCCCATCCATCAATTTCAACACAGAGTCTCTTACCCACCAACTCTTCAGGTTGGCTTGTTCTTATCCTAATCGCAGGTATCCTCTTGTCAATGGGAATAACCAAGACATTCTGGGCCCTGCTTCCCTGGATTGTTCTTTGAGATATTGTTCCCACAATCTCTCTACACTTCCTCCTATAAATCCCAACAACCTTTCCAAAGATCTCGTTTCCTTCCTTTTTCTTTCTTGTCTCCTTGGGCCCTTCCTCGTTGTCTACCAGTATTCCATCCTCATCCCGCTCATCCACAACTTCAACATAAACCTCGTCTCCATTTATTGCCCTGTTCATGTTCTTCTTCCCAACCACGAGAACCTTGACATTCCCGTCCACTACAAATCCACTGTAGCAGTTGTACGTGCTGACCTCAAGCGTTCCCTTGTATAGCCCCTTTCTCCCATATTGAATATCCAAGTTCTCTTTGTAGTCCTCATATTCAGTTGCCTCCTTCTCATCAACACTGTCTAGAAGATCTTTGATATCATCCGAGACATATTTTCCATACTCCAAGATGTTCTCAGTGCTCAGGATAATGAAGTTGTACTGGGGCAGATGGCCCTTGTAGAACTCCAAAACCCCTTCAAGGCCCTTTCCATAGGTTGCTTTACAGAAGTTGTTGCAGAACACCACATACCCCTTCTCTCTTGCAACATCTCTCAGGCCTCTTTCGTCATTCCGAGAAAGCTCCTCAAGCGCAGATTGGCATATTATCGCTGCAACATAGTCACTTTTGAGAAGTGCTCTGTACTTGGCCATGACACTCGCATCAGGAATCACAAAGACAGAAGTCCTCACATTCTCCCTGCACACTCCCCCACAGCACTCAAACCCACAGGGCACATCGTCTCTAACATAGTGCTCGCGAACCCTCTTGATAAGCTTCAGCCTCTTGGATATTTTCCTTTCGGCTACAACTCCCTGCCACATTAAAGGGATCCAGAACTACGAAAAACTTGAAATCCAGAAATAATTGTCGATGACGTAAAACAAGGAATCATTTATTATCCACTAATAGCCATTCCAGTCTTTTCCTTAACTATCTTTTCCTCATCAGCAAGGAAAGCCCCAATTATCTTCTCTCTGACACACCTGCCGCAGTGTGTTGCCCCATAGGCCCTGTTGACACGCCTTGCAGAAACCTTCTGTCGCGAAAACTCCGCAGGTCTCATGCGTGCTATGCTTCCTAGGACAGCATTGCATTCGTGGCATCTGTGCTTCTTGGAGTACTTCTTAATACGACGGTTAACAAGCTTTCCCGACGGCGTCTTGACCCTTATCCTCCTGTTACTGCGAGTTTTATATGTTTGTCCCTTGTGAATAAGAACTTTTCTCATCTCTTTGCAAGGGGAAAATTTTTTGCTCTCTTCTATTTCCTGTGATATGCCACAGACAGAGAGCTTCACAAGCCCATTGACTTGAGCTTTTTGTAAGACTCGTCATCCTTGTACAGACTCACGATGTTGACATACTTCATGTTGAATATAGAAGAAAGCTCTCTTTCTGCACCAGCAGGAAGAGCATACAAATCTATCCCAAAGTGCCTACAGAACAACGGGAGGTGCAGAAACAGGACATCATCCTTTGGTGTTATGAGGACGGCGCCTATGTCTCTTTTGCCATCCTCGTAGTGCTTCATTAGCTGGTTATATGTTACCAGAGCCCTGGAGCCTTTGAGGGCCCTGTAGATGCACTCGGGGTTGTCAACAGTCTTGATGGCATGAATATCGGAGTGGAATATTTTCTTCATACTCGAGGATCGGCTTCCGGTATTAAGATATAAACGGATTCCAACGACCCCAAAAATTTTATGAAAAAAACGATGGAGAAAATGAACAAGAGCAGCTCTGGGTCAGAGTCAGAATCTGAGCTGTCTGGGACCTCAGATTCCTTGAGTAATAAGAAAGAAGAGACAAGCTGCTCTGTGTCTGGTAGTGAGACGGAGTCTGAGATTGAGGAGGAGACGTCTAGCGAGAGTGAAGAGAAGAGCAAGAAGGAGAACCCATCTTTGACGGTGTTTATAAAGGGCATAAGCTACGATCTAACCGAATATGATCTGAAGAACGAAATGGAGAAGATAGGGAAAGTGGTCCGAGTTGGGATTCCTATGACAAATGACTACAAGCGCAACAAGGGATTTGGGTATGTTGAATTTTCTAAGGAAGAGGATGTGAAGAAGGCGCTGAAGCTTGACGGAACTGTCTTCCTCGGAAGGGAAGTGGTTGTGAACATGGCACATCCACGGGAAAACAAGCAAAGGCATACAATATACATTTCGAACATCCCATTTGAGTGTGACAAAAGGAAGCTGAAGAAGTACTTTGAGGAGATGGGAGAAGTTGTTGGGATGTCCTTTCCATATGACAAGGAGAACGATAGGCTGAAGGGATATGGCTTTGTCGACTTCGGCAACAAGGAGGATTATGAGAAGGTTCTCAAGAAGAAGCTAGTTTTTGAGGATAGCTCTATATACCAAAGGCCTGCTTACAAGAACAATAAGGAGGATAGAAAGGATTTCAATGGAAAAGGACCTAGAAGAAATGACTCTAGATGGAATGGCAAGAGATACGGAGGAGAGAGCCAGAACAGAAACAATAACAAAAAGGTTAAGTTCAATTCTGACAGTGAGGAATAAAGAATTTCTTTATTATTTTTTGCTTTCATTAGAATAAGCAATCATCTTCATCCCCTTTACTTGCATGGGAGAGGGCCACTCTACCAGAACACTGTATATAAGGAACTTGAACAGAAAGCTCCCCATAAGAGAGGTAAAGAGAAGGTTGGGTTTACTTATCACAAGGTTTGCAAAGATACTGAAGATAAAGATGAGCAATAAGCCCAAGCTTTTAGGACAAGCATTTGTTCATCTGGACGAAGAAATAACCAATGAGATTCTGGGCAATCTGGACGGAAGATTTTTTCTTGGGAATGTGATTTCTGCATGTCCAGCGCATGAGGATATGTGCATTGGGAAAAGAAGGCCCATTGTGTCCACTAGGACCTTGTTAATTACAGATATACCTTCTCCTGTAACCAAAGGCGACATAGAAGATATTTTCAGAGGCTTTGGAGGCTTGGAGGGCATAAGATTCATCGGGGTAAAGAGCCTTGCCTTCATAGACTTTTCCACACCAGAAGATGCATCTACTGCGTATTCATACTTTGCCGACGGGTGGGTAAGGCACATCCATGGAAATATGAAAATAGCGCCCTCTGCATAGATTTCCACAAGCCAGGGGCCCTCATTAAAAGTTATCGCAAGAACCTTCCCTGCCTTCTTCTCTTTGTGCCGTCTCTTTGGTGCCTGTCCTCAAGATACATCCTATCTGCCTTGACACGGCCTCCAAAGACCCCTCTTCCATACTGCCTTCCCTCCACAAACCCATAGTCCTTGTCAATGGATAAAGGGCTTTGGTCAAGGCGAAACCCATTCACGTACCTGACTGCTGCATCTGCAGAAGACACAGTATAGAACTCAACAAAGCAGAATCCACAGAACCTCAGTGTATTCCTATTCAGCCCCATTATAACCCTCTTCACATCTCCGCATAGCAAAAACAGCTCCCATATCCGCTCCTCCCGGACACTCGTAGGGATATTGGATACAAAAATTGTCGACGAGTTCTTCTTTGCCTCGATATACTCCTCATCCGTCCCCACAAACGTCTTTTCCCTATAAAAGTATCCTTCTCGCTCCCCTGTGAAATACTTCTCTAGGATCATCATGGGCTGCACAACTTCCAAGGATTTGTCTAAAGGCTGTATAAGATGTCGAGTAAAATATATTTATAATTGTACAGGTTTTTGGCTTCTGCTTGGAACCTCCTTCCAAGGCTAGAACCTACCGTGGTCTATAAGGAACAAACTAACAAAGAACATGTAGAACGATCTGCAGAAGTGATCCATGCTCTTGAAATGGTTTTGGTGTGTTAAAGAGAGTCTTCTGCTAAAAAGCTCAAGAGCAAACACGCATCCCAGCACAAAGACTATTCCCCCATTTCCTGTGTACAGAAGGAGGAAGAAAACCATAAACTTAGCAAGATCCTCTTTACAGACCTTGATGCCTCCCAGCAGGTTCATAACGCTCTTCAGAGTCAGTATCTTTTTTCTTTCTTGAACCAGGTAAACCTCACCATTAAACATCACAAGGTCTTCAGGATTGGCCATTATCTTTGCCCCTGTTTCTTTAACAGACACAGATATCTTAATCGATATGTCGTTAGTCTCTATCTCCTCACATGAAGTCCGTTCGCCTCCCATGGATATTTCATTTTCCTTGTGTCCAGGAACATCATACACCAGATGGAGGCTCTCCTTGCCTAGTGTATGGAGCTGGACAGCATCGCTCACAATCTTCCCATTGAGAATTATCTTTATCCCCTTCTCAATAGACTCCATGCCGTATCCCTCCATCTGACTCTTCAAATACTCTTTGACATGGAGTATTGTGTGGTCAGACTCAAACTCCTTTGTATATGTGTACTCGCCATTTCTTGATCTAAGAGTAACTATTGTCATCCTTCCCCCCTCCATTAGGGTTGTTTATATTTCTTTCGTAATCAATCAGATGGCTTGGAAGAAAAGGGGAGAGCCGATGAATAAGAATGCAGTCTCCTGCACTTAAATACGCGGCTGGGAAATTGTCGAGTGTTTCGCTGCTACCTGCGGTGATGAAGCTTTTCGAGGTTGTAAATTTCTGAATAAAAATCCGAATCCCTAGGATGTCGGTTGACTTGGATCGTCTGAACGAACTATGCAAAGTAAGATTTGAAAAGGAATACAAGACATACAGGGAATACTTTGGATCAATTTCACACTTTAGCAGGGACGAACTGCTTGAGCAGATGTTTTCCAAGTACACGAAGGGTGTTCTCTCTGAAGAAGAGGTTCTGGCATGCATGAGAACCATCAGCCTGGGCAGTCTGAAGCACTTGGTCAAGCTCTATGAGTATGAGGGGCGCTTCTGCAAAGAGAAGGCTGTACTGGCGCTGAGGAGAAGATACATGGAGGAGAGTGAATATGACAAGGATGAGGTTTTCCAGTGCATAAGAAAGCTGTCGCATTGGCTTGACTTTGGACTCGTGAAGGAAGTATGTAATGACGAGTGTCTGGGGCTGATTGTTGGAGAATATGCACGGAAGCATGAGCTTGATGAGTCCTTTCTGGATGAGATTGTAGACTTCCTTCCTTCTGTGTTTTTTGGGTACACACAGCTGAACACTCTCTTGCTCGACTCCTTTGAAGCATCGTTTGATCGGGTAATAGAGAGGAGCATGGAGATTCTCCATGTTATCAACTACTCTGAGAGGAGGGCTGTTGAGACTATTGCCAGGAGTAGGTTGAAGAAAGACATTTTTGAATATCTTGTTTCCAATGGCCTGGTTGAGGAAGATGCACTGGTAGCGATGATGGATGTTGTTGGATGCATTGATGCAGAGGTTTTTTTGAGTGACGGGGTTGTTGGAAAGCTCTGCCTGGAGAGCATTATAAAGTATCTTGACTCCATTGAGGTAGAGAAGGTTGTTGAGATTGGGATTTTGGGGTGCAAGTGCAAAAAGCTGTATGGGGCTCTTCCGCCAGTTCTGGAGAAGAGGGCTGAAGAGTTTATGAAGGAGGCAAGGATCGTTGATGTCCTACTTGTTATGGTTTACTATGACTCTCGGATAAGGTTTGGAAGGACTCTTCTGGCTTTGAGGCCGTCTCTGGAGAAGGAATTCCTAATTTGCAGGGAGGAAGAAAAGAGAAGGATTGCTGTTGATGTTGATAAAAGCACGGGGGAGATCAGAGAGGTTGGGGCAGAAGCCACGGAGAGTGTGCCGAGCCATTTTGGTGGGGGAAACGAGTTCAGATTTGTTAAGAAGGGAAAGGCTGGGGAGAGGGATGTTGTGGAGTACTTGAGAGAGATATGTGTGGATTCCGGGGACTTTATCAAGGATATCAGAAGGAAATTAGGGTTTTCATGCTTTCTTGACAGCCCTACGAAGCCTACCTTTGACCAGCTTGTGGTGCTTCCGAAGTACTACTTTGTGGAGTCGCTTAGGCGGTACCGTAACGAGTTTCTAGACCTGCTGTACCAGTTCGATGAAATAGTGATTCCAGGGAGCCGAAGAAGAGACCTGATTGCAAGAAGCATTGTGTCCAGTGGGTATAAGGAATTGTTTGTCAGATACCTTATAAAAAGAAACAGATACTTCAAGATTGAGGTTAATCTCGATGCGTGGTTTGAGAAGATGACAAGTGAGTACAAGATCAAATACCTCCTAGACCATCCGACGGCAATTATAGGGAGAGAGGAGAAGACAATTGAGTCCTTGAAAGATAGCGTTCGGATGCTTTATCCTATTATTGAGAAGCTGGAGGGTAAAGAGATATCGCAAGAAGTGATTGATAAGATTAGGAGTCATGCTTCGATGACTGGAGATCCCCGAAAACAAGGAAGCGAGCATAGACCTTATGGCGAAAACAAAGACTGTGGGATAAAAAGACAAGAAGCCAATGAATCTATAAGAATAGATGTCACTAAGGGGCTGAGGGAGTGGAAGAGCCTTGAAAAAAAGATAAAAATAGAAGGCTGCCCCAGTGGGGACAATGTTTATGATGACCTGTATCCCATTGAGAAGATTGACTACGTTCCATTCAAGAAGAGAGTAGGGTTTATATGTAATGAGATAAACAAGAGGATTTCAAGCGGGAACGGGCTCCACAGGGCAGGGTTAGTTACATCTGTACTGGTGAGAGATGGAGAGATGGCCAAGAGGGTTCTATCTACCCTGCAAGGTGTGAATAGATTTGGAAAGGATCTTGTCAATTTTGTTGAGTTTTTTGTGTTCTTCCTCTCCTACTGCAAAATGGAGGTGAGCATGGAAATGGCGACGCTTAGGACCCTGAGGAGATACATATCCGAGGAGGGAAGCGACACTGTTCTGTACTTTGTGTTTATGAAAGCCCGGCTGGAAGAGATAGAGGCGCTATTTTCTGAGTTTAGGGATAAGAGCTTTGACGTTATCTACAAGGCCATGGTGGATAGGATCCGTGGAGTCAGAGAAGGGACAACTCTGGGTGAGAAGCACGGGTGTGTGACGATTGAAGCCAGCATACCACAGCCCGTGATCAAAAGAAAGAAAGGCAGTGGGACAAGGGTCGAGATTGTTGAGGTATGGGACGGTAGAGACCAAGAAGAAAGGATTAGAGGTACAGTCATGGGGTTTCTGTCGTCGGAGGACGAGAGTATGCATTACCTTGGGCTGGGCTGTCTGAACATGCTAGGGATAGAGGTGAGTGTAGAGAGGTTCCTCGACTCCAGAAGTGATAGAGTTGTTGAGGCAGCATTGAATATTGTTACAAAGAGGCCTGTTACACCATCTATCAATGCAAAACTTATGGAAATAATGTACAGAAGGGGAAGACTGGACAATCTCGGGAAAATGTGTCTCAGGGCTGTAGACATAGATATCCTGGAGAGGGAGGATGTAGACAGGATCTATGAGATGTTCTTTATTGATCCGGGAAACTATTTGGAGGTTCTTCCAAGAATACTGGAGAGGGGATACGAACTGACCGAAGAGATAATAATGGAGCTCATAGGATTATTGGGTCAATCTCAATGCGATGACATTGTTGAGAATGCCATGGGTGTCTTGAAGAGCATTGAGTACACCGAGGAAATGGTGTTCAAGAGCATCTTATCCCTCGAGAGTGCTAAGTTTGCTCCGAAGACATTCCTGATAGAAAAAGTATGTACGTCTCGGTGCAGTCTCGGTACTAGAGGGTTTCTTAAGCTTTGCGTGTGTGTGAGCAATGAGGAGAACTACAGTGTGCTTAGAGGGCTACTAGAAATACTAAGAAGAAAAGGAATCAACAGCAATATTGTTGAGAAATGGAAGGAAAGCAAGTCGCTAGATAGGTTGATGGCCCGGATATATCCCTTGTGCATGAAGGATAAGCTTTATTACAAAAGGATTCTGGATGAAGTCAGAAAAGACATAGATGAATGGGGCTTTATCAACGAGTTCTATAGAAATGAATTTAAGGAGGCGCAGCTTATCTGATTGCAGTCAGTCTTTCGGAGGATGCACTTCCTCTTATGCCTATATAATGAATTGTTGTGGGCATACTCCTTTCCACACAAGCATCTGAAGGGTTTGATCAAAAGATGAACAGATCTTATGTGTGTCTGGAGATTACCCTTCTTACTAAACTCAAACTTACAGTATTCACACACATGCCTAGTCTTTCTTGCATTAAATGTTTTGACATGATGGCTCTTTACATGTGCATCGAACCAAGACCTCTTCTTGTACTTCTTCCCACATGTGCTGCACCTGTACTCTAGACACGTTTTCTGGTGCTTGCTTAATTTATCTTTTGTGCGGAACATGTGCCTGCATCTTGGACACTCAAACTCCGGAGGGAAGTGCACCTTCTTATGCACAGAGAGATGAGAGTTCTTCATATACGACTTCTCGCACATGTCACATCTATAGGGCCTGTTGTTCGTGTGGGTGTTAAGATGGTCGTTCAGCTTTGATTTTCTAGAGAACGACTTTTCACAGCCTTCAAAATGGCACTGGAATGCCATGAGCTAAGGGCAGTTGGAACAGAAAAATTTAATGACAGTCATCCTCCATGGATTGTAGAGATAAGAACAACGTGGTCCCCACACTTCAGTGGGCTCTCTTCTCTTCCCGTGATCTCCCAATCCACTTTGTTGATGATACAAATGGTCCCATGCACCAGCTCTCCATGGGAGTCGAAGTAGCTGTCTCTGACTTCTATGTGCTTATCAAATAAGTACTTCAGGGCATCGCCTGCTGTTGCTATGGACGAGTCTTTTATTTCTTCTTCAGTTAGCTCTATTTCCCTATTGTTCAGCTCTGTGTTGCTAGCTCCGTTGAATTTGAATATCATTTTCTGGGCCTCGAGGACCAAGTGTTTTCATTCCAGCAGGGCTAAAAACAGGCCCTGTAGGCCTCATCAACCCTGGTGTCGAGGTCCTTGGATTCTAGAATCTCTTCTTCCAACGAAGACGACATGAGAACCGGGGCAAACATGCGGCGCACGCCCTCTAAGAATGAGCGGGCACTCTTCCTAGAGTGTATGAACAAAAGCTTGTATCCGGAAGCCATTATGTATGCACTGATCCTCATCTCGCCATGCTTTTCGAGGCAATCAAAATAATTGGAACTTGTGGATGCCATCCTCCAGGTCAGTATGTCAATGGACCCGTAGATAAGGATCATGAGTCTGCAGTACTCTTCATTGCTTGCTCTGCTATACATTCTCTGATAAACAATATCGTTCTTCTCTGAGATTATGACCAGGAGTTCTCCCATGGGTTTCTAGGTTCTGTTTAGTTTCTCGAGAAGCATCACTTTGTTTGTTTGGAAAGTAGGATGATCAAGAAAGGAGGCGCGAGTACGCAAAGGAACGTCGGTACATTATGTATGGTAGTGAAGACCGTCCAGGTTTTATTCGAAGGAAAATTTTGCCCTTCAAATGAGAGAAATCATACACCTGCAGACAGGACAATGTGGAAACCAGGTGGGATGCAAGTTTTGGGAAACCATCAGTGGGGAGCATGGGATCGACCAGACTGGTAAGTATGTTGGGACGTCTGACAACCAGCTTGAGAGGGTCAATGTCTACTACAACGAGGCGTCTTCGAAGAAATATGTCCCGCGTGCTGTTCTGATTGACCTTGAACCTGGGACGATGGATGCAGTCCGCCAGGGGCCTTTTGGAGATCTGTTCCGACCGGATAACTTCGTATTTGGACAGAGCGGAGCAGGAAACAACTGGGCGAAGGGACACTACACGGAGGGGGCTGAGCTCATTGATTCTGTTATGGACGTTGTCCGAAAGGAAGCAGAATCAAGCGATTGTTTGCAAGGGTTTCAGATCACACACTCTCTTGGAGGAGGAACGGGAGCCGGGATGGGGACACTCTTGCTGTCGAAGATAAGAGAGGACTTCCCTGACAGAATGATATGTACATTTTCTGTTGTCCCGTCTCCGAAGGTAAGCGATACTGTTGTGGAACCTTATAACGCAACGCTTTCGATCCACCAGCTGGTTGAGAATGCAGATGAGACGTTCTGCATCGACAACGAGGCATTGTACGACATATGCTTCCGAACCTTGAAGATGAGCAATCCAGGGTATGGAGACCTCAACCATCTTGTCTCTCTAGTGATGAGTGGGGTTACGACGTGCCTAAGGTTCCCCGGACAGCTGAATGCAGATCTCAGGAAGCTGGCTGTTAATATGATTCCGTTCCCTCGGCTGCACTTCTTCGTTGTTGGATTTGCACCCCTGATTGCTATAGGCACACAGAAGTTCAAGACGTATTCTGTCTCTGAACTCACACAGCAGATGTTTGATTCGAAGAACATGATGACTGCATGCGACCCAAGGAAGGGACGATACCTTACGGTTGCAGCAATGTTCCGAGGGAAGATTTCGATGAAGGACGTAGACGAGCAGATGTCGATGGTGCAGTCGAAGAACAGCACCCTGTTCGTGGAGTGGATCCCAAGCAATGTGAAAACAGCAGTTTGTGACATTGCACCGACGGGTCTTGAGATGTCTGCAACGTTTGTTGGAAACACAACATCGATCCAGGAACTCTTCAAGAGGATTTCGGATCAATTCACGGTCATGTTCAGAAGAAAGGCTTTCTTGCATTGGTACACAGGAGAGGGGATGGATGAGATGGAGTTCTCTGAGGCTGAGTCAAATATGAACGACCTGCTTTCTGAATACCAACAATATCAGGATGCAACGGTCGAAGATGCCGAGGAGTTTTTAGTTAATTAAAAGGTTAATCGTATTTTTTCTGTAATACTGATATAGTGGTGTCTGCTCTGTTATTGAGTATCATGGATGATAGGTTTGTCAAGTTGAAACAAGTTTTGAACGGCAGATTTATTGTCTGCCCAGGCGAAACACAGTGATGGCATATCTACTAGAGAAGGCAAATGGATCTCGATGTGTGCTCGAAGCCATTAAGGTCGAGCCTTTCACGCAGAAGCAGTTTGCAGACATGATAAAGGAGGCTCATACAAGGTCCCAAGATTACTATCTTGCTCGGGTTCAATGCAAGAACGGCTCTGAGGACGGAAAGAATATATACTACTGCTATGACGCAAGGCAGCTTTGTAAATACATATTCGAGATGGTCATCTCTACAGAGGGTAGGAAGATAAGGATAAAGAACTTCAAGGATCCAATAAACCAAGAGCAGATCCACGAAATCAGCTTTTTCAAGCTAAGATACGACTCGGAGACCCCTCTGAAGGCAGAGTATGTTGGAAACCAGGTGAACTTCCTTGAAAACAACTGCTTCCGTAGCAAGATATTCTATCAGGAAAACGCCCTAGATGCGCTGTCGGTAAATTTCCAATTCGGGCCTCAGAAGAAGAAAATACCAATCATCAACAGGAGAAAGATATTCACTGTGTTCATGATGGTCATCTTGGTCCTGGTCGTGGGAACGCTAATTGCCATGATAGCAGAGAAGGAGTCCCCAAAGGCCTCTCCGCCACTAAAACTCTCCATAAACAAAGGAAAAAGTATTTAATAAACACCTCTTCTACAGTCAAGCTTTTGCATTCCCAAAGAACGGAGCAAACTTCAGTGCAGGTGGCAAAACGAAGAATCTGATGCTTGATCCCCTGATAACAATCTCCTTCTTTGGCATGCAGGAGCTGTGCGACGTGACAGTTACCTCGTCCAAAACCACATTCATATAGTCGTCGACCTCCTTCATTCGCCCTCTGTACATGTCTCCATTATTCGTCTCCACGGTAACAACGAATCCCTGTGCCTCATGAAGCAGCTTCAAGGGAACAGTTACGGCCATCCAAAGCTCTAATGGGGTAAATTATTCACTACAGGATAATGCTAAGCTTTTAATCTCCTTAGTTGCTCCCAGACTCATTGTCCTTATTATCAGAATACCAAGAGCTATTGCGTGCACTCCTTCTATTCCTTCTAAACGGATTTGAATCGTCTTTTCTCTCAAGGCTGCTTGATGATACATGTCTAAATGCATCCACTGGAGGAACATAGGCTTTCTGGTTTCTGGAAATCCGAGGATTTGGGGGTCTGTATACCTCTCCCTCATCAACTTCGCTTCTCCAGTGCGTGGTCCGTGCCGGCTTTGGCATATACACCTCGGCCCTCCTGCCCGACTCTTCTATCCTCTTCGACAGATCCCTCACCATCCCGTCAATAATCTCAGAATATGCCCTAAGCTCCTTTCTCCTGCTCCTGAGCTTATTCTCCTCTTTTTCAAACGCCTTCTTCATTTCGTCGTTTCTCTTTTCGTACCAGACATCCTCCACTCCTCTAGTGTTCTCCATATAGTATCTTGAGTATATCTTCATCTTTCTGTAGGCGGGAGTAAACCTGTCGCGGAATCTAACAGTCTTCTTAGGGCGGACCGGCTCCTCTTTCTTTGTAACATTCTTCACCACAGGTATCCTCTTCCTCTCAGTAACAGGCCTCAAAGTCGGTCTTGCCTTTTCTTTGTATTCGTCGATGATCTCAAACACTTTCTTTTCAACAGTCTTGTATTCAAACCCTTCTATAGTGACATCCGAACCCTCAACAGAAAACCTGAGGTCGTTCTTCTTCATAAACCCAATCAAATCCATGTTTTCTCTAATTGGAACGCTGCTTCCAATGCTTCTTGAATACCTGCTCCACATTCCAAAATCAAACTTCCTTCGGATAAGAGTATCGTTGGGTACCTCAATCCCAGAACATCTCTTGCCAACCTCATCGAGAATCTTTTCCAAGTTCGAAAGCTTGGCCTTACAGAACAGCTTCTTCAGCTTATCCCCCTCATTCTTGAGAAGCGCATACGAACACAAAGACCGGAAGTCCTCAATGCTGCATTGGCCGCGTATAGCCTTAGGGTCCAAAGATGTAAGAGCGTTAACGGCGTTGGCATACGAGAAGAGCATACAAGACTCAAGGAAAAACGTGCAAAGAAGCTCCATATACAGTACAGCCGTGGCCCTCGATGGAAATCTCCCCATCTGCGTTATGATCTCGCACGCCTTCTCGCACACAACATATGATTCATACAGCACTCCCCCTTTGTTCAGCGTCAGGCTGAGGTCCAGAAGAATCCCAACAAATGTACTATACATCCCCTCCTTTGTGCCCTCAGATACCTCCTCATATACCTTGTTAAAATACTCAAAGAGCTTCATGCACTCTTCAACATTATATCTTTTCTTCACAGAGTCAAGCCATGGCTGGAGCACCCCAACCATGCTCCCATATGACCTGTTCTGGAGAAACTGTCTTCCAAATACTTCATAGACATCAGACACCCAATCATCCTCCTTGCCAGTAAGCGCACTGTAAAACTTTTCCGCATACCCAGAGTCGTACCTGTGCTCAAACAGAATCTTCTCCAGACAGGAAATCGTCCCTTCCTCTTTGATCTTCTGGGAAACACACTCCACATCGCAGCTCAGCCTTACGTCCTCAGAATCCATCTCGGGGCTAAAAGATTCCTAAATATTCAACTCTCCAGAGCTTGCCAAGAAAATCCTAGCATCCCTTTATTTTCCCAACGATTTCTTGGACAAACGAGCTCACCATCCCGTCAATCCCGCTTCTGATCCCAAAGCCTCTTCCGTTCCTCATCCCGCATATGAAGGACGCAACGAACGACGGCCCAAGAAGCCTTATCCACCTGACAGCCCTTGCTTCGCTCAACCCATAATAAAGGAGTGAATAGACCATGGTGTGCTTCGCCAGCTCTCCTCCGCTCCTCAGCGGCTGTCTCGAGTAGAAATGCCTGTCCCCACTCTTAAGCATGTTACTAGCAAATGCCATGGAGCATCCAATGGCAAAGGAATTCCCGGTTGCCTCGAAGACGGCCAGAGCATAGTCCCTAAGACTCATATGGGGTCTTCCAAAAGCCCTTATCTCCCAAGCTGCATTCATGAACAGAACAACAGAGTACCTAAAGCATATAGATGGAAAAACACAAACTCCATATGTTCCAGAGAGCGAGAGCTTCTACGACACCATCAACTCGAGGATAGAAAAGATAGAGGCACAGCTGGGAAGGACCCCGTCATACAGAGAAATACTCAAGATCGAGGAGGAGTTTAACACCCTATCTCTCGAAAGCCAACAAACATTGGACATGGTTTCTGTGGAAGGCACCAATGACCTTATACTCCATTTCGAGGGAGTCAAGAAGATCATCCTGATGAAGCTGCAAGGTGTCGAGAGAAGACTCAGAGCTCTCAAGGACTCGAAAATAGGGATGAACATTGACCTTGAGCCCGAGAGGCCACATGTGTTCAGAAATGTCGAAGAGGTACAGATGATGGAAGAAGAAAACAAGAAGCTTGTTGAAGGATACAACATTGAAGGATACAGATTGACTAGAAGAAGGCTTCTTGAGGTGGAAGCCCTTCAGGATACAATCTTCCAGCACCTGGTTCTTCAAGACGAGAGAATAGACAGCATAGTAGATCTTACGTCTAAAGCAGGAAAGTACGTTTCAGGAAGCAGCAAGGCGTTGGGAAGAATTGGAGACTCGGGAAGATTTCTTCGTAGGTTTCTGTTTATTCTATTACTTTGCCTGTCGTTTGTTCTATTGTTTCTCCACTACTACTACAAGTAGGATTCTGCACCAAACTTCTTGAAGTTGGTCCTACTAGTTTTTTCCAAGAAGAGCGTTTACAACACTTGTGTCTTCCAGAATTTCGTTGATGCTCATCATGTTATTAAATCTGTCCTCAACTATCTTCTTGAAGTCAAAGTCAGGCATTTTGTTCTTCACAAAGCCTATGACAGGGATTGTTATTGGCTCGTTGTCTTCCCCTACGCCCATGCATTGCGTTGGCGAGAACTTCCTGTGCTCTTCTGTGTTACACACCCTCATTGAGATGGACTCTCTCCTTTCCTGTTCCAGGCATCCGGGGGACTTAACCATGCCACATTCATTATCAAGCCTTTCTGGGGTAATCCACTCGAGGATATCCGGGGATTTCTCCAAAACCCTACTGTTCCTGGTACCTGAGATGAGGTGATCTACCTCGGGATCCATCACAGTCCTTTCTATCTCCTTGATCTGGATTAGATTTTCTCCCCACGAAACCTTCTTTCTTCTTTTTGGCTTTGAGTCCTCCCCTTCCGAATGATTTTTTCCGTCTCCCAGATCAATGCTGCGTGCCATATCATCCAGCTTCTTGAGCCCTGTCTTTTCAAGCTGGTCTCTAGTGAATCCAGATCTTTTCAATAACTCCCCTGCTTGTTGCGTGTCCGGATAGAGAACATCGAAAGCAAGGTTTATGAAGTCTGCATAGAACGGATGAGATATCGGAAACACCCCGCCTTCAAGGATCTCACCAATCACTCCTCTCACACGCTCGGGTAAAATGGCCGGATCCTCTATTCCAAACACCTCCTCAATCTTACTGATCACCTCGGATTCCTTCATTCAGGGGATACCATGAATCTATTTTAGGGATTGCCAGGAAAATAAACAGCCCTGTGGACAACCATGAAGAAGTTTGGGAGGAAAAGAGAATCGACACATGGCACTGCATATGAGCAGATTCGCAAGACGTTTGACGACCTTAAAAGAAAGATAGCAGATGCTGGGCACCTGTCCTCAAGTGGATTATCTACCAACGCATCACCAGGAAACTCCAGCTGGAGGAGGGATTATTCGAGTGACCTTGCTTCCAGTTCTAGTGAGTCTGTGGAGGATTACAGCTTTTCTGGCGCACACGATCTGAAGCCCAAAGCCAGGGGCAAACACGAGTCCCCGGGCCTTGGAGGTAAAAGAGAGGATGACTTTGTGATAAACCACGACCTCTTGAGCTCCAGCGAGGCATATGATGAGAGCTTAGGGTTTGAAAGCTTTCTTGATGAAGAGGCAAGGAGGGAATCCAAGATGCAGAACATAACGTTCAGGAGGAAAAGAGAAGCAGGTGATCCTGCACCTGGATTAGACAATGGAGTGGGGAGTGCTGAGGCAGCAGATGGAGATTCGCAGATGGGTCTTTTGAAAAAGATCCCGTTTGATAGGATGCCGAAAAACATCAGAAAGATTGGGGAGGCGACGTTCAGCGAGGTATTTGCACAAGGGACATTAGTCTACAAGATAGTTCCCCTCGGAAACACTCCCGACGAGATGTCTCTTGCATCGTTTCTTCAGGAGTCTACCATATACAAAACCATTTCTGGGGAAGACGGGATATGCAAGCTTAGAGATGTGTTTCTAGTGAAGGGGAAGTATCCGAGAGAGTACCTGAAGGCATGGGACGATTATGGAGAGGAGGAGAACGAAAGGCCTTGCAAGTACGAAGACTCACAGGAATACGGTGTGATAGTTATGGAGGATGGAGGAGAGAGCCTGGAAAATATTAGGTTCCAAAATATAGAGGAGGTGGACAAGTTCATCAGAGAGGTTATAAGGACACTAGCAAGGCTCGAGGAGAAGTATGAGTTTGAGCACAGAGATCTTCATTGGGGAAACATCCTCATCAAGAAGGGCCATATCAGTCTGATTGATTTTTCACTCAGCAGACTGAAGAGTGAAGACACAGTGATATTCAATGATCTGAATGACAAACAATGGCTGTTTGAAGGAGACGAGAAGGTTGATATCCAGTTCAAGGTTTACAGAGACATGCGAGAGCTATGCTCCGGGCGTTGGGAGAGGTTTACTCCTGGGAGTAATGTTCTATGGGTGCGATACCTTGTTGAAAAGGCCTTTGGAAAAAACAAGTTCAAAGGGAAAAGGGGATTAATCTCGCAATACATGTCAATCATAGATAGAAGCACATCGGTAAGGGATATAGATAGGAAGCTCAGGATGGAAGCAGGTACAGTAAAAAAGAGTTTTTATTAACCTAGATTCATTTTACTCTCGACTTGCCTAAGAAACTCTCTCGCATTCAAAATCTCGGTTGACCCATATATAATCGGAATGCCCATTCTCTCCTCAAGAAGCTTCAGAGTCTTCAACTCCGTGTATGTACCACCTCCTATACCAAACACAACAACCTTCGAAATCTCACTTGCATAGATATTTTCAGACTTCACAGGATCAAACACTTTGAAGTTCGAGTATATCTGAGATCTGATGTCTCCATAGATGGACTCCACAAGAGATGACACGGGTGTTTTCTCCTTCACAGGCAATAACTTCTTGACGTTCCCCATGAGGCTTGTGACAACCTGGGAGTAGAACGTCCCAGACTTCTCTGAATGTGTGCTTTTATGCCTCCTGAAGAACTCAATAACCTTCGACTTTATTTTTCTCTTCTGAAGAAGCGGGCCAATAAGATCAGAGTCCTTAGTATTGAGAAGAAGAATGGCCAGCCTTAGTATATCCTCCTCGCTCCCCTTCTCAGACACCTCCATAAGCTCTTGACTTGTATATCCTCCCTTTTCAACTTTGTAGAAGTCGTCGATGGCTCTTTCCTTTATTATCTCAACCATCTCCGAGCATATAGATATATGTGCATTCACGGATTCGTTTCTTTTGGCTAGTTCAGGTGCCTTGTCAAGGGCCTCTTGGATCACCTTCTTGTCCGTCTTCTCATCAATACTTCTGAGGGCCATTTCCTTCCTATACTCAAGAAGTTCCTTTTCAACCTTCTCAACTACAACAGGGAAGTACTCGTTGCTGTTTCCCTTCCAGAGTTCGTCCTGGGGGTCTAGGTCAAACACCTTCTTGCTCTTCAACGTTATCTTGTTGGACTCCAGCCTGAAGAGATCGTTCATCAGTGCACTGTAACTCCATACATGCTGGACGGGTGTGCTTACGTCATAGTTTCTGCTGACAAGTATCAGAAGAGGCCTTTTACTCGTCTTCTTGATGACACCTGTATTCTTTATCTTTGCCTCAAGCATTCTTGCTATCTGCATGGATTCCTCGTTATCGACAGTCACTATAAATGGAATTTCTCCAAGCGTCACAAACACACTCATAATAGACATCACCATTCCTCTCCACGTGTCTGGATTTTCCATCCTCACGAAGCTGTCCCTCATCCCAAGAGTAAACATGTCGTCCTGCAAGGCGATGAAATCCACAAACTGATCGAAGATGGATCTTATTCGGAGCCCAAGGCCCCTTTCAGATAGCCTGAGTCCCATCTCCTCTATCTCCCTTCTGCTGACAGACGTGGTGAAGTTAAGATAGTATTCCGAGTACAGCTCCTTGAGGACGTCATCGGTGATGCCTTCTGCACTCTCAACAAAATACACCGCTGGCGTGTTGCCGATGGGGTGGCGTCCCTGTGTTGCTAGAAAATGTGCTGTTATTCCACACTCCCTAAGCTCATTGACCTTCATAAGAGGTGCGATAATCTGCTGGGCACGCTCGCCAAGAATCAGAACCTTCCAAGGATTGTTTGGCGCAGTCAGGAACGCCCTTATTCTTTGTTTCTGGAGCTCCCTTAACATTCGGGGTATGGTGGCAACCTATTTTGTAGAAAGCCTGCAGGCGCCGTTCTGAAGACTCGGCATCCTTTGTCCATGAGAGGGAGTGCTGGGCGTGCAGATGCCCTGGGCTTGCACGAGTCGAGAAATAAATCTTTTTGTTATCCCTGGAACTGCTTCAATAGAACAATGACAACAGAGATTAGAAATATAAAACTGGTGCAGAAGATTGCGTCTGGGGCCTTTGGGGACATATTTATTGGGCAGAACACGGTAACCAACCAGACGGTTGCGGTGAAGTTAGAGAAGAAGGCGCACTATGGGCAGCTTAAGCACGAATATGGCGTGTACAAGGCGCTTGGAAGCACGCGTACTCCGAAGATTTACGAGTATGGGAAGATTTTGTATGAGAATGTATATGTCAATGGGTTGGTGATGGAGCTGATGGGGAAGTCTTTAGAACAGCTATTTGTCACGTGTAACAGGCGTTTCTCGCTCAAGACTGTATTGATGCTGGGGGAAAAGATGGTTGACAATGTAGAGTACCTGCACCACAGAAACTATGTTCACAGGGACATTAAGCCCGACAACTTTGTGTTTGATGTCCGAGGAGACAAGCTATATCTGATAGACTATGGGCTGGCAAAGGAGTTCCGGAACCCGATGACGTTCAAGCACAGGGAGATGAGGACGGACAAATCCTTGACTGGGACGGCAAGATATGCCTCTCTAAGGACCCACCAAGGGTATGAGCAAAGCAGAAGAGATGATTTAGAAAGCATTGGATTTTGCATGGTGTACTTCCTCAAAGGAAGGCTTCCGTGGCAAGGGCTGAAAGCGAAGACAAAGCAAGAGAAGTACGACAAGATAAGGGAAAGCAAGGAGGGGATGTCGTTGTATGAACTGTGCATGGGGCTTCCAAAAGAGATCCACTCATTTTGTTTCTATGTCCGGAACCTTGGGTATGAAGATATGCCGAATTATGCGTATTTAAGGACACTTCTCAATGATGCTCTTAGGCAAAGAGGCCTAAGGAATGACGGAGTGTTTGATTGGATAGCAAGGACGCCCTCTGATTCTCTGGGGGATCTGGAGATTCTGTGAGTAGATTGAATAAAGGATACTTCTGTTCAATTGGTATGAATTTTTAGAGACAAGCAGTGGGCCTTTGCTATGAAAACCCATCAAGAGAAAAGAGAGGTTCTGAAGAGGATGTTTGAGGAGGAAGGGTTTGTGGTGGGGGATGGGCTGAAGTATGGAGTCGATCTTCTGTTGTACACGGACAAGCCATCCCGAGTTCATTCGAAGTACGGTATTCTCATAGATAGGAGGCACAGCTTCTTGGACATTGTCGGGGCACAAAGAACATGCACCTCTGTCAACAAGACACTGGTTGTGGTGTTTTTTGAAGGATGTAAAGTTCGGATGATGAGTGTCGAGAGAATGGAGCTGGGAGTGGAAAGGAATGAACTGTGATGGCAAGCCAGAGAGGCAATTTAAACTTGTAAAAAACAAGGTTTGAAAACCCCAAATGAAAAACAATAAAGATGTTGAGATAGATGAGTCTTTGTATTCCAGGCAGTTGTATGTTGTTGGAAAGGATGCAATGAAGAAGATGATGAGCAGCAAGGTGCTTGTGATGGGGCTTGACGGGCTTGGACAAGAGATTGTGAAGAACATATGCCTGGCTGGCGTGAGTAAGGTTGTTCTTTTTGACGACAGAGCGGTTAGTGAAGAAGATTTGTGCACTGGGTTTTACTTCAGAAGGGAAGATATTGGAAAGCCTAGAGATGCTAGTGTAGTAAACAGGTTTAGATTGATGAACGAGTATGTTGATGTCAGCGTTGCTGGCGAGGTGAAAAGCTTTGAAGAATATGATGTTGTTGTTGTGTGCAATGAGGGGTATGGGGAGCAGATACGGTTGAATGAGATGGCAAGGAAGGACAAATGCATGTTTATTGGGTGCCAGGTAAGAGGGTTATTTTCGCAGGTGTTTTGTGATTTTGGAGCCGAATTTATCTGTGTTGACAGGACTGGGGAGATACCTGCGAGTGGAATGATTAATGACATAAGTGAGGATGGTGTGATGACTGTTGTTGACGGGCAGAGGCATAATCTGGAGGATTACGATATAATCAAGATAACACAGTGCGAGGAGTATGAAGGAAGGTACTTTAGAGTCAAGGTTGTTTCGCCAACCCAAGTGATGTTGCAGAGTGTTGATGGTGTTAGGATGTTTGAGGAGGAGGTCGAGTTCAGGGCAGAGAAGTTTAAGACTGTGTATGGAGGGGACTTTGAGCAGCAGAAGAAGCCCACGATGATATCCTTCAAGCCTCTTGGGATGACCATTGACGAGCCGAGTATCCTTGGATTCAACCATGAGGTTGAGGAAAGGAACCTTGTTGTTCACAAGTGCTTTGTTGCTCTTGGAGAATACATGGAGCAGAACAAGCAAGAGCCTGATGGGGAGGGGTTTCTGTCATTTTTTGTTAAGAAGTATAAAGGCCATTTTGAGTTTGAAGGACTGATAAGATCCTTTGGGAGGCAGTGTATGGGAACGCTTATGCCCATGTGTTCTGTGGTTGGAGGATTTGTGGCCCAGGAGATTTTGAAGGGCGTGGGAAGTAAGTTTACGCCTTTACACCAATTCTTTTACTTTGATGCTGCAGATGTTGCTCCTGGGGACACTGAGGAAGATGGGAAGGAGTATGGCAGATATGGGCCGATGGTGAGATGCCTTGGGAAGGAGAGTGTCGAGAAACTCTTCAATCTGCATGTTTTTATGGTTGGTGCAGGAGCCATTGGATGCGAGCATCTGAAGAACATGATTATGTGCGGGATTGGGCACAACGGCAGAATAAGTGTTACGGACATGGATGCGATTGAGCAGTCGAATTTGAACAGGCAGTTCTTGTTTAGGTCTGGGGATGTGTCGAGTATGAAGGCAGAGGTTGCTGTGAGAGAAGCTGTGGCGCTGAATCAGGACTTTTTGAGAAGTATGGGTGGCGAGAAGAAGCCAGAAGAAAAGGGTGTCTGCAAGATGATAGATGGAATGTCCAAAAACGATTCTTCGCACTCAAATCTTGTTTACTACAACCTGAAGGTCGGGAAAGAAACAGAGGAGGTGTTTAGCGATAGGTTTCTTCAGTCTGTAGATGCTGTGGCAACTGCGCTAGACAACGTGGATGCAAGGATGTACATTGATGGAAGGTGCGTCGTAAATAGGAGGTTCATGGTGGATGCGGGTACATCTGGTACAAAAGGGAATGTTCAGGTTGTTGTTCCTTTCCACACCGAGAGCTATGGGTCTAGCCAGGACCCTCCCGAAAAGTCGATTCCTCTGTGCACGATCAAGAACTTTCCATATGCTATAGAGCATACAATTGAATGGGCAAGAAGTGAGTTTGAGTTCAAGTTCCATGACGAGATACTTCTTATAAAGGAATACTTGGGCAGGGAGAAGACGGACGCCAATGAGGAAAGGAAGGAGGACGAGAGCAACGAGGCTATGGAGGATGTTGTTGAAAAGATACCCACGAATGCTAAGGAATGCATCAGAAATGGGATTCTTCTTTTTGTGAAGCTGTTCCACACATCTATCAAGAACCTTATAACGGCATTTCCTCCTGACTCGAAGACAAAAGAAGGGCAGGTGTTCTGGATGCCACCCAAAAGACCACCCAGAACGATCAACTTCGATGTGAACAACGACCTTCACATACTGTTTGTCCAAAGCGCTGCAAACATATTCAGCTTCAACTTTGGAGTAGGGCGGCATATATCGAAGGAGATGGTCTCTGAGTTTGTGAGGAATGAGATATTAGTTGAGGAGTTTTCAACGGTGGCAGATAACATTTGTACAGAGGAGTCGCAAAGGCCAAGCGTGGATCCCGACATCATAACACCCTGCATCTTTGAGAAGGACGACGATACAAACTTCCATGTGGACTTCCTGTATGCAGCAGCCAACCTCAGAGCAATAAATTACAAGATAAAGCAGGCCGACAGGCTCACTGTGAAGGGGATTGCAGGGAGAATAATCCCAGCCATAGCAACAACGACGGCTGTTGTTTCTGGCCTGGCGATTCTGGAGATGATAAAGTATGCCCTGGGCGTAGACCACACTAAGCATAAGAACTCGTTCCTTAACCTGGCTCTTCCCTTCTTTGCCAGCACAGATCCTGTGGAACCCGTGAAGGAATCGTACAAGATTGAGAACAAGAAATACACATTCACTTTGTGGAACAGGCTGGAGTATAAAGATTCCAAGCTGGGAACGATCCTTAAGGCCTTTGAGATCCAGTTCAAAAGGAAGATATCGATGGTCACTGCAGAAAGTGCTCTACTGTACTGGGACTTCGATTCAAAATATGCTGATAACTTGGAAAAGACCGTTGGAGAGCTAGTTAACAGGAAGCCAGATGAGCTGTTTGTTGTTTTGGATGTGATAACAGACGATGAGGAAGGAGAATTCCCCAGGATTGTAGTTGTTTTCGAATAAAGGAGGCATTGGAATATCTTCTTTAATTGCTTTGTAATGGAAAGGATGCTTCTAGTTATCTAAGGGCTCAGGCAGCCTGATCGTCGTGGTAATGTTTTATGTGGTATTTGAGGCCGTTGTTGTTTTTGTATTTCTTATCGCATCCATCAAATGGACAAACATATGGCTTGAATATGTTCATCTTCTCTTCGGAATGGCCTTCCTTCATGTGGTATTTTAGTCCGAAGGAGGACGTGTATTTCTTGTTGCATCCTTCTATCTCGCAGGCATACACCCTCCCTCCCTTTGTTCTTTGTGCTTTCGAGTGCGGGCGGACAATCCGCTCCTCTCTGCATGTAGTCTTGGCAGTAGCAGACAGCCCTCTAACCTTTATCATCCCGCTATTTGGAATCCTGTTCCTCCACTCCCTATCTCCAACACTCTTATGTATGAACTCGTAATCAAACCCTGGATTGTCTTCTTCAGAAAATTCTGGTGTATCCTTTTGGGACAGAGTGTACTTGTAGAGCATCTCCTCTCTCTTCAGCAAGACATCCTCCAAGTAAAACTGATGCATATCCATCATGTATCCTATATCTTCATACCTTCTTATCCTCTCCTCAAATCTCTTTTCCTCTATTTGATACAGTTTCTTCAGTTTACTTGAATCATTTGTCCTCATCATGTGGCCCCTTGGGCGGTTAATTATTTTCCCAAATGTTATTCTCAATAGATTCCGGTATTTGTGCCAAAGAGGGCACAGCTGTCTCCCTAAGTGCAGAATGGCCCTCATCTACCTGTTTAGCCATGCACCATAGGGCATACAAAGCTTCTGCACAATACAAATAAATCCAATGGTTTATTAAATCATCCTCCTGAGGAGATCGCCTAGCAGATCTTGATGATTTCCAGTAGAGCCTCCATCGTTGAAGCTCCTGGACTTCTGGCCTTTGAATCCCCCACGCGGTGGAGACAAATGGAATGGATATAGGAAATTATTGACATCCTTGAACATCTCGGTTCCGTTGTAGATGTGGTGCACAAGCTCCTCAATGCACTTGATCTTCCCATCAAACATATCCTCAATAAACTCGTTTGTGAGCTTGACACGGGACATTCCGTTTCTGCCAGATCCCCTTGTGTACATGAGCTCTCTCAGCAACTCCATCTCAATTGTCCCAAATGCAACATAGTCCTTGATTATATGCAGCATATTCTTTGTGGACTTGTTGTTTCTGACAAACACACAGCTGTTGATCCTCTTCAGCCTGAAAAGCTCCAGGACCTTTCTAACCTTGGGCGAGCACTTGCACTTGGATCTTATCAGGATAACCACAAAAAACTCCGCCTCCTTAGGAACATAGAATCCGTTCTGCATGCTTGCCTTCTTTTCGAGAATCTCTCTTTCCTGCTGGTAGTACTTATTCAAAAGTTTCTCAGTCATCTCCTCTGCATACTTTGCATTGATCTTCTTCCTCTCCATAAATTCCTTTTCTTGCCTTCTTTTTATCTCGGCCATCTTGGCCTCGTATTCCTTCTTCCTGATAGACGACTGCGGCGCCTCGCTCATCACTGTCTCCATTTTTAGGGCAAATTTTTACTCAAAGTTCTAATACTCCATTCTCCCTATGCAGGCACATTCCTATATAACTAAAGCCATAGACAGCCTACTCCTGTTTATTTATACCTTCCTGATACTCAATCACCTCCCTGAAGAAAGCCACAAAGTCTTCCTCAACCTCGAACAGCCCATTGAGCAATACGTCATTTAAGGTGCAAGAGTCAGTGACATAAAAGTCGGTTAAAAACATCCCCTTCCCCTTGGGCATCCTCCCAACAGTCATCTTCTCAAATAGATAGCTGCATCGTGCTCCTAGAAGGTGGCAGAAACTATTGTTGCTGTTCGTTCCAATTATTCTGCCCTCCCTCAGCTCGGCGAGTATCACAGACTCCTTGATCGACTTCCTCAGCTCAAGGGCGTCTACAGCATGTGCAAGGTTCCCAACAATTATAAAGTACTTGATACTATTGTCTAGATCGTCTATGGACCCCTGGAAGTTGTCGATGGCCTCCATCCTTTTCTTATCGTCGCTTATTCCCTTAGTAGCGAGTATGTCAGACCATATAAACGACAGGCTTGGCACCTGGGCATTCCTGACGTTCATAGACTCCAGACACTTCAGAACATGCGGATAGAACCAGAAGTACCTGCACAAAAATGTAAATATTAGGAACACTTCATAGCTCTCACGGAAATCTCTTCTGTGCTTGAAAGACAAGTACAATGCAAGAACAAGAAAGGGTGCTTTTCGTGATGAGACCAGGACAGCAATAACCATCTTTGTATTGAATACAGACATGTCTTTTCTATATACCCCGTAGGCTTTCCTTAGGAGATCTTCATCAAATCCCTTCCTCATCAGCTGTATCACACAGTCAATTGCCTCATGCGGATGGCCTTCCAACCCGACCATCTCAGCAATAAACTCTATCTCCTTGAAGCACACCCTCGACTTTAGAAGCTCGACAGCCCTGTCCTTCTCCTTCAACTTGTGGAGAAGATAGTATTCGTAATTCAGGCTTTCTTTCTTATAGATCTCCACCCCGTTATCTAGCGCATGTCTGTACAGATCCCAGTCGTCCAGACTTTCAAGAAGAAACTCTATGCACTCTGAGGCACCTTGCTTCCCAACGAGCCTGTAGTGCCCATGTATGCATGCCTCTTTGAGAATTAGATAATAAAGATGGTCCCTAAAAGAAATCCCTTGAACATAGTGATGCATTTCCTCTATCAGTAGCCCTCTCTTGTACAGCATCCAGATCAGATTGCTCTTGATAGTAGCACTCTTCAGAGACTCTAGAAAAAGACTCTTCTTGGCCTCATCTTCCGGGCTTCCCAAAAAATCAATAAGGAGAGATGCCACAAGAAACATAGGATTCCTGGAAAAAAGCATTTTGCCGAGTTCGATGCTCCTTTGCACATCATTTCCGAGGAGCGCCTGTATAAACTCCTTTTCCAAGTCCCTCTGCCCAGACACGAGTCTTTTCAGAAAGTCCAGTTGCTTCATGAGCTTAGGGCCCTAAAATTCTCGGCCTTTTACACATGGGTGCAGCCGGCACAAGAGCCATCTCAAGCCGCCCACTATTTCCATTCCTTGGGTAGTTTCAAGGTCTGTCCCTCTCAATAATCGCCATTGTAAAATTTTTAAATAAAAACAAACAGAGGAGAAGGAAAGAGGAGACATGAGAGAAGCAGGGGATGAAGACCTTCCTTCTGATGTCCAGGACAGGGAAAAAAGAAGAAGATTGGCGGCGCAACTTACAGGGGAGATGGGGCTTATCAGGAGGGAATTTGAAAGTACGGGAGGAATGAAAAGCGGAGCAAGGTTTCTTTACGACTTTGAAAAGCACCTGCCTTTCAGGCATCAGGAAATTAGATATGCAAGTGTCTCTAGTAAATCGAGGGAAGAGAAGACTGTAGACGAATCCAGCAGAATAAGAATGGCAGCCGAGTACGCAGCAGAGGCTGGGGTTTTGGCGGTAATGGATGTTTTGAGACATTCCAAGAAGGTTGTATTTAGTAAAGATTGGGAGGTTGGATATAGGGAGGATAACGTTATCGGTATTCTGCAAAAGATCGAAAAGAAAAGAAGAAGAAAAGGCTTGGTGAGAAGCTGTGAGGGGGCTTGGATAGATAAGAGAGACGTGGAAAACACATGGAAAAGGATGGTTGATGCTGAGAGCAAGAGGATGAACGCATTAAAGCTCGTAAGCCATGAGATAGCACTTATGAAAAGAAGCAGGGTGGTTTGTGTCAATGCCTCTTTCCGAGCCTTGGATGAGGCCAGGGCCTGGGATCCGGAGGATGGCAGCACATTTGGAATGAATGGAGAAGAGGAGGTGGTGACTTACCGCAGGACAAAGATTGTTAAGACGGATCCTAGCGAGGGTGTGAGCCGCGAAAGTGTGGTTCTTCCACTAATGAGAGACGACAATCCCCCAACCATACTTAATGTCAGGACACACGACTCTCCCAAAAAGAAGGAAAGGGCATTGGCAAAGACTCAAATGATTGAAAGATATAAGAGATATCTTAGGAACTTTTCAAAAATGAATGCTAAGCGGTCGAGCAGAAATAGCTTTAACATAGCGCAGACATCTGCATCAAGCCATCCAACTAGCCAGCATGTTTTTAAGAAAATACCGATGGAGTACCTGAGGTGTAAGAATGCTAGGGATATTGTCAACTACAAATACAAGCATGTGGTTATTGGCAAGGAAACCCGGATGGCAGGAGGAGGTGAGTCGGGGTACTCACCAGAGGGCATGCAGGACGGGCTTTCTGGAGACTTGTGCTCGAGTGGAAGCGATGACACAAGTATCAGATATACCTTTCTTATTGAGGCAGCATTGGGCAAGACCCCTGACTCTGGGAGGAAGGACATTCTGGAGGCGGACATGGAGAGGGCTTCTATGATGCAGAGAGACAAAAGGTACATTTACAAAGTGCCGGCGCAAGTACCATTGTGCGATGGTGATGAAGGGGGAATGGATACAAATGTTCAGACGAGACCTGAAAGTACTGAAAATGTGGAGACGGTGGGGTCCTATAGAAGCCTCATTGATAGCGTTACCCAAGAGCCTAAAGATGGTGCAGAGGACGGCAAGGATGAGAAGGTATAGAGGGCTTTTCTATTAGCAAAATATTATTCAGCATTTAAATTAAATACAAAGGAAAGTGTAAGTGTGTGTACTTTGTTAAAGATCTCATGGCATTGGATGTTCTTTGTGACTTCCAGGTAAGAAGTTCGGTAAAGCACCTATTGGATGTGGAGCCGGCCTCGGGGTGTGATGGAATACCAAATCTAATAGGGGATTGGACTGCTTAAGGTTCGAGAAAGGATTGGAGGAATAAATACAGAGGAGCCAAGAGGAAAGGAGATATGAAGGACGAAGAGGAGACTCTAAGCTACATAGACTCTGGGATAAACGGTATAGAGGAGGAGGTCAGCAGTCTTATGGACGAGTCGATAACGAGCAACCCTTCTCAAGAAAGAGAGATGAGAGGTATGATAGGAGACTTTGAGTACATAGAGAACAAATGGATAGGAAACTACAGGTTTGTGAGGCAGTTGGGTACTGGGAGCAGCAGTAAGGTTGTACTTGGATGCGATGTGCATAGCGGAGAAAAAGTGGCAATAAAAATAATTCCTAGAAGAACGAACGGCGAGGAAACGAGCGGAGTGGAGATGAGGTGTGACCAAAGGATCTTCAGGGAAGTGATTATATCATCTGTGGTGAACCATCCACACATTGTGCGGCTGAAGAACTTTCTGTACAGCCCTACACACTACTTCTTGATATTCGAATATGTGAAGGGAAAACAGTTGTACGACATCATCATCAGCAACGGGCCATTAAAAGAGAAGGAGGGGCAACGATACTTCAGACAGTTGCTTTCTGCGATTGACTACATTCACAAGAACTCGATTGTGCATAGAGACTTGAAGATAGAAAACATATTGATTGACGAGAACGACAATGTTAAGCTGATCGACTTTGGACTGTCCAACTTTTATGATAACAAGACTTTATTGAACACGTTCTGTGGAAGCCTTTACTTTGCGGCGCCCGAGCTGCTTCAGGGCCAGAGATACTGCGGGCCTGAGATAGATGTATGGAGCCTTGGGGTTGTTTTGTATGCGATTCTGTGCGGGTGTGTTCCGTTTGATGATGAGAATGTCCAAGGACTTCAAGCAAAGATAAAGGATGCAGAATTCAAGTTCTGCAGGACCATTTCAAAGGAGGCGCAGGAGCTGATCAAGGGAATGATTGTTGCACAGCCATCGTTGAGGATGGGGCTTGACCAGGTGATTGGAAGCGAGTGGGTCAACAGTGGGCAGAAGAGCAGGATTAACAGCTACACATCAAAGAGATATCCAATAATGAAGATTAACGAGAAATACATAAAGTCGATATCAAGGGCAATCCGATTCCAGTTTCCAAACATGGAGAGAGAGATAAGAAGGTTCCATAGGATATGCAAGGAGGAGATAGGCACTCTGGAGCAGATTTATTGGTCCAGAAGGCCTGTTGTGTCACTTTACTATCTTGTTTGCGAGAACCTTGGAGATGAAGGGGAGAATGAGGTTTATGACGAAGAGGATGAGGAGTTATCTCACGAACTCCCTGAGGCGATCTACGACTTTGTGAGGTTTATATTTTCGAAGGAGAAGGTCCAGGTGCCGAGGCATGTTAAGAAGGAAGTCTTTCTGACCTCTACAAGCCAGGACTCTCTTTGCAGCCTGAAGGGAAAGGATGGGGGGCTTCCCCGAGTCAGGCAGACATACCTGAAAGGGTTTTTCAAGGGGATAAGGGTAAAGCATATTGGGAGCCATAATGCACTTAAAAAGATACTCCTCGACATATTCAACTCAAATAATATTATCTACGAGATCACGGAGAAGAGCTACTTCTGTTCTGCATACTACGAGGACCTGGAGTGCCTCTTCAAGGTGTCTATGTATTTCAATGTTCTTCTCAATGAATATTACTTGACGGTGACGCCTCTGAACAGCGAGAGGAAGCTCTTCAGGAATGTGTATGAATGGATTTCTTGTGGTTTAAAGAACAGAGCATGAAATAAATTGTTAAACTTTGACTGGTTTGAAGGATCTGGATTTCATCCTCGGAGACAGTCGAGACGTTTTGCCGGGCTCTTGATGTCTTTGGAGGAAGATATTTTGGGTTTTGCGGTACCCCTGGGTTTGCGGTTGTACCGTGAACTCAAAATAGCCACAATTGCTCCCTTGGCCTTTATGGGTCCGAGGTTCGTAGATGGCTACATTTTGATGTGATGTCTTCTTTTGTGATTTTTTCTGTTTCAAGGCTGTTTTATGCTGTTTTGGAACCTCTATAAACAGAAACGACTCTTGGTGCATATTGGGGCCAGATGGTTTCTATTTGGTTAATTCTAGGATGCGCTTTCTGTTCTCTCGAGAGCGACATGCTGAGATACACAAACAAGTTCAGGAACGAGCACAACATGGAGGAGCTTTATAGCCTGCCCTCGCTGCAGAAGGCTGCGGACTTGCAAGTGTTGCATATGTGCAGAAAGGCCAAGCTTACACACGATGGGCCTAGCGGACTGGAGTCCAATCTTGCTGGAAGACTAAAGAAGTTTGACTTTGTTGGACTGAACATTGGTGAAAACATTGCCAAGCAGGAGAATGACGATTATAGGGAGGTTGTCAAGCTCTGGATGAAATCAGAAAAGCATAGAAACAACATTCTTGGGGACTATGTATATTCTGGAGTTGCTACGTGTGTTGGGAAGGACGGCAATAGATATTGGGTTCAGGTGTTTGGAAAGGATGTCAGCAACACAAAGATTGCCAAGATGAGAGACGGGATGAAGACGTCTACGTCTAAAGGATGTGACACCCAGTCGAAGGGTGGAGGGCGGCCTGCTATGGAGAAGATGCATGATAAGAAAGAGGATTTTGGAGAGGAAGGCTACATAATGGTGATTCCTCCTGAGTACGAGAAGAAGCTGCAAGGGAGTAGAGAAGACTTTGAGGATGCCTCGGACGAGCGTGGAAGTGGTGAGCCAATTGCGAACCAAAGGGATGTAGAAAATCGTCCTAATGAAGGAAAGAGGATACCTGAAATTGGGTTAGATAGAATGAAGTATCCTGGATGGAGCTTTATTAGAAGGCCTAGGTCTATTTCCCCTCATGAGCGTGATAGGAGGAGGGAAGAAAGGGAGCTACTGAGCTTTGGAGATTATCTAATTCCACCGCATAATGAAGGAAAGAGCCAGACAAAAGCCGATGTCCAAAGCACTCCATACTCATTAAGCTCTCAGGTCCCTGTTTCTACTGTCATACATGATGCCAAGACCCAGTCTTCGACAATACCAACAATTACATTTGTATTTAAGGATCCAGGAAACACTACGATAGTCCCCGCACTTCAGTCATTGATTGATGCGATTAAGGGGGCATCGTCGGAAGTCCCTTCGAGCAGCAAAACTTCTTCCATGCCTCCAACCTTGTATTCTTCCTCGAAGACAAGTGCTTCCACCACCCAGCCGCCTGTATCCAGCAGTGTACAGACGTCCTCTTTTGTAACAAGTAGTAGGAATGCAATATCCACGGTTACGGTTACCACAACGACCCATGAGTCTGTTACTACTGTTTATGTGCCGAAGCATCAGGTCCTGACAACAACGGTGCAATCTGATAGAAAAAGCACTGACCAGCCATCCGGGAGAAAACCATCCGGCCAAGGAAGTCTTGGAGGATTGCCATTAAGACTTCTCGGGGCAAGCGGGGGTGGCAGCAACGGGATCATAAGTCCTGTTGTAAGATTCGATGGAAAGGACGGCACAGGAAGTGATGGAGAGGAAGAAGGCCTTGGGTACGGAAAGATATGCCAAAACGGCTACAACAAGGATGGGACATGTGTGGCTTCAAAGGAGCTTGACAGCTCGAAACTGAAGGACGCCTTGGAAGACCTAGTCCGGAAGGGAAAGATCCATCTTCATATTGTATCTGATGAGGATTGTGAGGACAAGGAGGGTTGTTACGAAAGTAAGAATAGAGTCGATATAGGAATTCCGTTTTCCTATAAACTTTGAGGATATTAAAGAGGTTGTTTTGATGTCTATAGATGCCTACTACTTACTTTATTCAAAGCAAAAAGTTCTTACTCAAGAACTAATCCAAGGTCCTTGAAGATGTCGTGTAGGGCGATCACAAACGCGTCCTCCCTCGTTCTTAAGGCTTTTATGTCTTGGTTTTGGATCCAGAAGACTGCATCGATTTTTATTCCTATCGACGAGTTCCTCTTCAGGTTGTAACCATACACACTAAACTTTCCCGTGTACACATTTGGATCAGACTTCACCTCCTTTTCTATTGCTGCATTCAATCTCTCTGCCTTTTCTTTGAACTCGGGAGCGTTGGTGAAGGTAAATTCAAACTGCTTCTGCGATGTCCTTGCCTTCCTGAGGTTGACTATGGTCTTGTCCATGATCTTAGTGTTGGGAATCACAGTAACTTTCTTTTCCACCACAAACGAAGTGTACAGAAGTCCCATATCATATACTTTGTGTAGCTTTCCATCTATAAGGATTTTGTCCCCAACATCGAACGGTTTCACAAGAAATATAAACACCAGGGACTTGAACATGTCTCCCAGAGTTGAGGCGAAAATCACATGGAGAGAAAACAGCGTACCAAACTGGATGGGAAGGAGGTTAACAAGGTTGATTTCGTTCTCGACTATGGGTGTGGCTGCTGCTACTCCAAAGGGAATAAGTATGAAAGAAAGCACGATGTCCAGCTTCTCCACAATCGTGACCTTCTGTGCCATCCCCATGGTGATCCTCTTCTCCTCATTCAGGATATCCCGGTAGACAAGGGCAAAGCTACTTCCTGTCAGCCTGCCATCCCCATATATGTCAAACCGTTCAAATATCTTCTGTGCATAGTCAGTTCCGAAAAAGTATTCCAAGGTCTGTATGTCAACAGCATCTTTCTCTGGAGAAATGGTTTTGAAGACAGAGTTTGCCCAGAGCTCGACATCCTGCTCAAGGTCCATTCTTTTCCCAGTTATCCTGTTCAGCTGCTCGAGCATCTTCATGTCTTCGTAGTTCATGTAGATTCTATCTTCATAGTTCTCGAAAAGCATCTTGTAGTTCACTTTGTCCATGAAAATCGTCTTTGTCAAGATTATCCCAAGAAATATAGAGCCTGCAAGAAGAATCCTACTTATCTTGTCCATTATGAATGTTTCTGGCTTCGTTGATGGCTTCGGCTTGGATTGGTCACTTGTGTCTGCACTCGCATCTTCGCCTGATACCTGTGGAGTCCCCTCTTCTGCACCCCCGGCACTCTCCACACTCATTATCTCTATTCCACGGCTGTAGCTTCCTATGATAAAGGAAAGGGCTAGCAGCGTGAGGACAAGGCTTATGAACCACCCGTTCTTTATCAGTGTGCTTTGAAGGAATCCTTGCTTTTCCTCAACCTTCTTCAAGGTAATTGAAAGATACGTCAATGCAAGCTCGAGTGCAAACCAGATCATGGCACCAATGAGGAAGCACATCAGAAGCCTCTCACTCACAACCGATAGGTGATTGTTTTCATTGGACTTTAGCTTTGGTAGGATCAATGAGTAATAGGTCATATATGCCAGCATCCCAGAGATTAGCGATCCCAAAAAGTAGAAAACAATCCATATGGCTGATGGAGGGCTTGGATCATTTGAACGGCTGTCTATACCCGACTTCTTCTCCACAAAGAAGTCCGATTCCTCTATCTGTTGCATATCATCGATTCTTTTGGCCTGCATGGTACTCCTATTTGCTCAGTGTTATGTACAATGCGAAAAAGGAGAGTAATTATGGTGTTTGAGAGATTTTAGTGGTGTGTACTCGAAGAAAACTTTGTGACCAATAGAGGTTGAATATTTAATTTTCATCGAGATCTCCTTTTCTCTCGTCTCCCATTACATTTCCCTCTTCCCTGGACGTCCAGAGAGTAAGGTTGTCTCTGAGAAGTTGCATTATCAAGGTTGAGTCTCTGTAGTGCTCTTCAGAAAGGGTGTCCAGTTCCTTGATGGCCTCATCAAAGGCGCCCTTGGCTATTGAGCAAGCTTTCTCGGAATCATTAAGGATCTCGTAGTGGAATACTGAGTAATTTAGCGCAAGGCCTAGCTTTATGGGGTTTGTGGGCGGAAGTGTCTTGGCCTTTTCTGTGGCTTCCTTGTAGGATTCTCCTGCATTCTTTGACACCTCTCCATGCTCGGACCCTGAGATAACCTCTGCCTTGTATCTGTAGTAATCACCCTTCATCTTTAGAAAGAAGATGTAGTACTCAATGTTCTTTTTTGCATCCTCGAGACTCAGTATATATGTCGTAATAATGTCCAAGACCTCGTCGCAAAACCTCAGGAGCTCCTCCTCAACTGCCTTTATCTTTTCATCAATCACATGGACCACGCCAGGGTCCTTTCCCTCAACCTTCTGTCTTTCGGAGCACAGCATTCTCCAGCTGGACCTTCTTGAGCTCACCAGGTTTTTGTATGCAACGGAAAAAAGGTTTCTTGCCATAACATTGAGGGTGTGCTTGTCCTCGTGTGCAACCATCACGGCCTGCTTCATCTCCTTTGCCATGTCATCGTATCTCTCTGCCATGTCGCTGAGGTTTGCCTTTTGCAATGCCTCTTCGTACTGCTTGGATGCCATTTCTCAAGCCCCCGGGGATTTTTATTTTTATTCAAGAGAGATGTCAATCGATTTAGAGCAGACAAAAATTATCCCAGCAGGGCTGATGGACGGGTATTTGAAGGAGCATCCGGGCTCCAGGACCCTTGCAGACGAGCTTTCCAAGTTGGCGTCGACTGATGGGGTGGATCTGTCGAGATATGTAGACCCTGAAAATCTTGAGCTGATAGACCATATATATGCAGGAAGAATATACAAGTCGAAGGATGTCAGGAAGGTGCTAAGGAGGATTGCCGGGAGGGAAGGCTCGAGGGCGGAGAAGATTGCGTATGAGATGCTTTGCAAGAGAAGGATTGTTTTTGATAACTACCTGCTCAAGTTGTCCTTTGTAAAGAGGTTCAGAAGGTTTAGGAGATTCCTTGTCGATGGAAATGGGATTGAATACAGAATGCAGATGATGCTCCATAAGCTGCTCTACCTCAGAGAGGATGTGATTGGGGAGATAGAAAAGGAGATTACAAAGATCTCGGGTGAAAAGGTATGGGTTTATGTCGGGGTTCTTGGGAACTTATTAAGCCGAGATGTGGTTATAAGGATTATGGATTATGTGGACATTGAGGTAAAGCCTTTTGTGGGATCTTTTTTGCCAAAGGAGGACTACTACAACAAAATATGCTGTACGATTCTGAGGTCACCCTCTTCCGAGAAGGTGAGAATAATCTCGTCGATGGGCACGATCGATAAGACACAGCTGTACAGATCACTACTCTGCGCATGGTTTTCCGATGATGTGGAAAAGCGAAGGTTTTCGGATTTTATGGAATTGATGAAGCTAGTGAAAGTTGAGAAGAGTATGAGGATGGAGATAGTTAATGGGTATCTAAGCGGGCTTGTATATCATCGAATGTTAGGGGAGTTTATGAAGCTGTTTGAGCACATGAAGAAAGCAGGGGTTAGTGGAGATGAAGGCAGGGTGTTTGAGAAGCTCTACAATGCGATCCGCAGGTACAAGAAAGGAGGGAGGTTGGAACTAGCTGGATTTCTAAGCAAGTGCAAAGAAGGAAGAAGAAAAGGAATGCTTTCGCCATATAGTTGGCAAGATATATATGATGTATACAAGGAGTGATTTAGCTAGCCTTAGGGTTTATATATGAAAGGGAAATAAATTTTGTTATCTCTCATCCTGGGTATGGTGGTTCTAGGTAGGGAAGAGGAGTATCTGAAGCTGGAGCGGTACCTGGACATATTTCTTAGTACTGGGGCTGGAGGGATTGTTTACATAAGTGGGGTTCCTGGGGCTGGAAAGACTCATACCGTGCTTGAGCTGATGGAGAGAAGACAAGTCTCGCATCTATTTCTGAATGCGACTGAGTTGAGGTCGAAGAGAGAGGTGTACAGGTGGGTCCTCACGAACTTATCCTGTAACTCTAGCCAAAAGAAGATGTATCTGATGAACCTACAACGGCATTTTATGGAATGTGCTCTGCCGCATGTGATTGTGATTGACGAGGTGGATACTCTCATAGGGAAGAGCCAGGAAATCCTATACAATATATTTGACATGCCTTATCTAAGGAATAGCAAGCTATTGCTGTTTGTGATTTCCAACACCATGAATCTCCCGGAAAAGCTATTTGAGCCCAAAGTTTGCAGTAGAATAGGAGGAAGAAGGGTCAACTTCGTGCCATACACATCTGCACAGTTGTGTTCTATCGCCAACGGATGCGGAATGAAAAGAAAGTGTGTCGAGCTTATTTCAAAAAGAATTGGGGCGATCAGTGGGGATGCACGAAAGGTGAGGGATGTGATTGATAGGGTTAAGGAAAGTGAGAAAGGAAATGATGCGGAGATACTAGACGTGGATGGCATTATGAGAAAGATGTATGTCCCGGTGTATACTTACTGCATCCAGGGACTATCTTTCTATCAGAAGGTTATTCTATTTCTACTGAATGGAAGTGGGCGTGAGAGAATGAAAGTTAATGAGCTGTATGAGGAGTTTATTTCTTTCTGCAAGAGATCTGATATCGAGGAGATTGGGTTTTTTGAGTACTTGGACCTTGTGGGGGGACTGACAAGATGTGGGATTCTCAGATGTATGAACTCTGGGAAGGAAGTTCTGGCGATGGTTCTAAGAGAGGAGGTTGAGAAGAGCCTCGAGGGTGACAAGGAGTACCTGGAAATGTCTGGGAAGGGATGTGGCCGAAGATTGTATGGGAGGGTTTCTGGTTAAATCTTTGGGGGGTTACACCCATCCGATGGACCAAAAGCTCAAACACTTTCTTGACAATTCGAACTTCCGAAAGGACAGAAAAGGTAAGAAAAAGAAGATAGAGGTGTCTGGAGGAAAGAATGAGGAGGGACAGGAAGAGATTTTGATGATTAGAGACGGGCAAATTGTTGTCAATGACGCAAGCATGTACGTGGACACGCACAAGGATATGGAGATGGAGGTGATGGAAGACGATAGGATTGTGACATCCTCGACATTCAGTAAGAAGAAGGGGGCGCTGAGGTGGAGCAAGAAGGAGATAGAATTGTTCTACAAGGCACTGGAGATATGTGGGATTGAGTTTTCGTTGATAAGCTCATTATTTCCAAACAAGGAGAGGAAGCACATAAAAGCAAAGTACATAAAGGAAGTCAAGGTCAACCCAGAAAGGATAAACGAGGTTTTGAATGAGTACAAGACATTTGACCAGGTGGCCTACAACAACCTTAGAAACTATCTTCTTGAATAGAAGGACTTTAATAAATCTACTTTATTTCCTTTGCAGCCCTACAGCAATTTCTTCTTGAGGGTCTTGGGATACATTCTTGTGTTAGTGATCCTGGAGAGCAGCATAAACAGTTTGTAATAGCATATGACAAGCAGGATTGCTACAAAGACAAAGACTGCTCTCATCAGCATTGTCATGTAACCCAAGAACGGATAGACCCAGTAATCGTTAAGTTTCTGGAAGTGGTGGATGACGACGAAGTAGACGATGCCGAAGATGCCAAAGAACAAGTAGTGCCTCTTTTTCTCGTAAATGTCGACGCCCGCCTGGTCTATAAGGAGGACAAGAAAAGGAAATAAGTGAAGAGAGACTTCACATATCAGCGGTGTTCTAATGCCTGCCATGTAAAATTCTCTGTTTTTCAACAGCGTTGGATTTATGAAGTTGAGTGTCCAGAAGACTGTTGTTACCAATGCCTCCATTGGAAGAGTGACTGAGATAAAGTCTCTATAGACCTCCTTGAAGGCCAAAGCTCCCATGTGCTTCACACAGTAGCTCAGAAGCAGTGTTATTACTGTCATGTACAAGCCTATTTGTGTTATGTAGATGTGGCTGCCACCAGCAAGCTTATTGACGAAGTCTATCCACTCTCTTGGCTGTGAATAGTCTGTTCCCCCGTAAACGCAGAATATCAAAAGGGCTCCTTTGAGGACCTCCCTTGATGCTGACAAATATCTAAACCTTGCCATAAAGTGACAGTGCATCATGAAATTAAAGTAAAATAGTCTTGGAACAATCAGGCCTCAATGATTTAGCAACACCTAAGACATGTCATATATAGGATGCTTTGACCAATTATACTTCTAGATTTGATTGCTTTCAGACTCCTCATAGCCCTGATGAATTGTGTCATTAATTGAGATAAGGCTCCTATAAAAAGCAACGCCTATAAGACATGATGCAGCTATGAACAATATCCTTTTTAAGGGCCCATAATTGAATGCAGAACCCTGCGGATCCTTGAATATGGGATACGGCCACTTATTATCTTTTTTGTGGAAGTAGGTGATTTCCAAGAGATATAGAATACCGGACCCAAATATGAAGTAGATGCATCTCCTTTCCTTCCTTAGCCTCACTTCTGCTTGCGATATCAGCAGGAGAACGATTGGGAAGAGATGGGACGACATTTCTATAAATAGACTGTCGCTGTCGTTCATAACGGACTTACCTAGAAGAAGCTTGCGATCAGTAACATAGAGGCTCCAGAATAGCACGGTTACTATTCCTTCTAGGGAGAACGCCACGGCAAGCATATCCTTGTAAACGGCCTCTAGCTTTTTTCCTGCTTTGGTTTTCACAATATATCCAAGAACTGTTGAAATAATAGTTAAGTACAGTGATATAAATGTGAAGTATATGAACTTCCCGGCAGTAAAAGCACTTGCAGCCCCAAGAACAGCGGAGGTGTGAGAGCAGTCCATTGCTGCATACACACAAAGCCCTAGAAGCAGCAGCTTTAGAACTTCCTTTAGAGTTAGTTTTATTCTACTTTTTTCCATAGGGCCTATTTAATATCCGAAAATATCGATAAGAAGGTGTGACTAGGAACCTTTTGTTTTGGATTTTACAGAAGGGTGGATAGAAGTGCAGAGGTCTAAGAGATAGGGAGCTGGGGATAAAACAATAAAAAAGCACCCCTTGACACAGGGATGCTAAAGATATATGAGGATATAATCAACGAGGTTATATCCAAGCTTGAGCAGGCTGAAGATGAGACAAACCTGGGGAAGTCCGCGATTCATGAGCTTAGAAATGAGTGGAGAGAAAGACTTATTGAATATACGCAGGGCGAGTGGGGTGTAGAGAGAAATATAAATAACGATGGCCAAGGATACCGTGGATACGAAAGGCCCCCTGAGGAGTCTGGAAGTGGCTTTAATGGAAGCACGATGATAGAGAGGGAGGACGGGATGTTTGAGGACTACGAAAGCCTGAGTGCCTCGAGTGGAGATTCTGAAATAATAGGGAAAAAGGGTAATGTTGGTAACTGCATGGTTTGCCTATATGTAAAGGTTAACATGTCGAAGGGGAAGTGGAAGTGCACGTTTAAGCAGGGATTTATTAGCATAGGAAACATAGACTTTGTGTTTAACTCCGCTCAGGGAGAGCTTGAGTGGTGAGCAATTTTATTTAATAAAGAATCCTTGTATATGCGGAAATGTTTGAGAAGTTAGTGGGATGAGCCCTGGAAATGGGGATTAAGCAACTGTCCAAGCTCCTGAAGGAGAACAGCGCGAATGGGATCAAAGAAAGGCCATTGGCATACTACTCGTCAAAAAGAATAGCGATTGATGCCTCTATGTCGATATATCAGTTCTTGATAGCTGTTAGGTCTGATGGGTCGATGCTAGGGAGCGGGGATGCAACGACATCCCATTTAGTGGGGCTTTTTTACCGAACGATTCGGATGGTCGAACTGGGAATAACGCCTGTGTATGTGTTTGACGGGGCGCCACCTGAGATCAAGATGAAGGAGCTAGGAAAGAGGAATGAGAGAAGAGCGATGGCGGATAAGGAATACAGGGAAGCATCTGAGGCTGGAGATAAGAGGCTTATGGAAATGTATGACAAAAGAAAGACAAAGGTGACTGGAGTCCATGTTGAGGAGTGTAAAAGGCTTCTTGGGCTGATGGGGATACCGTTTGAGACAGCGCCCAGTGAAGCAGAGGCATACTGTGCCTTTCTATGCAGAAAAAGAATTGTCTATGGTGTTGCGACCGAAGACATGGATTCCCTGACGTTTGGATCTCCTGTAGTGCTAAGAAACTTCAGTGGAGCCCAGAGCAAGAAGCTTCCTGTTGTCGAGTACAATCTTCGGCAGTTGCTTGAGGATCTTTCTTTGGAACAAAATGAGTTTATTGATCTGTGTATTCTCCTGGGGTGTGATTATTGCGACACCCTGAAAGGGATAGGGCCCAAGAAGGCGCTGGGGCTTATAAGGAAGCATAGGAGTATTGAGAGGATTCTTCAGGAGGAGAATCTGGATGTGCCTGGCGGCTGGGGATATGAAGAGGCTCAGAAGATATTCATGAATCTTGGGGAGATTGGTGATTCAAGGGAGTTTAATATCTCCTGGAGTTCGATCGATAAAAGTGGGATTGTGAAGTTTCTTGTTGAAGAAAAGGGATTTGACCTGGAAAGAGTCAACAAAGGTGTCGAGAAGCTTATAAACTCTAGAAAAAAGAGTATGCAAGGGAGGCTGGATGGATTCATAACAAAAAGCAAGTGATGCAAGCACTTACAGGGTTCTATACATCAGGTTTTTCAGATACAAGGGCCTAGTGCTGGATACATGTCTTTTGAAACTACACGAGTCTACAAGCAGGCAGCCTTCTTTGTCTATAACCCCTGAGTCAAGGATGTCGAGATAGTAGGATAGAATCTCCATGCTTGTTACGCCCCTGAGTTCATTGACATCAGACGTAAATGCTCGGAACTCAGATACACAATTGATGTACTTTATCCTCCTCCTAAATGCTATCAGGATAAGTGTTATGTGAATCGGGTTAAACAGGGAATACAGGGTTTCTATGGTATACTCCGGGATGCCGTATTTCTTTGCAATTATTCTTTTCGATAAAGCCGAAATGCTTGGGTCGATGCTATATTGTCTTTGGATCTCTTCGGATCGCCCTGTCCCTGTTAGTTGGATATATAATGCTTTGTATGACTCGAAGGGAAGAAAGCCTATGAAAAAGACTCGGTGGTTGAATCTCGACTTGACTCGTCTTTCCAGTCTGTCTAGAAAAGTGCAAGACGTCGATACAAGGACTAGACAGCAGGAATTCTTTCTAGCTTTTTCAAGGTAATGATATATATGCAGCTGGAAGGAGATCGGCATTTCGTCGTTTATAGCAATAAAAAAAACTTTTCCATCAGGATTTTCGTCCTTTGGAGTCGTTGGAAGGACCTCCACAACTGTCCTGTTTCTTTTCTGTGCATGCCTCTTCACCAGTCCGACAACTATGGAAAGTATGTCGTGGTCGAGTCCGCACAAGAGAAAATGCTCTTGATTTTTGTCCACAAGGCATGTTATCTCAGATATTGTGTTTCTAAAGCATGCTTCAACTGCTTCGTCCATGAGGGAGGCAAAAAGAGAGCAATCTTTGATGCAAGGATCTTCGATGCAAAAGGAATGCTAGATCCCGGGTTCGAACCGGGGACACCTAGATCTTCAGTCTAGTGCTCTTCCACTGAGCTAATCCAGCTGGTGTGTGTGCACAGGACATACATCCAGACACAAAAGCCACTCCTTCATCCCCTTGTTTACTCAAGCCCAAGGAATGGATCATCATAGCAACACCACCTCGTTAAGGGAACTATTCTCCTCTTCGCATCCAGACCTTCTCTCGGCAATAGAATACATGCATGAGCACCCGTCCGTAGGAATATGGCAATACATATGCAGTAGAATCAGATACTTCGATCCCCAGATCCACTACCTTCCTCAGCTTGTTCATGTATTCCTCTACAATAAAGACCGAGTGGCTAGTAAGCCAATGCATGACCTTCTGAGATACTGGGCATCCAGAGATAAAGAATTTTCCTGTGCACTATACTTCCATCTAAGAGGCGCTCTTGAAAGTGGCAGCGACGCAAGATCTATATCCTGTTACTTTCTGATCTGCGATATGTTTGAAATGGAGAGAAAGAGAATGTGTAGAAACACAAGGATCCTGGAAATACAATACAGGTACAAGAGGAAGATAGGCAGGACGTTCTTTACACCGGCCTCAAGAAAAGGATATCCTCCCCTCAGAGGAATTTTTCTTTTTTTTGTGAAGGCTGTGTCATGGGTAACCGATCCAAGGCTCTTCAGGAGGATTTGCAACTACGAGGAGATGTTTTTGGAAACAAGGGATGTGTGCAATATCAATGTGAAGAAAGACCTAAGGTTCGGAAACGCATTCGACGGACTGGGTGTGGGGGCAAATGTTTCGTTTCTCGAGTCGCTTGTCGAGATCCCAAGTAGGCTCAAGAAACTTCCAAGACACCTAAGAGAAAGGGGGCTGGAGATGGAGATCAAGCTGCTGAACCATAATCTGCCTGCAAGGGTATTCCTTCCACTACATTCAGGGAGGTTTGTGTTGACAGCCAGGGTTGAGGAATCATTTCTTTTGGATTCTGCCGAAAACTCCCCGTTTCTTGTTGTATTTGAGACTGCATTGGAGGTGCCGAGAAAGAGCTGTGCAAGGGATGAGATAAAGGATGCTCTGTTTCTGAAGCAGCAGCTCGATGCAGTCAGTGGCCTCTCTTCTCTAAGCGAGATACACATTGTCAAAGACAATGTGATGGCCTCTATAGAAAAGATCCTGATGACCAAAAGGTATGAAGACACCTCTTCTGAGAATTCTCTAAGTACAGAGACTTCCCAGAATAGTGAAAGAAGAAAGAATAAGCACCTTGACGATATCTATATCAGAAAGAAGACTGGAAAGCATGGAGGAGACGGAGGGATTCTTCTCATGAACTCCAGGTCATATTCTGCAGGGCAGCTGGGACAGGGATGCTCTCTTACCCCCCTACCCAAGGAAAGTGCAAGCACGCATACACACACTGGATACAGATGCCATGACGGATGGATACTTAAGAAGGCAGAGCTTAAGAAGACTTCTTTGTTCGGCAAAGTAATTGGATGGTGTGCAGAGTCCATAATTGTCAAGACGGGAGACTCTCTAAAACAGGAGTTGATAGCACACCAGGTTTTACGTGAGATGAAAAGGATCTGGAGGGAAGAAAATAGTTCTCTGTGGGTCAGGCCATACAAGATCTACCTTGTAAGTGATACAAGCGGAATAATTGAGACTGTGGTCGATGCAACATCGATACACAAGATAAAGAAGAAGATGATGTCTGAAAGTAAGAATTACTCTCTGAAGAACTACTTTGCAGAGTCCTTTGAGCTGAACAGTGAGAAGTATAAGAGCTGTTTGAGAAACTTCTTGTACTCCCTTGTGGGATATTCGTTGGCTACATACATTCTGCAGGTGAAGGACAGACACAACGGGAACATAATGATCGACGGACAGGGACACATTGTCCACGTTGACTTCGGGTTCATAATGGGAAACCACCCCGGATTCTACTGTGTTGAGGCGGCGCCGTTCAAATTCTCAAAGGAGTATCTTGAGCTTCTTGGAGATCTTATGGATGAGTTCAAGAACCTGTTTCTCCAAGGATATATGGCGCTGAGGAAGCACAGCGGCCGACTCTTCAGGATAATGGAGACGATGCCTGGAAACTCGGCCACAGAATGCTTCAACAGAAGAGAAGTGCAGAACTTCAAGGATAGATTCCAAATGGATCTCAGTGACGAGAGAGTTGAGGAACATGTGACATACTTGATAAACAAGAGTCTCAACAGTATGGGAACGGGGTTGTATGACTCGTATCAGTATTTTTCATATGGATACCTTTAGTCTGAGATTAAACGATTTTTTTTGCTATTAGGAATATCCTTTATTATGTCGCTCAGAAGAATCAGGCTGCCAAACAAACCTTTGGTGATTTCATCTCTGGGTGATTCTGTATACATTGGTGATGCACATGGATTTGCATACGAGATGAAGCCTCCTTACATTTCCCGAACTGTTATACTTCAATCATCTGGGCCCATATCTGCACTAGCTGTTGGAAAGGATGTGTACTACGGCAACTGGGATGGCGATGTAGGTGTTGTTGGGGGAAAGAAGATTAATCTGGGAGGCGAGATTGTGAAGTGTATGCTGATCCACGGAGACAGAATTTACGTGTCTGTGGGGCTAATGGTATATGGTCTTAGCCTTGGCTTGGATATAGAGTGCTCTTACGAAGTTAAGCATAAAGTGCTGTGCATGAGTGCCTTTCAAGGATCTGTTTATTGCGGGATGGGTGTGTCATTTCTGTCGCGGATTCATGACGAGTTTGAGATTATTGGGAGAAGTTTACACGACACTTCTATATTCTGTATTTGTGGAGAGTATACAGGATCTGCAGATGGAAGGGTTTTGAGGCAAGACTATTGTGATCTGGACAATGCTGAGGAAATTTATAAAGGAAATAACTGGATTAGGTCAATTTACAATCAATATCTGTTCTCTGATGGAAGGAATGTGATGGCCGATGTTGATGGATTAAAAGGTAATGGGAGCTGTGGAGTGAAGCCGATATACTCACATGAAGAAGATGTGCTTGGTGTGATCAAGGTTGGAGGTACGGTTATTTCCATTGGCCTGGACTACTGCTACTGTGTCTTTGAGATTGCCCCAGGTCTTAGTCCAGAGGAAGAGATGGAGATAGCAGAACTCATGAACGAGTGACGCACCTTTAAGTGGAAGTCTGGGGAATATGTTTGTTTGGAGTTGCTTAAGACCAGAGGAAGGAATAAACAAAGCCGAGATGTTTCTGCCTCCGGATACAAACACAAAGGAAAGAAGAAGATTTGACCTAGATGATCTGCGTGTTTATTACCTGATATGTGAGGAACTTGGAATAGCCGAGGAAGAGCATATACAGAAATCCTTTTACTATTTGATGAAGTGGGCAGGGCAGGATAAGTTTAGTGGGGAGGTGGGGCTTCTTAGAAACTATATAATGAGGATCAAAAAGGAAAGAAAGGACAGGTCTAGTGAGTGGGATGTGTTAATGATGTGAAAGAATTTGATAAAAACCTTCAGTTACAGTACTTTCTATACCTTCACATCGATTCAATTCTTCAATAGCATTTTATTCGTGATTAATCTCGTGTTTGGTATACCATTAATAAGGCACAGGAAAGAACAACAATTATAACAAACTCTATCATGCCGAATAGGATGATCAGGATTGGGAGAAAGGAGGGCTTTTCCGACAGAATCCTGAATCCCCTCTTGCCTAGTGCCGAGCAAACCTTTCCCGATATTGCAGCCGTGATTCCCACCATTAAGGATGCAGAGAGATATGAGATACTCCTTCCCATGTCCAGCTTTTCGTCTATATTTGTTGCAATGATCAAGGCAACAAGAAAGCTACTGAAAAATATTGTTGACACCATTATCATGATGAAGTATGTGGGCCCGAGTATGGATCTATTCTGACTGCATAGAATCGATGCACCACCCGAAGAGGCCATGCCTTCACATGCGCCATAAACTGCAAGAGCTATCTCAACAGCAAGGCCTATGGAGACGATTGAGAAGGGTGTGTCACTGTCACTTCCTGCCTCCATTGAGATGATGGGTCCTATTAACAAAAACATCAAATCCATCGGCTTTGAAAACAAGATCCTTCTAAACCTCGAATGGGGATGCTCAAGTACTGTGGGGTGACAGAATTGTCCGGGAAGCCAGGAACGGGGAAGACTGCGATTGCCATTGAAGAATCGAAAGAGCTTGCAACAATATATATAACAACAACAACGTTTTGCATTGAAAGATACAAAGGTACGTCTAAGGAGGTGATGGACCGGATTATTGTGAAGTACATTCCGGGCATTGAGTATCTAGCATCCTTTGTCATGAATTCCATGGAAAGAATTATTATAGAAATGGGTGTCAGGTTGGTTATCATAGACAGCCTGGATCATCTTCTTGCAACCGAGGGCGCGGGAATGGATCGGCGCATTCTATTTGGAATCGTCAACCGACTCAAGAGAATGAACCAGAAGCACGAGGTAAACATCCTGGTCGTCACCTACCACCATGGAAATTGGACGGTCGGTACCTTTTGCATACCCAATCCCATGCTCGGGCTCCAGTGGATGTATATGGTGAACACAAGGTACATTTGCTGCAGAGATGGAGACAAAAGAATACTCAGGCTTGCCAGATCACCCTCGATGGAATCAAGGGCCTGGGAGTTTGAGATTGGGTCATCTGCAGTGCTGATTGCATCTGAAATTGTAGAGCAGCAAGAAACCTTCTAACTTATTCAGTAAATATTTTATCTATTCACACTCCATCTTGGCGCTTCATGGGAAGTAGAACAGGACTCCCTCTCAAAATCCTATCAGTTTCTCTTAAGAGATTTAGATATATCTCCGGTGCAATGTTCTGCGGCAGAAAGGAAGTCTCTCATGTGGAGATCGCCGGTGTGTGCATACACAAAGAAAGAAACTTCGCCAGAATACTGGACTTCTGTGGAGAAGTGCTAGTAGAAATGGAAGATCAGGAAATACACCTGAGCTCATCCTATCTGCTCACATGTAAGATACACATAAGGAACGGTGTCATCGGTTTGCGATGTAAGTCTGCACGGAAGATCGGAATTTTTGAAGAGATGTTTTTTTGGGCTGAGGCAGTCAATTTAAGGAAGACATTGCAGTGTAATCGAAACAGACACTGAGTTTAATATTAAAGGGTATTCGTCTTCAGGTCCTTCATGGTATTAGAGGATGCTTTGTTTGCAGCCTTTTCAAGCAAGTCCGGATCTGAATATCCCATCTGGAGGTGAACAGCATACTTGCTCCTGTCAAGGACCTCCTTGCTGAATTCAATCTTGGACTTGGTGGAAAGCTGTGGGCCGATAAATGGGCCAGAAAATATCTTCTCCTTTTGGAGCTGCCTGCTCAATGCATACAAGCAGATAACAACCTGTTTCAGATCCTTTGCCTCAAACAGATCATTGGTCTGAAACAGCTCGTACTCATTCATATTGAGCTTCTTAAGCCCGTTTATAAATGAGCAGATGTTCTCTCTTTGTACAAATATTTGTCTTGACTCTTTATACTTAACATCGAGAGGCGAAACCTTATTGAGGAATCTGCAGAGCCTTACCCCATCCTTGAACAAGTCGTGGAATGACCCATCTTCAAACTTCTCTCCAAGAACTGCCTCAATCCATAGCGTCACTTCCCTCTGTTGGCTGTCCATCTCAGGGCATGTGTTTTTATCATTTACTTATTCAGGCTGCAGTAACAAAAAATCAAGGTTCAGGTAATATATGTACCCAAATGGGAATAATTGAGGGATGGGTAAGACTTTATTGGCGCCTTCTGCCCTTAGGCTTCTGAATAAGGAAGTCTAAGAATACAACTATAATGGCTACAGTAATAGCGGAGATTGTTAGCACGCTCAAGAAGAACGATGCAACGAAAATCCCAGTCAACGCCCACGAGGCAGTGCAGGTGGTTAACACCAGTATCAAGAAAAGTGTCTTTATGGCTCTGATGTTGTCTCTGTACGAGCTTATGCTCTTTCCCTCGAGGTCGGTGGTGAGGATTTCGTATGTAACTTGGAGACTTCCATGGCAGAGTCTGTTTACAAAGTATCTGTGTAACCCTATTGCTCCATCCTTCATCCTGTCAATAACACCCTGCTCCCTCCTGGAGAGGAAGTGGCTTTTCAGGGCAAATGAGCCTGAGTATTGCATCGAGAGCGAGTTTCCATTCTTGTACCACAGATTTTTCAGCTGCTCAAATAAATGTTCTTTGCTCTCAATATTGAAATGGGAAATCTGCTTCTCAAACATGAGTTCTCCAATGACAAACTGAGAGATGTTCGTTCTGTCTAAGCAGTCGATGCAGTTTGTGCGGATGACCCCACTTTGCAACTTCCCAAACCCGTGGTATCCAAAAGAGGTAACCGCCTCTTCTATTAAGCCCAAGAACTTTTCTCGTGTACTCCCCTGAACAATGCCTCCTTCCTCAAAAAAGTTAAAGTGCACACCTTTCTTGTTGTTTCCAAGGAGCTCGTTTTTATATGCACAATGTATGTTCCCTTCGTATCCAGAGCTTCTTATAAGATTCAGGTACAGAACGTCACCGTACTTATCTCTTAGAACCTTGTCTGCTATATGAAGCACTTTTTGATTGCTTATGATTATTTTTGGGTTGTACTCCCTTCCAAGAGCATGCTCCCATATCAGAGGAATAGACCCCCGCACTTGGAGAAACGACGTTGCTTTCTCCCCCTCATACACGATTTGTTCCGTCTCCACATAGTTTGAGACATAGCCCGTTGTATCTGACCCTCTACAGAAGTATCTGGCGCCAGTCCTTCTCCAGGACCTCCTTGAAATCAGTCTTAGGCATATTGGCCCGACATCTACCGATCCAAAAAACCCTTGTATGCAGTATATAGAAAACAAGGTGCTTTGACCACCTGCGTGCTTTACGAACTTCTGAAGTGGTAGTGAATTGAAGAGAAAGTCCACATCGTCATCCTTCTTTGCAGACATGGCCTTATAAAGAGGATACGTGCTGAAGTAGACTCCGTTCCCACCAAGGAATCTCCTGACTGCCCTCATTTCATTTCTAAAGTTCTCTGAGCTACCTCTTTTCAGCTGAATTATTTCTACATCTTTGATTTCATACACAACATGATCATGCATCATCCCTCTCATAATAGCATCTACAACTAGAATAAGATAAGAGGACTTGGAGATGGTGACTATTCCATAAACACCGTAGGAATGGCAAATAGATCTTCTTGCATCGACCCTTTGCCTTTCAATAGTAAGAGACACGCCTCCTGTGATGTTTTCCAGCATGACTTTCTCTGGAGAAGTGGTAACTTTCAGATTTATACCCATGTCCATTGTATTAGTATTCCTGGGGCTCAGGAAGTATTGATTATATGGCACTGCAATGATTTATTGGTGATAAGAGTTAGGACAGATAGAGGATGGGGCATAGAACAATATAGGATGATGGATAATAAAACACGTGACTTGATGTGGACGTGCTCCACATAACCGGGCAGCCTGCTTGTCTTATAGTGTAATTGAGGCAATGGAGTTTCTATATAGCAGACCTGGCAGCCTTTGGCCTAATTAACTTGTTAAAGAAACACAATTTATCTTTTGACCTCTTAAATAATTCAAAAATTGTTGGGGGTATGGATAACTTTGGAGGCAGCTTCTTCAACTCGTATACCAATAACTCGAATAGGGAGGCTGAGGGAGGCCAGTACTTCGATCCATACTTTGTCAAGCACAGAAAAAGGACGACGAAGGCACAGCTTAAGGTTCTCGAGGAAACCTTTGAGACCAACATACGGCCGGATGCAAACATGAGGAAGAAACTTGGAGAACAGCTGGGAATGACGCCCAGAAGCGTCCAGGTATGGTTTCAAAACCGGAGGGCAAAGATTAAGAAGCTTACGCAGAAGAAGATGATGCAGCAGGAAAATACAGACAACACCAAGGGGCCCGAGATACCCCATGCATCAAGCCCGTCCAAGGAAGGCAAGTATGGCAACTACCATCCATATGTGCCTCTACAGGCCCCGTTAGAGGAGTACAACGTCTATCCAAGAGATAACAGCATTTATAAGCATGCCATTCCACAAGGTATGCCATCTCCAATGGTTTACGAGGGGTTTGGATACAGGGGACATGAAGAGTACGGGTATCCTTATGTACAGAGATACGGGGGTGGAGAGTACTACCAGATGCAATATCCATATGGAATGGCACAGAGCCAATGGCACCACCAGCCTCCTGGGTTCAGGGATGAGGATTACTACCACTCTACTAGAAAACAACAATATAGAGGGGGGGCATCCAATCCTGAGAAAATGTAGCTCTTCCAAGCATATCTTATAAATTCATAGCTGCGGGAGTTGGTTTTGCTATGGCACTGTGCCACTAATAATATTAAAACCTTACAAGGCACCTTTATCGTTGTAATTTATCTTGCACAAGTGGATTAATTATTTATGATTTCCTAAAAAGAAGAGAATTTGCGTAAAGTTCTTTTTATTGCAAAGACTACTTGTATCTGCATACGCAGCCATGCGATCCATCCTTTGAACATCTTGAGTTTCCTTCTCTGTCGGGGTTTGAGCATTTGCACTTGTCCATGTCCCCTGAAGAACAGGGTGGACACTTGCATGACTTATCGACACACTCATTATTTTTACAGGTCTTGTTCATGAAATATTGTTTTTTTGTATATATAAGCTTTTATTTGACCATTGAAACGAAAGAATTCACTTTGACAGAGATAGTCCTGTCACAATAAATGATGTCATCATTTCCAATTAATCATGAATTGTACAATGAGTCTGCGGCCCACCACTGCTAGAACCTGTCTATTGGCGGATCAAACAGAATATCTTGCGAGCGGGCTTCTCTTCTTCTTCTGAGGTACCGTATTCCAACAAACAGTAGATATGATAAAACAGATATTGCGATAAAAATGAATCCAATGGTAAAAACGTCTCCATGAAGCTCTCCAAAGCCAAAAACGGATCTCCAAGAATGGTCCTCACATCTTAGGTGTGGTATCTTCAGTACGCTGTATGATCCTCTCGAGTTCCAGAAGGAATTCTCATTCAGGTACCCCCATATCTGAGGAAACTCAGCCCTCGGGGATGACTCTAAAAAAAGGGCAATGGAACTTGCAACTATCGCTGCAGATAAACTTGTCCCCGCAATGCTACTGCTTCCAAGAACCTCTTCTCCTAACGCAAATATTCTTACACAGTCTCCATGGTTAGAGAACTTCGATATTCCAGCATGCTTGTTCACAGACCCAACATTTATAACCATCCTTGAACTTCCAGGAGAATAGTTGCAAGACTGGTCATGAAGGTTTCCGGCCGGTGAAACAACAACAATCCCACGGCTAGATATACGATCAACGATGGAATTCAGAATCCAGGAGTAAGGCCCTGAAACGCCAAAAACAAGGATTCCAGATCCCTTGCTATCTCCAAGGCTCTCCAGCCCGTAAATCATCTCTGAGAGAGCAACTTTTCCATCGCACCCAACCACATCAAGAACACTTAGATGGCTTTTCTTGGCAAATCCATTGGTCCTTCCAACCAGAAGCTCGGCCATCGTGTCCCCGTGAGTGCTACACGAATCAACCCGCCCGCTGAGATTACAAACATTGGGCCTGGCCTTAACAGCAGTGTCCAAAAGGAAGATGCTCACGCCTTTTCCTGTGTAGTAGTATTCGTAGGACCCAAAAAACCTTGTCATAATTTTCTTGATCTGAAGCACCTGGAAAAGCCAGTTGTCGTAAAAATAGTTGTTGAAGAGAATGTTCTCATAGTGCTTCATCAGATACATATAGTTTGGAATACTGTTCTGAAATGCAGACACCCCATAAATCTTGTCCTCTTCCACATGCATGCCTGTCTCGTTAGCCTTTGTTAGCACATCTTCATTGCTTGAGCAAAACGACATTCCGGTGACATTTTTTGTGTATTGCCTCCTCACGTTTCCGTTCAGACTCTCCACAAGAGAGATGATTCTTGATAAGTCCCCGTCATGAATATCTTTCACAAGGATATAACATTTTTCTTTACCAGCTGCAAGCCCGTTACTGTCTTTGTAAGAAGGAGAGGCACCACTGCTTGTTTTTTTCTGGATTTCGTAATGGACCGTAGGCTGCACTTGGACATCCTCGTTAGGCCCCTCAACTTCTACAACAATCTCTTTGACTACCGTCTGGGTTTCTATCTGGACATCTGTCAAAGGCGCATCGGGCACCTTCTTTATTCCAGATATGCTGTTATCTTTCTGGAGAAGGATCCCCGGAGGACTTTCCTCCCTTTTCCATCCATTCACATTCTCTGAGACAACAGCTTCACCAACTTCTATCCCTTCGCTTCCAAAGATCCACTGCAACATCAGCAAAGTTACAATGCCAATCAGAAACATCTGCTCCTCTCTTCCTTCCAGCAGAAAGTAAATCCTTGTTCCTGAAGATGTGATACTAATGTTTCATCTCCCTACCGCACAATAGAATTTAACAAATAAAACCTGGTGGTTACAACTTTATCGCATGAGAACTGGTAGAATAAAGTTTAATGGTTTTTAACCTTCTTTCTCCATTCAACGGGGCATACCTCTCCATTCTCTTCGCTGAAGGTGAAAGCATCGATCAAGCGGAGGATCTCCTCTACAGACCTTCCAACTTCATGGCTATTGACGCTCATGTGCTTGACAATTTGGTCCTTTGAAAGTATCACTGTGCCTCTCATGGGATGCCCACTCTCCTCGTCAAACATGCCAAACTGATTGCAGAGCTTACGCTTTAGATCCGCCACCATAGGCCATGCGACGCCTGAAATGCCCCTCTTATCTCTTGGAGTGGAGGCCCAAGCCTTGTGAACGAACACAGAGTCGCAGGAGACAAACAAAACTGCTGCATCTCTCTTCAAAAATTCCTCCTTGAGATCGCTGAACATGTTAATCTCTGTAGGGCATACAAATGTGAAGTCCAGTGGATAGAAGACAATCACAACATATTTTCCCTTGTAGTCCTGGAGAGACACCTTTTTAATCTCCCCGTCAGCAAATGCATCGTATTCAGTGTTATCGAGAACCTTAGAAAGTATCATAAGGGTAGACCTCTTTTACAAATATAGAGGCCCTTGATTCCATATATGTATTATTGCATGGTCTATGCCTTCGGATACCATTCACTGTTCAGCAGCTCCTCTAGTTCATATAGCTCGTTGCAGAAGAACCCGTTTTCTCTTGCAACATTAAGAAGCTTCCTTGCCCTTACAAAGTTGCTTTTCTCGACAATGTTCCTTCTTGCTATATTAAACACCGACTCCCTGTAACTTAACAACCTGTATTTTTCCACGTTCGACTCGACCTCTTCGAGGGTCTTTTTGGCTGTATAATTGGATATAAGGCATCCTAGAGCCTTTCTGTATAGCCCAAGATTTACATCATACTTCACCCTGTATTTTAGAAACAGGCTTATATCCAACGTCTCGAGTGCCTTATTGTATTCAGCGAGTAACATGTTCCTTTCGTTGTCCTCGGACTTCTTGATGACCTTATTGTCTACCGAGTTTAGTGCTTCAAACATTACAAGTAAGCGGAGGCCAAGGGCTCCTATGGTCCACAGTGTTTAGTTTCTTCATGCTGTGCAGAGACCCATCGGATTATCTTCCCAGAGAGCATTGCTTAATGCGAAAAATTTGCGCCCTTACTAAATGAGCTGTAGGAAGTTCAATGCACCGAGACATGGATCTTTACAGTTCTGCCCGAGAAAGAGGTCTAATACAATCACGCCGTCTGCAGGGGCATTTCCCGCCGACGACAGCTCGCAGCCTGTGCACCTCACTGGGTTCATGGGGGACAAGGCTGGGATGACACATGTGATCAGGACAAAGACACAGGTTGCAAAGAACAAGCAGCTTTCGCGTGAGGTGATGGATGCATTGACCATACTTGAGGCGCCGCCGATGGTTGTGTATGGGATAGTTGGGTATGAGAGGACGGTTACCGGGCTACGCAGGCTGCCGATTGTTCTTGCATCCTATGTGAGCGACGGGGTTCTCCGCAGGATGTTTGGGAACAACTATGTGGAGAAGGGGAACAGCAAGGGGTTCTGTGCCAGTGAGGATTCTGAGTCTAGGATTTCTGAGATCAAGAAGAGGGCCGAGTGTGTAAGGGTTCTTGTGCAGACGCAGCCTGGGCTGATCAAGAAGCTTGCGCTGAAGAAGGCACACATTGCCGAGATCCAGGTGAACGGAGGAAGCATCTCTGAGAAGGTGGACTGGGCTCTGAATATGCTTGAGAAGGAGGTCCATGTTGGAGATGTGTTTGGAGAGAACGAGAATATTGACGTTATTGGAGTGACGAAGGGAAAGGGGTTCCAAGGGACTGTGAAGAGGTTTGGAGTGCGAAAGCAGCCCCGGAAGTCGCGAAAGGGGATCCGAAAGGTTGCATGTATTGGTGCATGGCATCCAAGCCGTGTGATGTACTCTGTTGCACGGGCGGGGCAGATGGGATTCCATAGAAGGACGGAGAAGAACAAGAGGGTGTACATGGTTGGGAATGGAAGCAGCAGCATCAGGACTGAGTTTGACCTGACCGAGAAGTTTATTTCTCCCATGGGAGGGTTCCCTCACTATGGAGAGGTGAAGAACGACTTTATCATGGTGAAAGGGGCTGTTGTCGGGCCCCGGAAGAGGGTTGTGACGCTACGAAAGAGCCTTAGCATGCAGAAGCCCAGCGAGGAGCTTGTGATCAAGTTTGTTGACACATCGTCGAAGATAGGGCATGGGCGATTCCAGACAAGCGAAGAGAAGAGGGCATTCTATGGAGCCAAGAAGGCCGAGGTTGCCCCAGAAATCCATTAAACCTTCAATACTATAAATATACTCTTATCTTACTGGGCTAGGGCCAATATTAATCTGGACGGTTTTTTGCCATTATTTACTCTACATTTTTAACCTCCAAAATGATAAGTTCGATTGGCTTTCTTCCAAGTGGGATTTCAATAGAAAATTTGAAGAAGTTCGTAATAGACGAGAGCATACACCAGTCGCTGAGCTATCTAAATATCCCAGTCGTTGATAAGGAAAAGGTGTCCTTCGACGATGATATCGACGAGTCGGAGGAGATAGTGGAAAACGACATTGTAGTTTTCTGTACGCCCAATGAGGGTGACGTAAGCTTTTTGCAGTTCTATGTACAGAACAGGGAATGCACAAGTATGTTCCTGCACCATGACACGTATGTGTTTAGCACAATCTGCGATTCTGAATATTTTACTGTTGGAGGGGAGATGTATGTTGCCGTTGCCACGTTTGAGAAGGATATTATGGTATTTGATCCGCTTGTGAGAAATCCGGTTCTCCCCCAAATTCTCTTGAAGGGACATGAGGAGGCGGTTCTGTCGATGGAGTGCTGGAATGGAACTCTCTTCAGCGGAAGCCTTGACTCAACCATTATTGAATGGGATTCCGAGAAGGCTCTAGCCAAAAACAGGATTCAAGCCACAGGGCCTGTTAATAAGATAGGTATTTTTGACTCATCTGTGATTTATTCTGTGGAGAACACCTTATACTGCTTTGATGGGGAGATTAAGCTTGAAGGCGAGGTTGAAAGAATAAGGATCATAGGAAACGGGATGCTTGTGTCTGACTCCACAGGGACTTTGAGATACTATGACCTGAGGAATATGGCTAGCACAGTCGTGGAGAAGAAAATCCATGAAGATTCTATTACCGGAGTCGATGTACTTGGAAACAAGGTGTATACAGGATCTCTAGATGGAACCATAAAGGTTGTAAGCCTTGATACGCTTGATATTGTGAGTAGCAGGGATGCTGAAGAGAAGGTGTTCTCCTTAAGAACACATGAGGATGGCTTTTATGTGTATGGAGGAGAAAAGAACGAGCCGGTGCTAAATTACACAGATGATGGGTCTCTTCAGAATGATTTACAATAAAATCCTAATACTTCAATAGCAATGTATGTTTTGAACGGCTGATTTTGTCCCCAAAAATGGCTTGCATGAGATGCAATATGTCTCAGGCCATAGTTATCCGAGCTAAAGACAGGACCAAAGTTTGCAAGTCTTGCTTCTTCAAGGGATTTGAAGCAGATGTCCACGAGACGATAACTTCTTCTGGAATGCTCAGGAAGGGAGATAGGGTTGGGGTTGGAATGAGTGGAGGAAAGGATAGTACAGTTCTGGCCTATGTATTGGATCTGCTCAATAAAAGGCACGGATATGGGGTGGAGCTTGTGCTGCTTAGTGTTGATGAAGGAATAGCAGGATATAGAGACCAATCTATTGTGTCTGTATGCAAGAATAGTGCTAGACTTGGACTGGAGCTTAAAATAGTATCGTTTGAAGAGCTGTTTGGAACAACAATGGACAATGTTGTTCAGAAGATAGGAAGAAAGGGTAACTGTACATATTGCGGGGTATTTCGGAGGCAGGCGCTGGAGGATGCAGCAAAAAGGATGGGTGTCAATGTGATAGCAACGGGCCACAATGCAGATGATGTGGCCGAGACTGTCTTGCTTAATATCATCCGGGGAGATATTTCCAGGCTCAGAAGATGCACTCTTGCAAAGACAAGGCCACAAAGCAATGGGAAAGGGGAAATGATGTCTCTTTCAAGATTGAAGCCTTTCAAGCACATCTACCAAAAGGAAATAGTGCTCTATGCTTTCCACAAGAAGTTGGAGTACTTCTCCACTGAGTGCACATACTCCTTAGGAGCATCTAGGGGAGACCTAAGAATGCTAGTGAAGCAGTTAGAAAGAGAAGACCCAAAAGTAATACTGAATGTGATAAGAAGTGGAGACATGCTACAGGAGGAAGAGCCTGCACATAGAACGCCTGTCCCGTGCACCTTGTGTGGGCACTCAACATCCTCTCACGATGCCATATGCAATGGATGTACGCTTGTAAGGAAGTTGAGGCAGTACAGCGCCTGAGGTCAATTAAAATTTATTAGAATAGCATTTTCTGCTAAGATCCTTTTCGAGGAGCCAAACAGATATGTGGGAAATGGAGTACACAAACGTGACAATACAGCTATATACACAGAATATCCTTATGTCAGGGAAAATTGTCATTGCAGATATAAGGACATATACCAAGGCTATTGCGGCTGTACTTCTGTGCACGCCGAAGTGTTCCATATGGTTCAAAAGGATGATGTATCCCATGAATGTTAGGCACAGAAGATTGAAGACAGAGGACGGCTCATTGAATCTCGACGACAGGAGGATGAATCCTAAGAAATAGGATGTCAATCCAAGGATCTGGTTGCTTGATATTCTCTTCGGTATGTTTATACTTTCCTCAAGCGAAAGAGGCGTCTGTTCGTCCTTCACCTCGATGGAAGACTCTGTATTATATATTGATGCAGATACAGAGTCTACAATGAAGAGTACCTGTGTTATAGCAAAGTATATGTATAGTGGGATTGGGCGAATTTCAAGGGTCAGGGTTCTTATTAGAGGGGACAGCAAATATGCAAATGTCAGCAGCATAAAGCTTGGCTTGAGGTTGATCCCAGTGTCGTCTCTGTTCTCCAGGAAATTTTCTGTGAATGTAGAAATAAACGAAAACCACGATGACTTAGGCATTCCGAGCCTGTCCTCTAGCATCATAATCTTGAAGAGAGAGAGAAACAGCACTACTACGGATATCCTAATGATGGCTCTATTTATGTCCTCGTATATTTCGTTTACATTTCTTCTTCTACTTACCTGTCGGACCTCTATGTAATTTATCGGATATTCCTGCTGCAGATACAGACATCGCTTCCAGGGCATCTGAAGTACCCTTCACATTGCCAAGAATTTAACTCTGCCCACATCATTTTTATTTCATATAAAAGGTCTTCACCTACCTGCATGATCAAGCTTCATACATCTCGACAGGTGCCACGTAAACTTCCTTGCCACGACAAGCCTCTGGCAGGACGGGCATTTCAGTCTTGAGACAGGCGTGCAGGGTGTTATGACGTAGTTTCTAGGCCTCGCTGCATATTCCTGTTTACATCTCTCAAGCACTGTTCTTAGAAGATATTCCTTGAGAATATGCATAAATACTGATTCGATGATTTTCCCAATCTTCATAAACAAAAAACAATCTCCCCCTGATGAAGGTTCTGTTATTTGCTATTGGAGTCTTGTGCAGAAGGATAAAGCTGGAGCCTAAGGAGCAGTTTACCTTCAGAGACAAGGTTGTAGCAAACCAGATGTATAAGTTCATGTACCAGACACCAAGAAGCAGCAAGATTGAGCTAACTATGTTTGATACTAGGGGAAAACAAATGACTAAGACAAGAGACCCATACTCTGTGCTATACACCAAGATTGCTGAGGATGGAGAGATTGTGATATCTGTCAAGAACAATAGCTCGAAAAGCGTGAAGTTTGGATATAGATGTCCAGATACAAATAAAAAGGCTCAGGGAGGCCTTGGGCCAATAAGCGTTGATTTGGTTTCCGAGCTTCAGAATGTTCTCGAAACAGTCGTCCAGGCGCAAAGGGTTCACATCAAGAAGCATGAGGAGCATGCAAGAATGGTTGCAGGGTCGAGAAAGTGGGTCACAAGACTCTTGATCTTCGAGACTTTGTTCTTTACAGGCGTACTGTACTTCTTGCACAAGGATATGCTTAAAATGTTTGAAACCAAGAGAGAGGTTTAATTAAAGGATTCAACTCTTTTAAAAAGCTTTACGATCTCGTCGGCCGTTTCCTCCAATGTCATGTGGTCATTCTCGATCGTGATCGATCCCTCGGCAGCAACGAGGGGACCGTGCTCTCTTGTTCTATCTGCATGATCTCTTTTTATCATAGATTCCAGTAATTCTTCGTAGGACTCAGACTTGCTCTCCCGGTGTCTTCTTTTGGCTCTTGTTTCAGGACTTGCAGTAAGAAATATCTTCAGATCCGCCTCAGGCATTATCTTGGTGGCTATGTCCCTTCCGTCAACAACAATCCCTTTCCTTTCAAGACTTATTGCCAACTTTTGGATAGTAGACACCTTCTCCCGGACATACTTCTCTTTCGCAATGGAAGCAATATTACGGTCAATCTCTTCGCCACGGAGATGATCGGATATGTCCTCCTTGTTAAGAAACACTCTGTTGTTCCTTACCTCTATGTCCAATCCAAGAACAAATCTTTTTTGCTCTTCCGATCCCGGGAGCACCTCCTCAAAATGCCTTACCAGAGCATATGTCACAGCCCTGTATAAATTTCCTGATATTAAGTGTGAAAATCCCAGTTTTTTTGCAACTAGGTCAGATGCACTACTCTTTCCACTTGCAGCAGGCCCATCAATAGCAATTTTGTAAACTTTCATCAGGGATAAAGGACTTATTCTTTTAATGTCACAATACCAGGCCAAGCGCAACAACAATCCCACACTCATATGCAGCAAACAAGCTTGATCTCCCAATGCACAGGTCTACAACTCTCTCAGAATTGTCATTAAATGGCCTTCCTTTTGAATCGAGCCTCTTGAGCTCCTCCTCCGAATGCCCCAGAATAACCTCTTCTCCACTTCTCACTATCTGGAAAAGAGTCTTTACTCTGGCCCTTCTTTTATTGACCTTTGCATTCTTAATGGTTCCGTCAAACCCGCCAATAAGAATCCTCCTATGGCTTGGCCTGCAGCAGGACATCGAGTAGTTAAACATTGTGCTAGTTCTTTGGGTGCATCCCTCGTCATAAAGAGCTTTCGTGACGTTGCTCAGTGTATCCACAACGATAAGCGTGCCTGCTTGGGCGAGATACTTGATGAATGTATATCCAGAGGGAAAGGATATCTTTTTTTTTTCCTGGAACTTGTGGTCAAACCTGAATATTTTTCCACTTAAAGTCAGAGCATAAAACTCAAGGGGTGCTTTGCTCGGGCATGTGCGAACTGCAGGGGTTTGCGCTTCATCTTTGCACCCCTGAAGTCCCCTTTTCTTAATCGCTATGGATGTTACCATCCCCTTCATTTCACTAAACACAGACATAACAGAATTTTGGTGTATCCACACAACAGCTTTCCCGTCAGTTGCAAAAATAAGGTCGCTGTCCCAGCAGATCTCAAAGCTCACCACTCCCTCTACATTGATCAACACCATGTCCCTGATCTCCTCTTCAAAGTCAAACCTCCTGATGAACCCGTCACTAAACAGAGCAACACATCGAACAGCATCCCTTTCCTGTCTTGTTTCTATCTTCCTGCAGTATCCAAACTCAAAGTTTAGAATGTGTTGGAGATTTAGCTCCTGATCAAATAAGTAGATATCTGAAGCCTCAGATGAGAACTTGAACGTCGACTCTCGTTGAAAGCCCTGCTTGATCCCAACAAAGATGTATTTGCTGTGGTTTTCAGGAAGTGACATAGTTGTTATACACTTTCCGATGTTGTACAGGGTCATGCCCTCGAGCTTCACTCTTCCTTTGGCGCTCAATGTTTTGTTTCTAAACACGATACTCTCTATGGGTCTTTCCATAGGATCTATGATGTCGGGCTTCCTGTACCTTTCAAGAAGTTCTTGGCTAGGAACCCAGCCTCTTTCCAGCTGGACTATATCCAAAGACTTTTTTTTGTATCCTCTGGCACGAGAAGGTAAAATTTTTGGCTCCTCATATCTATGATTGTCTTGGAATTCGCCCATCAAGGGATCTTTAAGTTCCGTTTTGGAAACCACAGCCCATAAATATAATGGTTTTTGAACACGACCTCCCAGAGGCAGCTGTGGAACGCTACTCCAGGCAGATAATTGTTCCTGGGATACGTGTGGAGGGACAAAAATGCCTTGGGAACTCGGGGGTATTGGTGGTTGGATGCGGGGGCTTGGGATGCCCTGCAATCATGTATTTGGTGTCATGCGGAATCGGAAGATTGGGCCTTGTTGATTTCGATAAAGTTGAGATTCATAATCTGCAGAGACAGGTTATGTACACTGAGGCAGATGTATCCCAGTATAAGGTTGCGGCTGCACTGTCCTTTGCCAGAAGGGCGAACTCCTCTATTGAGATAGTAGGATATAACGAATTCCTCAGTGAGGAGAATGTGGAAAGAATCATTAGCCCGTATGACGTTATTCTGGATTGCACAGACAGTATACATACAAGGTACCTTCTGAGTGACTATTGCAAAGTCCTTTCCAAAAACCTTATCTGTGGATCTGTGCTCAGATGGGAAGGCCAGCTATACAAGCTTACGCCTTCTGGACCATGCTACAGATGCCTTTTTCCAGAGATGAAGGAAAGAACGCTAACATGCGAAGATGCAGGCGTGGTAGGACCCATTTGTGGAGTGATTGGATCTTTACAGGCCCTAGAGGCAATTAGGGTTATCACAGGAGACACAAGATCGAAGATGGTTATATACAGTGGCATAGGATCTGACCTTGTAGACTCTCAGCTTAGAGGCCCAAAGCCAGACTGCAGTGTTTGCTCAAAAAAGCTCATTCATAAGAGTCTCTCCTTTCCTGCACGAAGATGTGTGCCTACCAGCAGTACAGAGATCGATCCAGACGTGGCAACAGTTGATTGGAAGGACATCCTAGGCAATCTCGAATCCTGTCTCCTTATAGACATTAGATCACCGATTCAATATGAAATGTTCAGGATAAAGGGATCCATCAACATCCCACTTGAGAGCCTGCTAGAAAATACCGGAAAGATCGAGGCAGTGGGAAAAAAGGTAGGAGTTGTGTGCAAAAAAGGAATATCGTCAAAGAAAGGCGTTCTAATACTCAAAGCCAATGGTGTTGATGCTTTCTCTGTTAATGGAGGGATTGACGGACTTAAAAGCTACCTTAGAAAAACAGAAAAGTATATTTCTGAATAATTTTTTAGACCGTACCAATGCGGGAGACCGGAGAATCCTTGAAAGATGCTCTGGACTTGAAGATTTTCACAAATAAAAGAATATGCATTGACGAGGTTCTTCCGCAGAATGTGGATTTTCTTGTTCTTGATCTTTCGAGTGCCTTGGGACTTTCTATATTTACATTCCGCGAGACAGCAAGTCACTATAGGAAAATTGCAAGTATGCAAGGCAAGAAAGTTGTCGTGAGGTCAATCTATGATGGAGGATATATTGAGTCTGGAATTATAGACGATGTATGGAGTGCAACGAATATGTGCGAATGCAGAGTAGATGGAATGGTCTGGACATATAGATCTGGAACTTGTAAGAAGTCTAATTGGTATGAGTATGATATAATAATCAGGGTTTTACCACTAGATAGCGGAGTATCTACAGATGTTGATGGAACGATTCTTATTTTCGATAGGGAAAGAAAGTATGCAGAACTTAGATATAAGGTTTTGAGGAGCAGGACGGCATATTATACTCAGTAGTCTGTTGAAGGTAATAAAGGAGTTTGCCAGACAAACCTTATATTTCTGTCCAAAGGACTTCATGCTACCAAGGAAAGAGACGGATTGTGGATATCCCGGGTGGAAGATATTGCCCTTGTAGTGTAGTGGTTATCACGCATCCTTTACACGGATGAGGTCCTTGGTTCGATCCCGAGCGAGGGCATTTTTCTTTATTCTATTTATTTTAATCGATGTTATCTAAAAATTCCCAGGTGCCGGGTTGGGCAGTATTGAGCATGTACCCATCTGGAAAGGATCCCTCTAGAATAGATTTTTGTTCTATACTCTTTACCATTGTTGAAATTTCGTAATATGCATACAACAAGAAGAGCAGTATAAACATGGCAGATACGACTTTGGTATAAAGACGTATAAATCTTTGGGGAATTTCAAGCTCTTTATAGACCATGCATTCAAATCTTTCTATTATTTTTAAAAAAAAGTACGCCATAAATATGCAGAGTGAAGGAGTAAAAATCTTAGACAAGAAATAAGATATTATCCTTAGCAAAAAGTTCTCCTCTATAAATCCTTCCTTGGAAAGGATTGAATTGATTTTATTCGCAATGTATTTAAATGAATTGCCTGGTTTTGTTCTCATCGCTTTGTTCATAATGTATTTGGATGGGTGTCTTAATGCCCTTTCCATCGCTTCTAAGACCTCTTTGGAAATAGTTGAGGTTATTATCCAGTATCCAATAACCCTTACAATAATATCTACACTCGTATTACTCTCTATCTCCCTAAAAAGCTCCCAGGAGCAAGAAAGACAGTACTGAGCTGCCAATAGGTTTGAAGTGTCATTTGAGTCTAGGAGAGAGCCTACTCTCTTCATATTCTTACCTCTTAATGAGATCAATAAAATGTATATCCTAATTGCTGTCATCACAATTCTCCAGAAATCAATACTTTTAAACCTTAGAGTAAGTGTGTTAAAAAAGCTGGCAAGAAATAATCCTAGTGTTACATTTATGAATATAAGCAATCCACATCCCACGCAAAAACGTCTTTTAGCATCGAGAAAAGTAGCAAATATTGTTGAATAGCTTTGCGTTTTCATATACATTTTGATGAAAAAGCGCAGGGCTTTTTTCAGAAAAAATGGAATATATTCATCTGTAGGTGATGTTCTAGTAAATCCCTCATAAATAAGCTCAATATCGATGCTTAATACAGTAATCATAATGCAGGTTATTAAAACCCAGAAAAGCGTCCAGAAAACGCCGCTCGAGTTTCTGGCTTTGGGCTGAATCCTACTCTCATTGTGTTCATCGCACAGTTTTGCTGGAGAGTTCATTATTGGGCCAAAAATAATCTTTATTTTATTTGTCTACCTTTTCTATTCTTATTTAGGAAATTTTATAAACAGCCAATTCATCTGAATGAGTAAAATTTCGCATTTGAAACAGAGAGATAGCTGCAACAGTTACGGCGCGTTCAATTTTTGTCAAAGAACGAAAACAAAAAACTACTTGCCCTTTGATGTGCAATGGACCATATAGAGGTTGCATTCTTAACTATATCAATGGCCATGTCTTCTCCCTCCTTAGAAATGTAAAGAGCCAACATAAAAAGAATGATTCCATAGGCAAAGAGAAGCCTATCTCGAGGGAGTACTATGCACTTTACAAGCCGATCTTCAAGGTAAATGAGTATCCCTGATGCCAGTATAATCAGATACCCTATCAAGAGAGTCGGAATTATATTTCCTAAGTAGGGGATGACTCTCCTCTGAGTTGACGAGGAGAAGCAGTAAACAAGAAAATCAATAAAATGTTTCATAGAGGATTTCAGATATCCAAACTTCTCTTTTCTTATTACATTCATTCCCAGAATCATCATGACGCTAGTAACAATCACTGTGATTGTGCTTGAGTTCAAATCGTCAGTGATTCTTTGGGACATAAGTAAGAAATAGGAAGCAATCACTATTTTAGGCGTTGTTTCCTGTTTTACTCTATAGGTTGGTACGCGTCTAGATTCGTTGAGTATGTGCAAAATCACAACGAAATCAAAGAGTGCTTTTACACATTTAAGGACATTTTCCTTTTCTATATCTTTCATGACAAGATTCCATATGCTGGATAGTAGTTCTGTTATCATGTTGATACATGGCAAGGATGCAAAGATCCAGGACACAACCAGGCATGTTATATCTTTTGTCTCGTCAGCTAGAATTTCGCTGAAGATATTAACCCACGAATTTGTCGTGGATGCAAGAATTGCAATGTAGAAGTAAATCATGATGTTCCTGAGCTTCTGCTTGTTGTTTGACTTAATAAGGAATCTGTTGCTGTCCTGTTCCTTTTCTTGAATGTCCACAGCACAATTCATGCTTCCCCTAATATTGAGAGAATTTTATATATGGCTACCAATTACCATATTATGTAGGACTCTAGATTGAGGCACAAGAGGTAGTTTGAGGCCCTTTGTTTGTTGAAATTGTTTGGCAGGTAAGGGCCCTTTAATGAGTGGGCAAAAGCAGGAAAACATCATTGAAGAGAAGGACGTAGGATTTATCTTAAGCTATGGAAGAAACTACTACGCCGAGGAGATAGTGGAAAAGGAGGTGGAGATAAAAAGGCTTTTCGAACAAATAAGCTTAAAGCTTGGAACAAAGGAGGTTGAGACTGGGCTTGCACCACCTATGTGCTGGGATCTTCTTGGAGACAGAAACAGAATTCAGAGCGAGCCGAATCTACAGGTTGCCAGGGTGTGCAAAGTCCTTGATGGATACCAAGAGCCCAGATACATGATAGGAATCAAGATGATAGCCAAATTTATTGTTGGGAAGGGAAAGCGAGTGGACGGAAGCCTTATACAGGAAGGAATGAGGGTAGGGGTTGACAGGAACAAGTACCAGATTATTCTTCCGTTGCCTCGAAAGATAGATGCATCTGTTACTCTTATGCAAGTTGAGGAAAGGCCTGATGTGACGTACAACGATATTGGAGGGTGCAGAGAAGAGATTGAAAAAATAAGGGAGGTTGTTGAGGCGCCTCTCTTGAATCCGGAGAGGTTTGTTGCGTTAGGGATTGACCCGCCGAAGGGGGTTCTCCTTTACGGACCGCCTGGAACAGGGAAGACGTTGCTTGCAAGGGCTGTGGCCAACAGAACAAATGCATGTTTTATAAGGGTTATAGGGTCTGAGCTTGTGCAGAAGTATGTTGGAGAGGGTGCACGAATGGTTAGAGAGATATTTGCCATGGCTAAAGGAAAGAAGGCTTGCATTATTTTCTTTGACGAGGTAGATGCGTTTGGAGGAACGAGGTTTGATGACGACGACGACAACGAAGTCCAAAGAACGATGCTGGAGTTGATAAATCAGCTGGACGGGTTTGACCCGAGAGGGAACATAAAGGTCCTGATGGCGACAAATAGGCCGGATACTCTTGACCCTGCGCTTCTCAGGCCGGGGAGGCTGGACAGGAAAGTCGAGTTTGGACTGCCGGATCTCGAGGGAAGGACATCGATTCTACGGATTCATGCAAAGACGATGAGTGTTGATAAGGATATTAGATTTGATCTGATTGCAAGGCTTTGTAACAATGCAACTGGAGCAGAGCTGAGAAGCGTTTGTACAGAGGCAGGGATGTTTGCCATAAGAGAAAGAAGGAAGATTGCGACGGAGGCGGACTTTTTAAAGGCTGTTGACAAGGTTATCAAAGGATATGCGAAGTTCTCCTCAACTCCAAGGTACCTAACCTATAACTAAAGCAATAAAGAGTCTTCCCATAATACCTCTATTTACTCGAGCAATATTAAAATCCTAGATGGAAAGTGGTCCTAGATTTTGAAGCCCCGGAATGGATAGGAATGTTTTGGAGGCCTTAGGAATACCGCTGGATCTTTCCTTTGAGGGAGGGCTTAGCACAGATGCCCAAGCTGATGTGGTAAAGCGAATAGAGGAGAAAACATTCTTCCGTCTCAAGGAAGACATGGATGTGGATGCAATGATATCCGGGGTGGTAAGTGATACAAGCTCGACAATGGATACATTGAGAAATACCTTGGGAAAGGGGATGTTTGGAGAGAGATTTAGGTTCCTGGAGAGGGTCTGTGTGATTGTGTGTCCCGAAAGAATCAGTGTTGATGAGATGTCCAACCACTGTGTGTCTATTGATGAGATTATGGGAGAAGATATAGGGAAGATATTCGGAAGGATTATGAGCCTTGAAGGAGAGGCGAGAGTCAGAAGGCAAGGGGGCCGGTGGAGTTTCAAATCCTTTACAGACATTTTCAAGAGCAAACCTGAAGATGATAAAAGTCTTGCAGACGGACTGTTTCTTATGCAAAGGTACAAGGAGGCATACAAGGTGTACTCAAGATACAGGGGTGTTGGTGAGTTTTCACAGTATTGCATTGAAATGTCTATTTACTGCCTAGTTTTGTCGAAGAAGCCTATTCCACTGAACTTCATAAACTACCTTGAGATGTTTGAGGCGGAGAGCATACGGCTAGTCAGAATGATGAGTATAATCATAGGCACAGAGAATGTTGCAGCCCTGTATGTCCTCTCTTTACTTGATCCTAGGTCTCTGTTCAAAGCCTTTGCTCAGGAAAGCCTGGCCCAAGTCCTTGATAGTAGAGAATACTGTAGAAAGAAGGCAGAGCTATTGTTCTGCTCTGCTTTAAGATTCTACGATGCAAAGCACATGAGTAGGTCTGCAAGATGCTGCGAAAACTTTCTTGGCCTTACAGACACCATTCTATCTGGGATGGATTTATCCACTCTTGTAAGGAGTGGGTTAGTCTACTGCAACAAGCATATAAAAAGAGTCCTTAAGTCGATAAAAGAAGAGACTGGGATGGACTCCGAAGACATTGAGAAAGAAGATGAAGAGGTGGTGATTGTGAAGAGAGAGCTGCATGGATCAATTTGTGACTTCAAAGGTATTTTGAATGTGGTGGAGTCTGTCTTCTTGGAATGTAAGAGAGTAGGGCTTGTGAGTATTTCAAATATGGAAAGTGGTGCAATAAGAACTTATCCGACAGGTCAGAGCATCGCTTTTGATGGCCCTGGAAAGTTTCTTATGAGCCATGTTACTTTCAATGTCAGGGGAATTGAAAAGAAGATGAGAGTGGGGATTCAGCTAGATGTCAAGGAGGAAGCGTCCTTTATGCACTTGGAAGTAAACGACGTGTGTGAGGTCTTCTGCGGAGAATTGTATTCTCTTTATTGTAAGGTTATTAGGAGTCATGGATCAGGCGTTAAAGTTTATTTTGATTGCAGAGAGTTTATAACTGATAAGAATTCATTTAGCCTTGAGATATTGTTTCCAAGTGTTGGTATTTACACACGCAGAGTCATTCTGGAGACTCTGGGATGTATCGCATATAAGGATGTGAAGTTTGTTGTTGTTCCGTCGTTTTCTATAGACACATTTAATTACAAGCATTGTCTTCCTTTGTTATTCTTAAGGATTGAAAGTCATGGCATTGAGTGTTCGAGATTAAGAGCCTGCTCGATGCTCAACGATAACTTTGAGGTGGTTGGCGTGAAGGCTGTAGATTCTTATTTTTCTTATAGGGATTATGCAGTTGAATACTTCAGAAAGAACATTGTTGGGTCCAGCGGCAGTCTTAGTGAGCTTCCAAAGGCCACTAGGGAAGATCTGTTATCGTCAGCAGAGACCCAGAAAGTACTGCATGCCATGTACAGGTCTCCTCCTGTTTCATTAGATCTACTTTTTGGTGATCTGATACCAGAAATCAAGAATGAAATAGTTCTGTCGGGAAGAGGGATCTACTCTGTATGTGTGTTTCTTCGGGGGAAAAAGAGTCTGAATGAACTACTAAATTCAAAAAATGAAAGCTTCAGCAAGATTGAGGCATCATTGCCTAGCTCGGGATCTAGGGCAGGCTTAGAAGATTCAGCTGGCAGCTACAATTCTTCCATGAAGGACTTCCGGGGGATTCCAATGAAAATAGAGATTGAGGTATCTCCAAAAAGAATATGCATGTTCATGTTGGAAGAGACATTTGGAACGCTACTATTCTCCAGAAAGAAGGGCGACGAGGCTGTGCCCAAATCCATGAATCCATTTGTTTACATAACATATTCTTCATCCATCCTGGTATACGAGCCTACAATAATATATCTGTGTATTAGTAACTACTGTGAGCGCTGCACTCTAGATGTTAGGATATTATCTGATACAATAGCCATATGCAGTGAAGATTCCACCTTTAGCGTTGAGAAGCTTTCGTTTTCTCTATTTGAGATACGATGCATGTTCAAAGAAAGAAAAAGGTATGGATCTGATGATATCAAAATGTCTATGAAGACTGGAGACGAAGAGATAGATTATGAATGGCTAGTAGAGCTTCCATTTGTTTTGTAATGTTTTGAATATTTCTTAATGTGGTTGAGGCGAGGCCCTACAAATGGGGAAAGATCATCAATTTTGGAACACACAACCTATTGATAGAAATGGAACGGGTGTTATATCAAGCAAAGCCTCTGGATCTCTAGAGCAACCCAAGCTCCCTGAGGGATTCAGGTTTGAAGATCTTCGGTGTGTCGAAGAAGTCGCCGAGTTTCTTGAGAAGAACTATGTAGAGGATGTTTGTTCTAAGCATAAGCTTAAATATTCTTCAGATTTTCTAAGGTGGGTGGTTGATTCTGAAGACAAGAGGAAGAAGTATTGCATTGTTCTTCGACTCTATGGAAGGATGGTAGGATTTATATTTGGGAAGGAGCACCATGTTGTGATCCGGGGAGTGAAGAATAGAGTAATTGGAGTAAACTTCCTGTGTGTGTCATGTGATATGCGAGGAAAAAGACTGGCACCGGTACTTATAAAGGAGGTTACAAGGCGAGCGAATGTGGATGGTATTTTTAAGGGAGTTTTCACAAGTGGAACAGAGCTATTTTTCAATGTTTCTCGCGGTAGGTATTACCACCGACCTTTGAATGCAGAGAATATGTTTATGAGTGGGTTTAGTGATCGAATGATGGAGGTTAGAGAAGTGCGGGTGAGAAAAGGAACAAGAATTGCTGAGGAAAAGGACATGAAGGATATAGAAAGGCTATATCTGGAGGAGAGTAAGCAATACATGTTTTATGAAGAAATGGAGCTATCGGGCATAATATCTACATTTAAGCCTGTAAAGAATGTTCTATACACGTATGTGCACGAGAGCGATGGACACATCGATGGATTCGGAGCATTCTTTGTAATTGATACGATTGAAAAGAAAAGTAATCGAAAAGTTCAAGGCGGATATCTATACTACAAGGGAGGAAAGGACAGCACACAGATGGTTGAAGACCTTATATACTTTGCACAGAGGGAGGGGTGCGATGTATTCAATTGTCTTAATATGATGGGGAATTTGTCGTTCTTAAGAAATCTCGGGTTCTACCCAGGTACTGGCGAGCTTCGATATTATCTGTACAACTGGAGCAGTGGGGAAGTGCCAAAGGAAAAAGTGTTTTTCATTCTTCCATGAGTGTGATTGAAAAGTGATTAAAGATGTAACAGCAAAGTGTGTTTTGAGGATTTTAATATTTGATAGATCCTGTGCCCCAGGCTCGATGAAGTTGGTGACGCATAGCGAAAGATTCCACTATGATGAGATTCTTGCAACCTGTATACTTCTTCGAATATATCCTGACGCTGAGGTTGTGAGGACAAGAGACGATGCCCTGATTGAGCAAGGAGACATAGTCTATGACGTCGGGAAGGTGTTTGATCCAAAGATCGGAAGGTTTGACCATCACCAAAGAACATTTTCCGAGACATTTTCACCCAAGTATGACGTCAAGCTCAGCAGCAGCGGGCTGATCTTTAAGTATTTTCACAAGAAATTCCTGTCTCTGTATGGAATAGAGGATTCCTGCGAAATATACGGTATAGTGGTAGACAAGATATATTCGGAGTTTTTTTTGTATGCAGATGCTATAGACAACGGACAGGACATACATGGATCAATAAGGCCTCGGACTGTCCCTGATTTGGTTGGGCTATTTAATGTAGATGTTCCAGACGAGGAGTTAGAGAGCAAGGGATTCCGTAAAGCACTAGAAATTGTAAGCATGGATCTGGATAATTATATGAAAAGAGCCAAAATGTGGATTGATAATTACGAGTATGTTGAAAGAAAAGTAAGGGAGACGAATGGGCCCATACTCATGCTTGATAAGCATTATAGCACAGACTTGGTGCTAGAAGTTGAGAGCCGGAATGATAAGGATTTCAAGTTCATGGTCTTTCCTCATAGAAATGCTTATAGAATAATTGCCATTCCAAAATGCAAAGGATCATTTGAAACAAAAAACCCTCTTAAGGAAGAATGGAGAGGGCTTGTGAATGAAGAGCTAGTGAAGGTATCTGGGATCGAAGGATGCATATTTGTGCATTCTTCTGGATTTTTGGGGATTAATAAGACGCTCGAAAATGCTCTGAAGATGTGTGAAGAATCTCTTTTCAATAGGAGTGGTTGACTCTAATAAAAACAACAATTTATTCAACACGAACTCCTTACGGCTCTTCCCTTGAAGCAGAGAATGCTTTGTAATCATCAGAATCCTCTCTTTCCCTTTTCTTCGAAACTTCTTCATCATCGCTCTCATCACTGATAAAGGAGGGTGGTATGGCTGACATTTGCACCGATGGAGCGTGGGAAACTTCTCTCAGATTCTCGTGCACCTTTGCTATAATGTCTTCCAAGCTTTCTCTTGTGTTTTGGTTTGCCATGTTTGATGTAGGAACATCTATTTTGTACGTTGGTGCATAATAGTCGAAGTACTCATTGTAAGGAATCTCCCTAGGAATGTCAACATCCAGAACAACGCTTGTTCCATATGCCCATGCCTTTGAAACGTTTCCGATGGTGTATCCTCCCCCTCCAAGAAGGATAAGAGGAATGTTGAAGCTCTGTACAAATTTAATGCACCTAGAATGGCCTAGGTGAGATAAATTAAAGCATCCTAGCTTATCTCCCGAAAGAGAATCGGCTCCTGACTGTAGTACAATCGCATCAGGCCTATACACCTCTATGACCCTGCTAACGACAGGCTTGAATATACTGAAATAGCTCTCGTCGTCAATCCCGTCTTTCAGTGGAACATTGACCGAGTATCCCTTTCCCTTTGCAAGTCCAATATCAGTGACCATTCCCGTCCCAGGAAAGTAATCTCCATACTTATGGAAGGAGACCGTCATCACTCTGTCGGTGGTATAGAATGCCTCTTCAACACCGTCTCCGTGATGGACGTCTATATCTATGTACAGAACTCTTTTGTTGTACTTCAGGAGCTCAAGGATTCCCAAGACTATGTCGTTCACATAGCAAAACCCAGAGGCTTCGCTTCTTTTGGCATGGTGTAGCCCTCCTGCCCAGTTAATTGCAACATCATATTTTCCAGAGTTGATCTTTTGGGCCGCATAAATGCTTCCTCCACTGGTGAGCCTGCAGTAGTCATAAAGCCCTGGAAACACAGGGCAATCATCTCTAATGTTGAACTTGTGGAGATCTTTAATCATCTCCTCCATGTTCTCGCTAGAAACACTGGACAAAAAGTTTATATAGTCTACCGAGTGGAAGTTTGTTAGATTCTCATATGATGCCTGAAATGGCCTGAGCACATCCATGTACTTGTAAAGCTCATATCCAACTAAGAGAGTATGGGTCATCTTTACCCTCAGCGGCTTCATGGGATGCCCCATTGCATAACTGAAGGTTCCAATTTCTGGGTCATAGAAATAGACTACTCTCTTGTTATTCATCCGGGGTTAAAATATTTTGGTGTCCAAATATCGCTGTCTGCATCTCTAAAAGCTCTTTAATACCATAAACTTCAGACTGCCATACTCATTTGTAATTGAACTTTAGTAATCCACAAATGCCTCCCATTTCCTTTAGCCTCTCTCCAGAAAAATGTGCAACAGGAATAATAGATATCTTACAATTCATCGCCTGAATCTCCTTGCAGAACGCCTCCATCTCCTTTCTTTCCTCGACATCGTTAGGTTTTATCCTCTCGTCAGTGATCATTAGCCTATCAAGGGCTCCATAATCCATTGCTTCTCTGATACTCTCCATCCCAATACAAATTAGATCAGATCCCTTTGCAAACTTCACAAGAAAGCCGTCCATCTCCTTTAGATCGTCAATGTATTGAACTCCCTGGAAAACCTTGGAGAGCTCCTTATCCGTAAGTATCGTGCTAATTACCTTTGAATTCGAACATCCTCTGCATTCAGGTGGAACCTTGACTACACAGAAACTATTGCATGCCTTTTTAAGCTCCTTGGATCCCATCACAGTCCTATAGAACTCGTTTCTTACCTCAAACATGCTTGCAATCACAAATAGGCTGACCTTCCCAATGTACTTCTCTAGTGCTTTAACAACATTCCCAAACTTCCTGTTTTTCATTTCCTGCTTCAGTATTATGCTGACTTTGCTACGTGTCACCATAGACACGACACACTCCTTTTCGTAAAATACTATGAAAATGACCTCTGGCTGGGGTTTGGCTGCTTCCTTAAGTAGCCTTATAGACATCTCCTGCCATTCTTCTTTCTCCAATTCAAAGGATTGCCCAAGAGTTACATCTATAGTATGGTATGACCCAAGCTTGACATGCTCGTTAATTAGAACAGTTTTTCCTTTAAGGTATATTGTAGAGCTTTCAAGGTCCACGTTTATACTTTCTATTTTTATCTTCAATGTAAGCGTCATTCTGTGTTGTGTTTTCCCATCAATCTGAATCTTACGGGTTGTGACGGACGTTACCATATCCCCTACATCTATGACAGAGCTGAGTATGTATATGTCATCTTGGTGCTCAGGTGTCATCCTCAAGCTTCCGGAAATACATCTCTGATCTATTTTGTTCTTTTCAAGCTTCATTGCTTGGGGCACCTATTTCAGATCTGATAATACATATAGCCTGTTTCAAGGCTGTTGTTATTTGAATTCTGCTACAAGGAATATATAACTAGATTGTCGATTTCCCAAACATGAACAGGGTGCTTTCAGATGCAATTTCCTCCATAAAGTCTAGGATTCGTACGTCGACTAGCGACAAAAAGGGAAGCTCTGGAACAATACTTATAATAGGGGGGAGCAGACACTACACAGGTGCGCCTTACTTTGCCTCTCTGGCCGCTTTCTATTCTGGATCAGAGCTAGTGTACATATTTTCCGAGCCAGAAGCTATTGCGCCCTTGAAAACACTGCTACCTGAATCGATAGTTTGTGGTGTGGAGTGCCAGGAATGGCTTCTGGACAAGATCACTGCCTGTGTCATCGGGCCCGGGCTCGGAAGGCCTTCGGAGGAAACATGCAGAGAGATATCAAGGATATTGTCGTATTTAGACAGAAGGGATATTCCAATAGTTATAGACGGGGATGGAATAAGATTGATTCAAAAGTTGGGCATTGGACGTCTCAAGACCATTATCATCACGCCAAATGCTAACGAACAAAAGTACATCGATAAGTTCGAAAAAAATTTCTTTTATGTTCTAAAAGGTTCGAAGGATGTGGTCCTATGGAGGGACAGGGAAATAAGGGTTGATAATGAAGGATGTCCGAAAAGAATTGGGGGCCAAGGGGATATCTTGGCAGGCATCATAGCATCTCTGGTCTCTAAATGTGAGTCTCCTGTTATAGGTGACGAAGTCATTGGGGCAATAGTCCTCGGATGCATGATGGTTAGAAAGGCAGGGAACCTTGCTTACAGAAGGTACTGGAAGAGCTTGGTGACCAGGGATATATTGGAAATGATGAAAGAGGTCTTCCGAGACGAACTCGAGTGATTATCTGGTATTCTAAATGCACCATTGCAGGAAGTGATGGCTTCATAGTGCTGCTCATTATCCTGACAATAGTACTAGATTAGATATTACGTGATCAAAATATATTGTAATTGTGAACCATGAAAATATTTACAGATCTGAATTTCTTTATATGGAACACCCGCAAAAGTTTACTTTCTATGGCTAATGATCCGAGGGCTTGTGCCTTCTATTTATGCAAGAGTGATATATTAGCCCAACAATTTTTCTTAATTTCAGAGCCATAGTGCTCATTATTTATTCTGGTCATTAATATAGCATTACTTTTTTAAATATATCAACAGTGTTTGACATATATTGAAAAGGCCATTAATTCAACATAAAACGTTAAAAGAAGATTCAAGCAACTCGAAGATGCAAGTAAAACACAGATTGATAAAAAAATCAAGATTGTCAAAGGCGCAGAAGGACCTGCTTAACACCTATTTTGAAATGAATCCGAATCCGAATCCTCAGGAGAGAGCTCAAATTGCATGCCAATCACTAATATCCGAGAGTAAGATTCGAAATTGGTTTCAAAACAGGAGAGCTAGAGAAAGAGGCGATTGTAAAGTGTCACCGTGTCTGAATGGTCTTAATACAAACACAAATGTTCTTGAAAGCTATATTTCTAAGGTTCACCCAACATCGAACGATCTCTACATTCGAAGATAACCTATGCAATAGATTATATTTCAATGGAAAATGCACTTCGATAAATTTTGGTTTATTTGTTTTTTAAAGATTTTCTTCCCAAAATAATAAAGTCGAATAATTTTATAATTAGAAGGTACTTTACCTAAATACTGGTAATTGCCAGGTTTCCTCAACCTAAATTTACACTGAAGTCAAACCTAGAAGCGGGAAGGCTTTGGACGATCTATTAGCTTTGGGAAGAATCTATTTTTTCTATCAGTGACTCTGCCATACTTGTAATCCTGTTGTTCCTTTTTAAAGCAGACTTCACCTCATCTTTAGACAGGACCTTGTTTCCGACAAGGTACATCACCGCATCCTCAAGGTCCTCGAAGAAGTCTACCCTCTCCAAGGAGTACCTTATCTCCTTAGGAAGATTGTATTTAATTGACATTAGGAAATAGGCATGCATCACATTCTGGTCATACATCGATGCCTTCTTGAGGCTAGCAAGCCCGTTTTTGATGTCCTCAAGCTGTATTCTACACATAGCTAAGTTTCTTAGGAATACTGTGTTTTTCTGGTCGTCCGCAACTAGCCTTTCATAGACAGCCGCTGCCTCAGAAAACCTCTCTGCAGACGTAAGAGCAGATGCATACAAAAACTGTATCTCTGTATTCCTCGGGACCATACGGAGTGCCTCCTCAAATGAGGCTATTGCTTTCCCGGCATTTCCAGCCTTAAGGAAGTAGATCCCCTTAGCCTTCAATGGTTCATATGAGTAATATGCATCAAGAGCAGCGTCAAAATACATTTCTTTTCCGGTTATGGTCCCAACAACTATGTTCATATTGCAGAGCCTTATTTTCGATTGGAGACACTTAGGCCTTCCTATGCTCTCTATTTCTTCAAGTGCTCTTTCCACCGCCTCATCGTTTCTATTGAGCTTCACTAGACAGTTAATTATCTTGGCATTGCACTTGTACTTTTCAAAGTATTCTAAGGCCTTTGAATAGGCAGAATGGCTGTAATAGGCATCCCCTAGTAGCTTTTCCCATTCATTGCGGAACACAAAGGGATGTTCAAACGTGAGATCTGCTATCTCTCCATAGTAAGATTCCAGCTCGCAGGGCTCTAGGTTCAATGCCATAAGATAGTATCTTGCTGTTCTTCCCACTATTTCGCTCTTCTCGTTTCTAGGAAACAATATCCTGTCTATGTACGCCTGGACCTTCAGCTTTCTGAGATCTTGGCATATCTCAGTATTGAAGATCTTTATCATTTCAACTAGAAGTATGGACTGTTCTTCAACAGTTAGGCTTTGGACAATCTCATTTCCAAACTCGTATCTTTCGGTGGTGTAAACATGTTCCTTTCCATTTTTTGTCCCGCTGCATCTTACAATTAATATGGCATTCTCATAGATCCCAGAATTCGTCGGAACACTTCCAACTAACTCGTGCTTGAAATCATACATAGAGAGATCAATCCCCTCATATTCCCCAAAAGACAGTCTCATGCATGCCTTTTCTAGCCCGCTTAGTTTATTTGAAATTGGAAACGGCTTAGGGTGCATGAGGCACAAGTTCGTTACATATCTCAGACGGCTTTCCTCTTCTTCGTTCTCAGGCGTTATTGCCAGCAAAAGATCTAATGACACAATCCCGCTCTTGAATGCCCCCGCATGTTCGGAATCCTTCTCCTCGAAGCAGCAGGAGGTGCACACATTCAGCTTAACAAAAGCTTTCAAGTCCTCCATCCAGGGATGAAGGTTATTCAAAATAGATAGAAGAATCAAAAATTCAATTGGCAGTTTAACAAGGCTTTACTGAGGGGAAATGTCAGGCTCGTCCAGAAGCGAAAGAAGCTGCTTAATGGGCATGGGCTCCTCGTACTGTATCTCCGAGAAGCTGGAGTTTTGCTTACACAGAATCTCGTAGTCGGGAAATCCGATCTTTTCCACCTCATACGCAGACTGGAAGCATTCGTAGATACCGCACTCTCTCACAACTTCAACAGAGCTGGTTGTTCCAAACACAAACATCTTTTTTCTGCCCTCCTCCTTGATAAATATCTTCAATGCCTGCAGTACAGCGTTACTAAATCTGGGCCCTATGTTCACAAAGTCAATAAGGCCTTCAATGTCGTCTAGTATTATTATAGACTCCTCAGACTTGTATGCATCCATAAATTTCCCTTTGATGTAATTCACCTTCTCATATTCACTGAGCCCTATAATGTCTCTTGGAGAGATAATCTTTATGAATGGAAACATTGAAGACCTTGCAGCTTTCACAGCCAATGTTGTTTTACCAACTCCAGGACTTCCATAGAAAAGTAGAGAGGATGTGTTGTAAAGATTTGTTTTTCTCAGCTTCTTGAGAAGGCTCTTACCGTGCTCAATTCCTTGGGTGAATATAGGCGTCTCATAGAAGGTCTTTTCAAACCTACAGAAATCCGACTCGTTTATCCCGAAAGAAGGTTTAACCTCATCTAGAGCCTGGATGAAGTCATTCATATAGACCTTAATATTCTTGTCTCCAACAACATTCATCTTTTCTCCATCAACCCTTTCCCCATGAACTTTTCTTTCCAGTGCAAAAGATACAGCGCTTTTGACAACTGCTGTTATCTCGGCCCCAGTATAGTTCTTAGACAATTTGGCCACTTTTTTCAGATCAACATTCTTGTCCAGATAGTCATGACTCTCCATCGTTTTAGTATGTATCCTAAATATCTCAATCCTGGATTCCTCGTCAGGAAGAGAAATTTCTAAATGGATTTCAAATCTTCCAGGCCTAAGTAGAGCCTCATCTATCAAGTCTAATCTGTTGGTCATCCCAATCACCAGGATATTCTCTATCGACTCTACCCCGTCCATCTTGCTAAGAAGCTGGTTCACTACTTGGTCTCCAACACCTGTCCCAGTGCTATTTCCTCTTCTTCTGCATATAGCATCAATCTCGTCAAATATTATAATGTGAAGATTACTGTCCTCTTTCTTTACTTTCCACTCCTCCTCTGCATCCTTGAACAAGTTCCTGATGTTCTCTTCGCTTTGTCCAACATACTTGTTAAGAATCTCAGGCCCATTCACTATCTTAGGGGGCCTGGCATTGAGAAGAGACCCAAGCTTCCTTGCTATAAGTGTCTTTCCTGTTCCAGGCGGCCCATAAAGAATTATTCCCTTTACATGAGGTATCCCAAACTTCCTGATCACATCAGAGTCAAATGCCCTCTGCACAAATGCTCTTCTGAACATCTTTCCAAACTCTTGCTTCAATCCTCCAATTCCAAGAGACTCAAAGTTGAAGTTCGGATCCAGCAGCATGTTCTCTCTGGCATTGTTGGACAAAGTCAGCCTTTCGGAGACAGAGTTGATGAAGACCTCCGTGTTCCTCAAAAGAATCCCGTACCTCCTATCCAAGGCGGTAAACATCTCTCTAACAACCACCTTAAAGCCCAGGTCCCCAACATATAAGTAGAACTTTTGGTCGATGTTGAATGGAAAAGACACATAGATATTCTTGAATTGCTCAACAAGCTCCTTTGCATCAAAATCAACCTTCTCCAGATTGATAATCTCCATGTCAAGCTTGAGCAAAGAGATCGGGTCACATTCAACGACATTCAAATGCATAACACTTATTTCATCCTTACCAACACTTTTATTCAGAAACTCTCTCTGAATCTTACTCAGCTGAGCATTGCGTTCGTTTGTAAACTCAAATTTGAAAGCATACTTTCCATCCACGAGCACAAACTCCGAGGGATCCAGCCCAGAAGTCCTTGGTATGTATATCTTGTTTATTTTTCCCTTTTCTACCTGTTCAATCTTGATGCTACCTACCACGTACTTCATACAATAGGGTTTATCTTTCTCTGTTTACAAAATCTATAGCCTGGATACATTTGTTTGCCCAGACCTTACAGATAAAGAAAGGCCAAAAAGGCTGGGCCTCCAAGCAGAGTTAGCAGGAACAGAGTGTCGACCTCGTTCCTCGCGTTGCATACGCTCTCCAACGCATTCGAACACCATTTCGGCGGCATTCCAGATCGATCAGCTGGGCCAGCTTCTGTGATCTTCCGTATCGACTCAACCACAGACCTCTTTTCGGCATTCAGCCAGAACAAAAAGGCCTTTTCGCTGAACATAGATATCTACCATGTCTTTTCTTTCAGAAAACTCCAGAAGACTTCCAATATTTTCCAGAAGCCTGCTCATCATCTTTATATAGCTATAGAAAGTGCTTTTGTCGACCTTTCTCTTCGTTAGGTGCTCAAAGTCATCGTACACAAATAGTATCTTGTTGAATAGGTTCGAGAATACAGATATCTTTGCGCTGACCTTTGTGTCGATCATGGACTTTACATACAATCTCAAAACTTCTGCAATGCGCTCGCTTTCCTTTATAATAAGGTCAAGTTGGCCTTCGAGATTGTCAGCCTTGGACACAACCTCGAGCCTTTTTACCCCATCCGTAAGTGTTGGTGTGAAGCTGCATCCTTTGATGGCACCAGATTTGCAGGTTCTATCAAGCATCTGACCATTGAGAATGAATATAACGCTTAGCAAGGTTACCACAATAAGCCCTACAGATACAACGGGTTTTAAGATATAGGTGACCGTCTCTAGCTTTGCCAGTGCAGCAAGAAATAGAAGCAGAGAAAGTATCATCTCAACTACAAGGAGGAACATCATGAAGTTTTCATATCTAATTATGGGGCGCATGTCTCCACTCTCAATGTCTTCGCCGTCTTGGTAGTTTCTGGCTAGTGTTGAAAGATAGTTTGGGACATCGCGGTTAGCCCTAAACTTTGGAAGATCAAAAAAGCACTTCTTGATTTCCGCCTTCAGCTCGTTTGCAGATATGTTTAAATATCTTGTGGATGCATTGAATTCGACCATCTCGCTCTCAATCTTTTCTGCTTCTTTCATGAATGCCTTGAATATCTTGAAAAACTCTTCCAGAATCCTGTTGACCTGTGCTTCAATGCTCCTGAGATTCAGAAGATGTTTCTCAAGGTTTTCGTCCGTCCCCGTCTTGAATTGAAATATCTTCATAAGGTTTTCAAGAAGTGCTTCTTTTTTCCCTGCATTATCGACTCTTCTACTGATTGTTGGAAGCTTGGAATCCTTGAACAAGTAATGCTCTTCAGGAGTGCCATTGGAGGGATCAGACACCTCATAGCTCCCATCTTCAAGTGTACTTTCTTCCATACGTGTGTCCTGTGCCTCATTTTTTGTTGCTACAGGAGAGTTTCTTTCTTCAAAGCTCTGGCCTTTAGTGCTAGGATTTGCCCTTGTGGATCCTCCTCCTCTTTCTTCCCCCGAAAATATTTTGTACGAAGACAAATGGGCTACAGTTCCGTTTTTCCCCTCAATACCTGAAAAGTTTGTATTGGAAAGGAGATAAGACTTGTGGCTGATCCCAAAAGAATCCATGAATCTTGCCTTCCATGGATTTATCCACGAAGTCCAAGACTGTGTGTTCTTTGAGGCATTGGGCTGGACCACCAACTTATTGAGCGTTCTATTGGCCTCAATAACCTTCTGGAGATTGTACGAGCAGAATATAAGGAGAAACCCAACGATGTATAAGAGGCCATTACTTCTGTCTCTTGGACTCCTGAAAAACATTAAGAGAATCCCGAAGCATGCCACCAGCAATAGAAGAAAGAGATATATGTCAAACTTTAGGTTTGTTCTGGTTTCCTGAACGAACAGTCGAAATGGCGACAGTTGGGATGGTCTCAGCAAGGGCTCTCCAAGAATAAGCAGCCGAAGTTTGGACGCCAAAAACATTCCTTCTGTCAAAAGACTTTTGTTTTATCGTTCCCCTGAAGCACCTGTTTCATGAGCTCCAGCCGTCTCATGTCCTAGCTTAGTTTTCGCAATTTTTAAGATAAAAGAAAGGAAAACAAGGGGGGCATGGACTCCGAGTGCAAATATCTGTTCAAGATAATCTTGATTGGAAACAGCGGTGTCGGGAAAACTTGCCTGATGAAAAGGTACACGGACGAGACATATAGTTTTACACAGTCAAGCACGATAGGCGTGGATTTCAAAATAAAGTCCTTAGAGGCTGAAGGGGAAAAGGTAAAGCTTCAAATATGGGACACTGCAGGACAGGAGAGATTCAGAGCAATTATATCCAATTACTATAGGGGAGCTCATGGAATTATTATAGTGTTTGACATGGGAAGCAAGGAGTCGTTTGACAATCTTGGAGACTGGCTGGGCGAGGTAAGAAAGAATACAAACGAGAATGTTGAGATGATCATTTTGGGAAACAAAGTTGATGACAAGGAAAAAATTGTGGTCACTGAGGAGGAGGTGGAAAAGTTCCTGAATGAAAATGGTATTGAGAAATCATCGTTTTATATGACTAGCGCAAAGGACAATATCTGCGTCAATGATAGCTTCGAGTATCTAACCAGAAGGCTTATTGACAAACATAAGAAAATAGGCTTTGGCAGTGGAAAAGAATCCTTTAAGCTTAATATTGGGGATTCTTCTAGAAAATCCTGTTGCATGTGAATTTAAATGATTAAAGCTTTTTTTGGTGTGTTTCTCTTACAGCTTTTATGGTTCTTAGATGGCTAATGATTTCCTCTGGGTTTTCTGTCCCGCTAAGAAGCTGGTACACAATGCTTTCCTCGATGTAAAATCTTATATCCACCTTCGATATTTCTAAGGTTTGGGCTAGGCTGCACGTGTCCACTATGGGCCTGGAGAGATGGCACTCCCCCATATCTTCCTGTATGATTCCATATATAGCTCTCAGCCCGTCCTCATATCTCTCCTGCCTTCCTTCCATGTATTCAGCTGCAGAATATATTACCAGTGACTCGTACCACGTCTCTCCCATAAACCTCACCATTCGTATAAAATCTTCGGTCCCTAGCCTTTTCATGTCGTATTTGGATAGGAACACAAGGCTCTCCTCTATCTTATCTATCATCTTAACGAATTTTTTGGAAGATGGAAGCGAGGTTTTCATGGTGTAAGTGTTTGAGAAAGCGGCACCCTTTTTGTTCGGAACTGTTAGCCCTATAAAAAAACACAGCACAGTGTAGAGGTTTAGGACCTCTCTTCTATATGGCCTTCCCCATAGGTTAGTAATCTTTTCTACAATCTCGCAGAACACCGCTCCTTTTTCATAGGAAGTTGTCTTTTCAGCAGGCGGCTTAAATATAGGACCCACATATCCCCTTCTAATTATTTCCAGGAGCCCATATTGGCCTCTTGGATAGTGGAGGATCTTAAATATCTCTATGTGGATCCTTTCATTTGAGACTTTCTTTTCTAATGCAGGCTTAATCCTCTCATCCAGTAAGGCCTCATCAATTTTTTCGTCGATCTTGAATCCAAACTTTGAGTGAAACCTGAAAATTCTCACGAGCCTTAGAGGATCATCAAGGAGAGTTGTTCTTGGGTCAAGAGGCGTTGCCAATATCTTTCTTTTTATGTCGTCAACACCTCTTCCCGTATAGTCTTCGATCTCCCTGGTAAACAAGTTGTAGAATAGTGAGTTGATGGTTAGGTCTCGGCGAAAGGCATCCTCTTGGGGCGTCCCCGGATTTATGTTAGGAATCCTTGTTTCAGAGTATGTTTCGCTTCTTAAATTAACAAAGTCGACACAGAACCCATTTATCCTTACAACTGCAGTTTCAAGATGCTTGGACTTCTCTGGGTTGTCTTTTATTACATGGACCTCAGTGAGCTTCTGTCCTCTTGTTGATTTCGCTAATCCTGCTGCAAATTTGTATCCACTTATATTCTCCAGTGCTATATCCATATCGAAGCTAGGGTTTCCCATTATCTTGTCTCTAACCCAGCCTCCCGCAACTCTCGGGATCACGTTTCGAAATCCCCTAGCATGCCTTATTATTAGATCGAAAATGTCTTCCTCGGCCTCTGTGCAATTTATCTGATTATCCATTGGGGACCTAAACAAAACACCTTAAATCTGCATCAAGTCCTTGGGAAATGGAAATCATTGACATTACATACCAAATTCCAGACTTCTTTCGTGGAATTCGTCTGAGTTGATGAAAAAGAGAATTAGAAAGTAAGTGGACAGGTGGAATAGTGTGTCTTCAAATCTCCAGGCCCACTCAAGGCCCATAAAACTCCTCAGAATTATGAAATAGATGTAATTTGATATCTTGGTTGTGCTGTATGCAACTATTCCAAACCTCTGAATATAGTATGCGCCTAAGGCCCTCAGCAGTGAGGAGATGATCACAAGAACTACAGACTTATGAATGTTGCTTTCTATGAATGTATAGATGTCATTGTATCCTATTCCAGAATCGATTAGTATAATGAAAGAACATATCCAAATGTAGAACGAGCTTGCAAAAAGAAACTTAGGCAGCCCATTCCGGTTTGTCATGCAGACAGTTATGAAGTCGGAAGAAACACTGAAGACTACATAAAGCGCTAAGTATATGACTCCAAACAAAACATCGAAAAACCCTTCATCGCTATACTTGACTGATTTATACATATTCGTTAAAATCACCAGGATAAACCCAAGGTTTCTAAGCATATTTTCCTTGGCAACTCGAGAAATCATAAACATAAGCACTACGGAAAGTGGATAGCACAGGCCCCTCGTGGCCATGGCTGTCTTTATGGACGTCATCCCAGCACCCCGAAACCATGAGGAATATTCCCCGAATGCAAACAGCCCGAAAGAAAGATATTCCGACTGCGTCTGAACTATCTCCTTGAAAGTAGTACTTTTGATTGCAAATGGAGCAGACACTGCCAGGACGGCCAGAGTTGACAGAAGATTCTCTATACAAAATACCATCATGAAGTGGCTCTCCAAGTAATCGGAGACTAAGTATAGCTGAAGGGCACCCATGAGAGACAGAATTTCCCCGAGGCAGAGCTTTTTCTTCATTTTCACCAAAGGGGTGAATTTTGGGCTTATAATGGAATAAAAGGAGATTCTCGCTTAGCTCTTGGGAGGGGCATGCTTGCAGGATGTTCATGGTTTGGACTTCCATATAAAGAATGGCGGGCAATGGACCCCAATATACCTAACACCCGGGATATAGGTACAGAAGGATTTTCAGGTAATATCATCAATATACCTAGGAGGAAAGATCTTTGTAGGTCTCTGAGAAAAGTGAATTAAATCAATTTTGCATTAATCTGATAAAAAAGGGTATATTTAAAAATAAATAGAAATATGAATTTCTTACATTTCTTCGAAAATACCTTTGGAGCGGATCTAACCATATTATTTGTTAACCACAATTTTATCAATCAAATTCGAAACAACAAACCTCCCTCTGATTTGGTTATAAAAGACCCAAAAATTTACCCCAAAATGGCTAGAACAAAACAATCTGCTAGGAAAACAACAGGAGGAAAGGCACCGCGCAAGCAGCTATCTGCAAAGTCTGCCCGTAAGGCGGTGTCTCCAGCCTCAAGTGCTGGGGCTAAGAAGTCAAGGTACAGGCCCGGGTCTGTTGCTCTGAAAGAGATCAGAAGATACCAGAAGAGCACAGACTTTCTTATTCGAAGGCTCCCGTTCCAAAGGGCTTGCCGTTCAGTCGTCAAGGAATGTAGTAATGCTACGGACATAAGGTTCCAAGGCCCAGCTCTCGCTTCAATTCAAGAGGCCCTGGAGGTTTATCTTGTTGGTCTGTTTGAAGATGCCATGCTTTGTGCATGCCACGCAAAGAGAGTCACTGTATTTCCAAAGGACATAAACCTTGTTCTGAAGCTCAGGAGAAGACACGTCAAATCCATCAGTGATTAAAATCTTCACTTTAGTTGCCAGGTTCTTCTCGGATTACTTTCCAGGTGGCTCTTTATGTTTATATCACTGATTGCTAGTTTAATTTATTATTTCCACCCTTATAGCTCCTGGTTCTCTCCATGTACGTAAGGATTGGTGGAATGGACAAGATGGTCAGTAAGCATGATCTTCGTAGGATATTCACATTTACAAGCCGTATATACAAGTCAATAGAATGCTCTTCAGGTATTCAACTGTACTTTTATAGTACGTTGCATGAGATTATGATGGCACAAAGACTTAACAAAGAGAAGTTAATTGGGTGTTTAGAGGTCAGCTTCATTGAGCTTACACTAGAGGAGGAGGCCTGCCTATCCATCGTTCCCTCCAAATCCTCCCATTGTCTCTATGCTGTTTGTGACGGAGATATTTGTATAGACACAGTCGAGAAATTCTTCGGATCACCCATCAGATGCTACTTGAGGAGCGAGAAATCTGAAGAAACATACGTTGTCGAGTTTAAGGAGCCAGTAGAAATAAGGAAGCCGGATTTTATGAAGTATGTGTTTTCCTTTGAAGATTATATAGATTACGTAGTGAATGCCAGGCTTTACGACTGCAAATAAAGCTATAGAAACACCTCAAATAGATTTTTGTGTTTCCCTGGTCCAAGGAAAATAATGAAAAATCAGTGCCATATTCTTCCTTTTTTTGCTCCAGAAGTCTCCAAGGTGGAGGTAGAACATGTAAATCTGGACGGAAATGAGGCTACCATAAGAGGGATATCCTGCATCAAGAAGAGGTTGGACTCGGATCTCGGTGTGTATACTTGTAACAAAATTATTAAGGATCCGGTGTTTTACTGGGTACCTGCAAACTCTGGATCTGCATTCGAAAAGGGGCTGGAGCTGGTGAGGAAGGGGCTGGGGTTTCCTGGGAGAAATGGCCATGGGCCTCTTGACGGAGTCATCACGAGAAAGAACAAGAAAATTAAACTGTAAGAAAGTACAGTGATGCCCTTTACTATCCTTAATTTGAATAAGATATGTTGGAACAAAATTTTTACCCCATAAAGTAATGCCCATTACATCGACTATGAAGCGTGTAAAGCTTCCTCCATCCGCTGTTGCAAGAAGAAAGGAGCCCAGGTCTAAAAACATCTACCTTCGTGCTCTCTCTGACTTCTACACGAAGGTGGCCAACAACACCTCTGTGCTTGCAATCAAGAAGATTGCTAAGAGATTAAAGATGTCGAAGTCTGATAGGCAGCCTGTGAAGATATCTAAGATTGTCAGTGAGCTTGAAGGGTCTCAAGGGAAGGTTGCTGTGGTTGTTGCAAAGGTTCTTGACGATGACAGAATCATGGAGATTCCTGCCATTAAGGTTGTTGCTCTTCAATGGTCCAAGGGGGTAAAAGAGAAGATCGAGAGGTATGGGGGGTTCATTGCAACCCTTGATCAGCTATTTGAGCTCTGTCCAAACATGGATGACATAAAGTTGATATCCACTGACAAATTTGCCAGAAGGTCTGCTAAGTTCTGGGGACCTGCTCCTGGAGAAAAGGGATCGACTACTTATCCAAGAGCAAACCAGAAGTGCCACAATCGTGAGAAGCGTATCATGATGAAGGGAAGAAAGACCCAGCATCTAAAAAAGCAAGCACTGAATAAAACGGCCTAAGTTTTTACTTTTATATCTCCTCATTAGTGAGCTTTGCGGGTTGCATCTGTCAATCCTAGGAGCTCTTCTATCTCTATGAAGCATGAACAGAACTCACACTCTACTCTGCCATCAATCTCTTGATGTATTTTGTATTTCCCTCCACACCTACAAATGACGGACTCGGCTTTTGCTCTATTGCAGACAAGATATGGGTCGCCCTCAAACGATTCTCCCCTTATATATTTTTCATATTCATCTCTCAGTTTTGTGTATTCAGCACTATTGCCTTTATTTCTATCCGGATGTATTTTGATTAGCTTTCTTAAGTATCTTGTTCTGACCTCCTCTTCTGTAGCCCCCTTTCTAAGTCCCAGTAAACTAAAAATGGACATCAAGGGATATTGAATTTGCTAGATAACAGCCGGGAAAAAACCACCAAATTAAGCAAGCAGGAGAAATGTACGAAGGACTTCCGAAACAAGTTGTATTAAGTGTTTTGCAAATGTCCAATCCGCGACTTTCAGATGAAACACTGTTTTAAAACCCTTTTAAAAGCACATGGAAATAGCTATACCATGCTTATTCTCTCAATACTAATGGGTGTTGGCGCATATTACATGCCGCCTCCAAGGCATGCATTCATAATTACCACTAGAACACTGTCACCATATCGCCTAGACTCATTTCCGTTTTCACAGGTAGGACCTTACAAGACATCCACCGATCCCATTCTATTTTCAAGGCCATCCAGGCTTGAAACAGAGACATCTACAGAAGGAGGAGAACGAGGGAGTTCATCAGAGGGGAAGAAGGAGGGCATAAAGAACAGCCTTTCAAGCATTCTGTCTACAAGCATTCTTTGCAAGTTTTTCTTCTATAGTGCAATGGCAGTCCTAATATTCTTCATAGGGTATCAAACAAGAAAATGCCACGAGAGCGGATCTTATGTAAGGCTTCCAACATCATCTTCGAATAACTGAATAAACGAAATTTGAGAATATTCTTACTTCGTGCAATTCTTGGATCTACCTAGAAAATGAAAAGTACATGTAAACGCTTTCATTTCTTTTAATATAAATGTATCTAAACTTCAATTGGTGCTTCCACCTTTTCTATTTAACTCCTCTGTTTCTTCTTTGGTTAGGAACCGCCCCGAGGGGGCCCTCAGCCTCTTCATGGCATGCTTGTGCCGGCTTTCATGAAGGTAATTTCTCTTGTTTGTTACCATGAGAGTGTCCAGCATGTCTCGCCTTGCCTTTCTTTTCTTTATCCAATTAAGTTGTTTGGCATTGACATAAAGAGGCTGGAAGGCTTGATCATTAAATGGAAATGAATAGTCATAAGCACCATAGCTAGCCTTGTCGGGATATCTAACGTCACTCAGATCTCCTTCGTCAAACTCGATGTCACCATACCTAGCACTAGCACCTTGTTCCATCATGTCTCTGTGCTGCATCGAAACCGGTTTATTAAAGCTTTTGTAGATTTCCTTCCTAACTTGTTTCATGCTGTTTATTTTTCCTTACCAATTGGCATCAAGTTTACAAAGAAAAAGGCTGGCATATAAAATTCCTTGACAGCCGTGCACATCTAGAGAACCTGGCGCCAAGCATACACAATAAAACACAGTCTATCTAATCTTTATTTCATCATCCTTCTCTCCATCCAATTCCCAGAAGTTTATATTAGAATCAGAGGATCCAGAAACGAAGTACCTCTCGTCATCTGAGCAGGAAAAATGGATCACCCTGTTCTTATGGCCAAGAAAGTATCTTTCTACCTTAAAGGAAGACATCTGTGACAGCCTAATGTCATCCTTTGAGTATCCATGCGTGCTAAGAATTTTGTTGGATTTCAGCCACTTTAGATTACATATTTGAGAGCCATAATCTACAGATCTTATCAGGCACGGGCTTGATCTGCTTGAGTTTATCAAGCTTATGTCCCATAACTTGATCGTTTTGTCGGCAGTTCCTCCTCCAGATACTAGCAGGTTTGGAGAAAGAGGAGACCAGCTTATTGCCTTTACAGCAGCCTTATGGCTAGAACACTGTTTAAGAGGATGTGCTAAATTCCTATAGTCATAAATATAAAGTCTATTGTCATTTCCGCCGGACGCCAAGAACCTAAGATCCTTGCTTATGCTTAGGCCGCATACCTCCTGCCTGTGATGCAAAATGGTTGCCACTGCTTTTTCAGAGCGCAGATCTGTTATCTTTATTTTCCTGTCCCTGCTTCCAGTTATGATATTTGTGTTTTCAGACTCAATTACACCTATTCTTGATCTATGAAATGAGTATCTTGTCATCTTCAGAGAACCTATGTCGATGCTCAGCATGGCGCCTGCAGACGTCCCAAGGGCAACGGTACTGGTTGTCGGATTACATTTTACAGATGTTATTCCGAGGCTGTTGAGATCACAGACTTGTAATGTCTTTGAGGAAAAGAAATTGTGTACAAACAGGCAGCCGTCGGCAGTGAAGAATACATTTTCCCCGGACCAATCGATCAGGCTGCTGTAGAAGTCGTCGGGAAGGGACTTAATCTTCAGCTGTCTATACGGCTGGATGATTATTTTTGGCCCGAGGCTTTGACCTTCAATCGTGCTTAAATACGGACTTTCGTCTAGAGGATAGCAGGACCCTGCTTCATGCATTACCTCCTTGATTCCAAGGGCATATGCCCCTCTTGGCGCATATCTGGGCATCACTTCCTTTTTGTTTATTAGGAACCTATCCATCTATGTTTGTTTATGAAGACCTGCTCTCATTATTTTTGCTGTATTGTTTGATCAAATAGAAATCAAGATGGTTTAGTATAATGAAAGAAGATAATTTATCAAATCCTGCAGTTGCAAACACGGAAGCCGTGTGTTGTCTACCCGGGAACTTGGAATCTCTCCAGTAAGTCCTTGGTATCCATCGTTTCTATATCTGCATTTTGCTGAGAAACAAGGCTGTTTGCAACGAACATCTTGAACGATTGAAGATTCATGACTTTTTCTTCCAAAGTGTTCTTCGCTATGAGTCTAAAGACATTTACGGTTCTTTTTTGTCCTATTCTATGTGCTCTGTCCATTGCTTGCAAGTCATTGAAAGGATTCCAGTCATGCTCGTACATTACAACAGTGTCTGCCCCAGTGAGATTGAGGCCTAGTCCACCGACCTGTGTAGTAAGGAACAGTATCTGTGTTGTACCAGTGTTGAATTCCTCAGCAATCTTAGCCCTGGCCGAGCTGGGCACAGATCCATCCAGCCTTGAGTACTTAAACTTATACTTCTCCATTATGTCCTTTATAACAAGGTCTATGCTTGACTTGAACTGGAAGAAAATTAGTATTTTGCTTCTCAAATCCTCTCCTCCACATAGGGAAATTATGTCTTCAAGAGCCTTGACCTTGCAGGAAACTTCACTAGAACTCTTGAAGTGGCCTATGTGGGAGACTGCAAGGAAAAGATCCTTGGTTCTTTTGAACCCCATGTTCTTCTGGTCCACCTTGCCGTATTCTAGGTCGATATCCCCAGCTCCCTCTTTTCCTCCTTTTTCATCAATCTCACGGTATAGCTTCTCCTGTACAGGCCCGAGTTCAACAGTAATGTCACGAATAATCTTTGGAGGAAGATCCTTCAGCACATCTATTTTTAGCCTGCGGAGAACAAATGGAAGAACCTTCCTGTGGAGAAGGTTGAGCTTTTCCTGTGTTTTTTCTATTTCTATGTCTGACATCTTTACATTTAACGACCCATATTCCTTCTCAGAACCAATATAGTTGGGCATCAGGAAGTTAAACAGAGAAACAAGGTCCTCCACACTGTTGTGCACGGGGGTTCCCGTTAAGACTATCTTTCGGGGGCACTTTATCATGTTCATTCTTGAGTACAAGATCGTTTGCTTGTTTCTGAGAACATGGCCTTCATCAACTACAACATAGAACCAGTCCTTCTCGATAAAATTGAGGTAGTCATTTCTGAACGTCTCGTAAGAGGATATCAGAAGATCGCCTTTGCTTTTACCTTCTCTCTTGTAGATCTCCGCGGTTATAAATGGGAAGAATTTCTTCACTTCAGCCTTCCAATGCCCAGTAAGGCTTGAGGGACAGATTACTAAGACCTTCTTGTTTGTCTTATAGATTTCTGAACAGAGGAATGTTAGAACCTGTAGAGTTTTACCCAAGCCCATATCGTCTGCAAGAATTCCATTAAGGTTGAATGAGTGAAGGAAGTTCAACCATTTTACTCCCTCCATCTGATAGTCCCTAAGCTTGACTTGAGTAGGGCATTTTATATGGTACTCAGGAATTTTCTTCGAGTCGAGCAGTGACTCAAGGGACTTCTTTTCTTCCTCAATCATCTCAAGAAGATCTTTTGATATTCTCGTGTTCGTCCTAAACCCAAGGGTGGGAATGATCTTCGAGAATAGCCTGGAAGATAGGCTACGGTCTACATTGCTTGATATGTTTTTAAGGAGAGGCTTGACAAACAAGGGATTGAAAGAATGGTCCCCACTCATCAGAACAGAGTCAAGAAGCTCAACATCCAGATCATCCAATGCTTTCCTTACAAACTTTTCGTTGAAGTCCAAGCACTTCATAAACCCAGTAATTACTGTGACGTTTCTCTCCCGGAGCGCATCATCAAATATAAATCCTATGCTTTGGATTTCTGGTCCCTTCGTGTATATTTGAATCGTTTTTGAGAAGAAGTCAAGCCTGTTCTCCAGCTTGCTAACCTTACAGAAGAAAGGATTTGCAAGGAGCCTGCAGCCAAACACCTCAAAGAACGAGAGAAACCCTTCCTTTCCCGAGGCCATCCCCTCATATGCAACTGGGAGGAAATCTTCTATCGAAATCCTTCCAGCATCGTAGTGCTCCACTATCATTTTCGAGAATAAAACCAGAAACTGCTTACACGTCTCCACCTCAAAGAGAGATGTTGCTTTGTCAAGAATTGGAAATCTCATTGACGATATCATTCTGATGTAGTCCACGTATAGGGGATCGACCATCGGATGGATAGAGTGGATTCCGGGCATGCCGAGCTTTTTCTTAAACTCTTTCAAGGGTACCATCCTAAGATCCTTGCATTCGTCAAGATAATGCTCTAGTTCTCCTATACTTTCGGAAGAACTAGCTATGTCCTTGCATAGGGCCTGGGCATGTCTATATAGGGAAAGAAAAGTCTTGCTTATCATAGTTTCATTCCCCGCTTGCAAATCAGGGAATTTGCTCTTCATAATACACTCAAACAAAAGGCATCTGTTTTTCAGGATTTCATCCTTTCCTATCACGTTTATCCCACTCTTCGTGAAGTATAAGTCCTCATAAGAAACAAAATCATCTTCTCTATATGGTTCGTAAAGGCTTCCTCCAATGACATTCATGAAATGGATAATCAAATTCTTAGGAAGGTCCGGCCGCTTTTTGAGAAGCTTAATGGCCATTTCTCTGATCTCGTCCTTTTCTTCTATCAGAATAACTTCTGCAACAAGGAAATCAATTGAATCCTCAGAAAGATTCTCCACCATGTTCAGTATACTAGTCCTAACTTCAGGCACAGGCGATGTAAAACAGGGGAATATGTCTTTCAGCCTTTCGGGGGGAATAGAAAGATCCGGGTTTTCCTTGTATATCTTAGTCAATAGAGAAAGATTAGATGTTTTCGAAACAGAAATAACCTCCTCAGACTCAATGTTTTTCCAACACTTGTCGAGAACTATTTCAAGCCCATCGGTTATTGGAAAATGGCAGAGAAGCTCTGCGCTGAGGAGCTTTATATCTTCGTCCGGACTGCCCAAAAGAGATATGAGCTTTTTGCAAAGCCCATCCCTATCTTCAACAAATTCCTTCAGATACCCAAGAGCTATCAGTCCAGAAAATTGTATCTGCCAATCATCACTGTCTAGAAATCCAAACAATTGTTCGATAATGTCATTGGGTCCTATTAGAGGATATATACATGACAAAAGATATGCCGCTGCGTCTCTCACCGGTGCTACTGTCCTATCATCAACAAAGTCATTAAACTTATCTGTTACAAGAATCTCGTATATCTTTGAAAAGAGCTTGGAATCAATCTTTATCTGAATATCTCCTCCGCTGTCTATTTCAGAAAACATTGCCGCAAATGCAAGGAATGCACCGTGCCTCTTGTGCCATTCATAGCTCAGCAGGTTGTCAGTTATTTGCTCAAAGAAGTCAAATATGTTCTCGATGGGTCTTTCCTCAACCTTGTGCCTCTTGATTGTTTCTCCACTACCTGCCTTAAAATCAATGTCACTCAGAAAGTTAGTCTCCACATGCTGCAGCTTTGCTATCTTTTTAACTATTTTCTTCTGCTCCTGCACAGACGGTGCCTGGGCATTGAACTGCTCTCCTGTCGAACCCAGATATATGTTGCTGCCCTTCTTATACTCAACCTTAAAGTCTGTCACAAGCTTAAATTGGAACATCAAAGACTTAAGAATTTGTGCTCCATTTTTCCTGTCCTCATTTGCTTGCCCACACAGAAGCTTATACGTTTGCTTAAGAATATAGGGTGTGAAATCAACATATTCTTTTATTTGAGAAACTAGCTCGTTGGTCGTGTATCCCTTCAAAACCTTCGACTGAGCAGTGTTCAGTGTTGTGAAGAACTTTTCCAATCTATTCATGCTTCCTGGGGTTAATGAAATGCTTTGTATTTATATTTCGCATCGCAGGATAAACTGATAATTTCATATCTTAAATGTTGTTCATTCATGTCTTAGTAAAACGACAATCGCGTAATTTTGGGCTTCTCCAGAGACACCCTTTGCAGTTTGTGAACCCAATGGATGTACCCAATGAGATATTAACAGCGTACCTTCGGGGAAGAGGGGCAGACTCAAATTCAATTGGAGCATTTCCATCTGAACAGGAAATAACTGGTAATTCCAAAGTATAAAACAAATGGATTTCCTTTACTAAAAAATGGCTGAAAAGAAGATTACGAAGCATGACTTTGACATCGAGTATCCATTATGGAATGATATGGACAAGGATAAGATTCAATTCAGAAGGCTAGATAATGGCTATTCCATTGTTTATGAGGATGAGGAAAAACACGAAGATGAAAATAGAAGGGAATACAGGTCGCGATCCATATCTTTTTCGCAAACCTACGGAGAAAGAAAGCTGAAAGATGCAAACATGGTTGTTGAGGATAACAAGATAAAGGTGAAGGGATGGTTTGACAATAAAGAATAAAACAATGTTATTGATATCTTATCTTATATAGGATTATTCCTGTCAGAACTAGTGTCAGGACAATAAAGCTTCTTAGTGTATTGATCAGCGGGTAAAACCATACCTCGGCCTTGTGCCATAGCTCAGGAGGTAAGGAGGCACTCTCAATCTTCTTTTTACAATATGGGCAGAAAGGTTTTTTGCCGAGTAAGCACCACCCCTTTATGCAATCCTCATGGAAGGAATGCGCGCATACCAGGGTATGTATCTTCTCGCTCCCGTCAAATAACTTTGTGCATATCATGCAAAGGGAATTGTTGTTTCCCTTGCCAGGGACCCCTTCCTTGCTATAAAATCCTGTTGAAACAGCCATGGTCTCACTTAGGAAAAAGATTACCTCTCTACTCAAAAGCCCGAAGTACAGGAAGAATAATAAGATAGAAAGAGTGTATCCCAGGTATTCGGGCTTCAGATAGAAAAAAACAAAAGTGAGGGACTGCCCCAGGAGAGTCCCCAGGTTTGAGATGATGAACAACGACCTGAACACCCCGTAAATGTCTCTCATCACGTTCTTTCCAAGAGGCCCTTTCATGACCTTAAGTGTATTAAAAAGCATAAAGCCTGAAAACAGCAGCCAGCAGAAAGGAAGGAAGTATGACTGCATGAATAGAAAGAATCCCGGGGGGAATAGCAGAAGTATCAAGAAAACGCAAACATCATGTGTTTTCTTGTTTATTTTCTTCCATGCAGTAAAGAAGGTCTGGATAATGAGTGCATACACAGATATAACTGCTATCCTTTGTAGAACATCCCCGAGAGTGGGCTGCTTCTCTATTATTATCACCTGCCTCACAGTCCTGTGTCCTCCGTCTCCCTTGTACAGCCTATAGCTTGCAACATCAGTATCTTCAAAAAAGGAATCTGCATCGCTCCTGACTTCTTTGCTTTGCTTAAGGACCTCCTCTTTCTTCTCCTCAATGCCATGGCTTGTGTTTTCACCATTTTCTTCTTTTATCATCCAGGGCTCAACAAATAAGTTGGTTTAGTCATACAATTTAATCGCTCAGCTATAATGGGAAATAAAGGGCACGGGCCTGCTATACTTCTTTAGTCCGTAGGGCTCGTGGTAATGCAGGTCTTCAATCTTTTTCGAAAAGCTTATTAAGCCACCCACGTAATGCCTCTGTTATCTTATCGATCTTCTCATTTGTTACATTCAATTTCTTGGATATCAAATGGCTGATATCGCGGAAATAAGTAGGCCTTGGGGCATCAGTCTTTTTGAGGTTGCAGAGACGGTCGAATAGAAAGACAAAGCCTTCGTGCTTCTCTGCATCCATACTCAAGTATCCTTGGATGTACCGAAGGAAGATTTCCAGAACATTGTCATAATCACATATCGCCTCCTTTAGCTCGGATATCTCGCAAACCATTGCATGTTCTCTTCTTTCAAGCTCTCTGAGATGCGCTATTCTTTTTTCTCTACATCTTTTGGCAGCAATACGATTTCTTTCTTTTTTCCAGATATTCTTTATTCTTTCTTGATCAACCTGAAAAGGAAAGTGCTCATGAGGCCCTATTTGCTGATAAAACTGGTTCCCTTGCTCTCCAAAATGTCCATGTTTTTCCCGGTGGATTTGAATTGTGTCTTCCAAAAAATCGGGCCTGAAGAAGTAATATGGATGTATGTTTGGTACAAACCTACTGTACATAGACCCCTTGGAATGCCCCATATAGGTGCTTTGAATTTGCTCGTATTCGTAATCGATGCCTTCCTCTCTATCTTCCATAATAATTGAACCTTCCATATTTATTCCATATAAGCTATCACATACTGGATGTATTTTAATTTTAATTATCATGGCAAATTTAATTGTTTAATTTGACTTTCGTTAGCAAATTCAGGTCCCCAGAATGAGCCTTGTGATCCAAGTATCCGCGGATTCTGGGTAAGCATCTATTTGGAATCGGAAGTAGCGATATTGCAGCTGTATGAAATGCCGGCATTAATAACCCCAAATAATATGGCTGAAGACCTGTCATGGAGGAAGTTTGCAAAAAATAGGAGAGTTCAAGCGTCCAATCTGTTTCTTTCCCATGGCTTTATGATTGAGTCGTGTCAAAATCACCCATTTAAAACAAAAATTCTAGTCTTAAACAAACAACACAATGGAAACGATCAAGTGTGTTCTTGTGGGAGATCCCTTGGTAGGAAAGAGCTGGTTAATAAGCACCTACATAACGGGTAAAAACCCAGAGGGCTATATTCCAACACTTTTCAACAACCACAGCAAGGTTGTTAATGTGGGAGATAAAAAATACAATATGACTCTATGGGACACAGCAGGGAGTGAAGAGTATAATAAATTAAGAAGTCTGTCGTTTCAAGAAACAGACGTTTTTCTGATATGTTATGCAGTTAACAACATTCTTTCGTTTCATAACTCCAAGAGATGGATAGAGGAGCTTGCGGAGTATAATGTTCCTATGATTTTGTGTGGCACTAAGTGCGACATAATTGATGGGAATATTGTAGATAAGGGCCTCTCTACTAAGCTGAGTAAGGAGTACGGGCTGTATGGCTTTATAGAATGCTCCTCGGTAGAGCTCATAAATGTAAAAAAGGTTTTCGATGTAGCTCTTGAGGCAGCTTTAAAGCCCAAGAAGAGCAAATTTAGATCCATGTGGTTTTGCTGCAAGTGTGGATAGACATGATCAATGCTTAGAATAAATATTTTTATAATGTTATACAGAATCTTCGAAGTCTGAAAGCAGGTCTCTAGAAATATTTCAGGCGGCCAACCCTCTCGGGAATGAGGCGAAGGCAAAGAAGGCAAAGCTCAAACATATTTCATATGCTAACCAAGAATCAAATAGTCGAGCTCAGAGAGGCATTCAACTTCATGGACGTCAACAGCGATACATTTGTTGACAGAAAAGATCTAGAAAGCTTTCTCGTATCAATAGGATCGCCTTTTTCTAACAAAGAAGTCACCGAGATGATGGATGAGAGTGGAGATAACATGACATACATGCTGTTTCTGACAATGATAGGAGAGAGGCTTAGCTGCACAGACTCGGAAAAAGAAATTTTCAATGCACTAAAGGAATTCGACGATAATGGAGATGGCACAATCGATGAAAAGATGCTGAGAGCATGGCTGATGGAAAAGGGCGATCAAATGGCAGGTGAAGATGTCGATTTACTTTTAAAGGGTTGTGTTGAAAACGGAAGGGTTGATTGCAAAAGCCTCACAACAAAAATAAAGTATGGGGAAATCATCACAGAATAAACGTCCCTTTCTCTGTACTTTTCTAGCACATAAAGAAGCCGAGGGGCTATAAAATCAGTTTACTTCATCACCAAGTGCCCCTAGAAAAGGGCTCCTGGACCTTGTCCAATTCGTTCAGTATCACAGTCTGCTTCTGGCGCTCTTGCAGTGCATCGTCCACCTCCTTTAGGATTTTCTCTCCCATTCCTCTTAGATCTTCCAAAAGATCAATCACTTCATTCTTGTTCTGTGTAACACAAAGTTTCTCTCTTTTTCCCAGTGGGAGATATGCTCTGTATACGCGGTCTAGCAGAGTACACTTTCCTTCTTCCTTCTTGAATCGATTATAGACACCTCCAAAGATCTTTCTGTATATTTGAAGGCATCCATCTATTTTTGACTTGAGCTTCTCAGACCTCATTCTCAACCCACCTATCTTCTTTCGCAGGAAATCATATGAATCGTTAATTCTTTTACACGCATCCATTTGCAAGGACTTCCTGTGCTCAATCTCGTCTCCCTTCAAAAGCACAGGCATCATTGTTGGGTCGCTTGTCAAAGAAATATTCCATAAGGTCTCCGGAAAATCCAAGGGGCGTACAAACGGTCCATCAACCTTATTGTAAAACACATACTTGAACTTATAGCTCTGGGAAGAAGGGTCATAGCTCTTTTCGATGTTGTCTATTAGGGTTAGAAGCTCTTGGTCTTTCTGTATCTTATATTCCATGGGTTCCACCGGCCAGCGGGGTTTAATGAGAGACTTCGAATAATAAATTTTAGTTTGTTTTATTGCTACGAGGATGGATATGGAAAAGCCTGTAATCATGAGCAAAAAGAGGCAAGAATATAATGAGTTTATTGCCAACGACACTAGCTGGAGTGAGCAAAGAACATCGCTGATAGAATTATACGACACATACAGGATGTATCGGGATGCTGATGCGGCTGGAGATACAATGCCTGATATCTCGATAAAAGCCTCTTCCAAGATATCAAGAGGAATGAGCACAGCCAGATACAAACTACATCTTGTCAAATTAGCTCTCACCGATGGACGCCCATTTAAATTCAACTTCGAGGCCAGAAGACACTGCTTTAACCAAGCAAACATTGTGTTTCTACTTGCAATGGTTAAAAACAATCCCGAACTTGTTTACTCGATGCTCAGCAAGGGCTTTCCCTGCAATATCAACGCTCCAATATTTGGGAGCCAAATGTTTCCAACCTACTTTCATCTTGCGTGCGCAATGCATCGCGACATACTATCCGTTTTCCTACGATTTTCACCAAACTACTCGCTATGCTGGAACGGACTTACTCCACAGATGATTGCATCGTTCAATGGAAGATCTCTGGAGGCCAAGCAGCCCTTTAACTTTGTCTCAATGAAGCAATACAGGCTGTTAAACTTATTCAGGGGATTCAATTTGGCTGAAGCAGACGAAAAACCTATTTTCTTGATAGATTTTTTATGCATGGAAAATGACATGGAAAGCGCTAGAAGAGTGCTTAATAGAAACCCAGAGCTATCCAGAGTAAGCAAGCTTTGCTATTTAGTTCAGGACGATATAGAATGGATTATGTTTTTCAGTAGATATCAAACATCTGTACATCAAGAGTTCAATGGGATTTCTCCTCTACACATAAGCGCTATCAGTGACAATTTTGAGACATTGGTTGCATTCATAGCACTAGGAGGTCATATAAACTCTAGAGACAAGCTAGGGAACACACCAATGCACTACTGTGCAATGCTAAAGCATTTCAGGTGCTTAGAATTACTCATTAGGCTTGGAGGAAACATGACAATGGTAAATAGAAATGGTGTTAGTACTGAAGACATCTTACTTGGTCAGGACAAGGTTTTTGATATCAAAGAAGTTGATGTCGGCCTTTCCGAAGCACTCTTTCAGATTTTGGGAAATTCTGTCGAGTTCAAGCATTATCTATCAATTGTCGATAGAATCAAATACAACTGTAACCATGTAATCATCAAAAAGAATAGATTCACGATAACATCTCTATTGAACTTGCCGCACAAAATTGATTACACGGAAGACCTTATCTACAAAATTAGCATAATTAGGGATACAAAAAAAAACAAACATCCTCCACGCAGGACACTCCAGATGTTTCTAGAGCACATCCAATAAAGCTGCAGGTTTGAAACCCTAATGGAGGGATACAGTAGCTGTAGGGTTATCATCGGAAATGAAGCAAGAGTAATTCCAGAGGAAGAGAGGGCCATCCCAGAGCTCACACATGAATGGAAAGCCTATGTCAAAGCGCCACCCGAAATAGTCAAAAGAGTTGAATTTAAGCTCCATGAATCCTTTAGCAACAGATTAGTGAGTAAAGAATACCCATTCGAGGTTATAGAGAGGGGATGGGGCGAGTTTAGTATTCAGATGAAAATTGTTTTATTCAATGGGGAGAAGATAGCAACGAGCCATTTTTTACAGCTTCATGGTGATTCTGATATAATCGTAAACGAAAGAATTGATGAAATTGTATTTAAAGGCAGTGGAAATGAAAGCACTATCCTGGAAGAGGAGGAGGAGGAGTATGAAAGAATAGAGACAGGCATTGTAAATATGCTGGAGAAGTTCAAAGAGATTAATGAGTAAAAGTGTTATGGTTACCTGATATACAATAATTGTGAGAGTTCCAGCCTGCAAATTAATAAATATATGAGCTACACAATGTAATTGTATTGTTACAGTTCAAATATCGGTTCTAAGTGTTTATATAAGCTGGATACTTAACCTTGCCATCTCATGACAGAAAAGGCCTATTCATTCCATTTTTAAGTAATACCAGAGTAGCTGCAGGGCTTGGCTGGTGCTTGATATTTTGTATATAGCAAATAGAAAAGTGAAGGCTTAAGCTCGCATAGGCATTGCCATTGAATACCTCAACGTCACGATCACTTGTATCATTGTTCATGGCCCTATAGAAACTAGCATCCAGTTTCCAAAATAAGACTCCAAAGAATTAATCAGGCTGTCACTTTTCCACCAATATCTTACTTGTACTATTGAATCAAATTTCTCTTAAGACGTAATGATGAGAAATAGTGCTAGCGAATCAAAGTTTTTTACAAAAGTATATAAGCAGATGCACAAGCCTCTTCAATGGGTATTTCAAGAGAAAACTGTGACCACAGCTCAAGCTCTCAGTGCAAAGAATGCTCGAATGATAGGTCTTACGAGCGTAAAGGCTCAGAGATGAGAGACAAGACTAAGGATACGACTAACGAGGCTATGGGAAGAACTGGAGATGCTGCCAGCAGGACCAAGGACCAAACAAAGGATAAGGCATCCGAATGGGGAAATAAGACTAAGGATACGACTAACGAGGCTATGGGAAGAACTGGAGATGCTGCCAGCAGGGCCAAGGATCAAACAAAGGGCAAGGCATCCGAATTGGGAGATAGAGCAAAGGAAAAAACAGGTGAGACTAAGGAGGAGGCAAAGAATAAGACGTCCGAAATAGGAGACAGAGCAAAGGAAAAGGCAGGAAATTTCAAGAGCAGCATAGACAACAAGGACAAGAATGAGGTATATGAGGACATCAAGGATAAGGGAAATAAGGCATGGAATAAAACAAAGGAAGTTGCTAGTAGTATGAAGGATGGAATCAAGGACCTCACCAATAACGATGAGCAAAAGAAGTGAATTAAACACTCTAGCTTATTTTTACTCTTAGATTATTCCTATAACATATAGTTATTACAAAGGATTGCAGATGTTTAACTTTTTTTAAAGCTTAATATTGATTATTTTTTATAGCTACAATAAAATGACATAGATTATTTCTTCGAAAATATTACTAATTACAATTTTAAGACTGCCTTAATGTTGCTCTTATTTGTATATACTTTGTTTGTATTGTTTTCATGTTGCAGGGGAAGCATGATGGACTCAATACAGATTAATGAAGTACTACCAAGAGAATCTGGGATTGTCATAGAACAGGATGGGCTAATAATGCTTCAGAACGTTACGAAGAACATAAAGCAGTTCTTAGGGGGAGAACCGGTCAAAATTGCCAGGATCGGTACAGCATATAGTAATGTAGTCTACATGTTTGAAATAGACGGAAATAGATACATTTACAAGGAGTTTCAAGAGTTTGATGAGCAAGATGAGATGATAAACAGTATTATAGGAGGGGAGCGTGTAATAGAATCAAACAGTGAGTTTAGGATTGAGAAGTGTCTAGAAGGAAGACATGCGATCATCAAAAGAGATCTGAAGAGGATTGCATCTGAACTTCGGAAGTTCCATGATACACGTATTGAAGGAGTACGGAGCTATGAGGAGATGGTAAAAATCATGCTGGTAAAATGTATAGGAGAGATGATTAGAGAAGATGAGAAAGAAGAAATAAGTCTTTCATGTGTAGAGGAAAATATAAGAAAGATTAGGAGCTCATGTGAAGCAGTGCTTTCTGATTCCGATCGTATTATTTGGATTTTGACAAAGGTGAGAGATAAGGTGTTTGGGATACCCAGAGGGGACTTTAAAGAAGTAATGTGCCACAACGACCTTCAACCGGGAAATATACTAGTAAGTGAGTCCAGTGTTGTTTTCATAGATTTTGAGTTTGCTGCAATGGGATCGCCTGTGATCGACATAGCTAATCTGTTTTGCGAATCTGGGTACGACTACTCAAGATATATGTTTGTGGATGACTGCTTCCCAAGCACAGAAGAGCAGATGGAGTTCATTCAAGAATACATGGGAGACTCTAGAGACTGCCTGGAAATAGTAGAACTTGTAAATGGTGCAATGGCATACAGTCACTTTCTGTGGTATCTCTGGGCACAGTGTAACAAGCGATGCGGGTGCTCAGAACATTTTGACTACGTGAAGTATGGAAACTCGCGATTGCTAGAGCTGCGTAAGAGAGGTTTTGTAAGTGCCTCAGAATATGAGGTGCTCCGAATGAACGAAAGAAGATGAGAAGTAGAGAGTATTAGGTTTATTAAACAAAATTTCAGGAACTTTTAAAAATTAAATGCTCAAAAGGGTAAAAATACATGATCTATGTGTTTATTCTCTTGCAGGTTCTAAGGGTTTTGAGCGGTTTGCGCTGTGATTCTGGAATGCTGCCTATCACCAATGAGGAGATGAGCAGGATTAAAAGAAGTGTTCGAAGTCTTCTGTGGGGCCACCCTTCAAATGAGTTTGATGACACGAGAATTGAGTTGACAAGGCCTGGGTTCGGAGTGATTTTGCAGGTTGACCCAAAGGGATGGATTCAGAAATTAGTGGATGCCTTGGGAGAAGAGAGAGCACTGACCCGAACACGTGAAGAGAGCTTCCACATGACGATGTTTCAGGTACATATCATGATTCAGAAGGATACCTACGACTCTAGCACTCTTCCTCATAACATATTCCCCGTGTTCAATGATTACATTAGCAAAGAGTTAAACAAAATGATTTCTTCTATAAAAGATGTCACGGGGTGCTTTAGGGTCAAGAGCTGTGGAGAAGTGATAGTCCTAGGCAGAAACTACCCGTCACATTTAGCAGCCAGAGTGGATCTCGAGACTATTGATGATTCAATGGAGGATGTAAAGAAGAAACTGAATGGGTTAGGATATGAATGGATCAAGGAGTTTGCAAGGGCATTGAAAGAAGAGAAGGGCTTGGAAGGAGAGGTTGCCTCCTGTGAATCAGGGGTGGGTGTTTTGACGGATGGATGGAGATTTAGTATTGGGTATACATCGAACAGAGACTACAAAACACACATATCGCTTGGGATGCTGAAGTCTGGAAATTGTAAATATGACGAGTTATCTCTATGGGCTAGTGAGGATCCCGAAAGAGAGATTGATATGGACTTTGGAGAAGGAGGAGGAAAAGACGACACAAACAGTAAGGCTGAAGAGCTCTGCAGAGCGAATGAAAAGATCGGAGGTATACTGTTGAGGAGCCTACAGCCTGAAGATCTCTGCGGCTATCTAGAGCTCAAGAAGCAAGTTGAGAGGGCTAGGAAAGGAGAGAGGCCTGAGATGAACAGCAGGGTTCTGAAGGAATGGAGTGCATATTTAGTTTCTTCAAGACTTGGCGATATTCAAGAGAATGCAAGGAAGACGAAGGGCGAGGAGGTGAGATTGATTAGGCTCAAGTACAGCACAATCAACATGAACCGTATTCAGAACTATGAGCCTTATGGAGTCTTTTCCAGATCTACACGAGAAAAAGCTGAGAAAGATGAGGTGAATGATGGAAGCGGTGTAGGCAGAAGAGATAATTGAATCGACAGGAGGTATCTATTCGGATGTAGACTGGTAGTTAGTAGAACTTATTTATTTAAGATTCGAAAAGGCTGGGGAGTTCATTATGTAAGATTAATAAAGACAAAATCGCCATAAAACCGTAGGCGATTATAGCGATGACTAGTATGATGACAGGGATGGCTACTCTCCATAGCCTGGTTGGACTGTCATACTTTGCAGATGGAAAGTACTTCTCTTTCCACGACCTGATCAGAGTGAGAATGGCAAGAATGACGGTAAAGCAAAGCATCCAGGCATTTTCATCAATGTTAAAGACGATACAGGCGATGAATGGTGCTGGAATGGACAAGAGAATCAGCAGATCAAGAAGGATGTCGACGGTGTTGGCAGTTGTGTAGTGAAAGTTGGACTGAGCAAGACTACAGGAGGTGGAGAGTAAGTAAGTAGGAGCGAGCAAAGGAGGTAGCACTATAGAAAAGATAATTTTGGAATCTTTGTCCCATTTATCAATGAGAAGTGCAATGATTGAGAGGAACGAAATGATTGAGAATAGAAGAAGGAGAGTGTTGAGGAGGAAGGCTAGGGCAGACTTGAGTGTAGATAGAGACTCACATTCTTCCTTTCTGTTGTTATTGAATAAAACAAAGTACTGTATTCCCGAGTATAGGAAAGGGGGAAGGACTATGGCAAGCTGAGGAAGTGTGTTATACCGGATAGTATCTTCTTCTAGTAGTAAGTAAGTGATGATTGGGAGGATGATGGATATCGGTGCAGCACATATTTGTATGATGTCCCAACAGTCTAGCTTCACTTTGCGTTCTTTTGTATGCTTGTCAGTTAGATCTAATTGCGAAACATTTATATTGACGTTCATTGTGGGTGGAAAGAGGGTGAATAGTACAAAAAATGGGTAATTATACATTTCGGGATAGGATGAGTGAGCTCTTGCTGTGGAGCTTTCAGATAGCATTGTGTGATGCAGTAATATGGCGGTAAGGCTGGCAGGATTGATTTGTGTGAGGCGTAGTTGTAGACCCCTGTGGTTGAACGAGTGATTGGGCAATAGAGATGTTAGGGATAAAGGAGGTGCTATATCGAATAAGATTGCAGAATGGAAAGTATAATAAAAGGAGGAGTATGGCTGGTAAGAGGACCCATGAGGTTGCCTACACTTGAAGCACTCATTCTGCTTGACAGGATCTGGTCTTCACTCATGGTAGAGGAGTTGAGGTTATTGAGTTAGAGGAGTCAAAAAAGGCTGTGGTGTTTCCGCTAGTTTTCTCTGGAGCTAATGCTGTTGTGCTACCGAACACAAGATTCAGGGATCTGAAGAGAGGTACGGGAGAGGAGATGCGAGCGAGGGAGTTTGTCAGTTTTATTGGAGGGGTTGTATTGTCGTTTACATTCTATGACATATATTTTGAAGGAAACAGCCGGTTTGAGGCGATATTCAAAAGAGAGATGGAAGAACACATAGGAAAAGTGTCTGAGGATATATGGAATATATACATAAGAGGGAAAAATACGCTCAGTGAGATTCTAGAAATGGCGTATAACAAGGTGTTCCAGTGTGACGAGAAGAGCAGAAGGAGCAGGAGAATGACGGTTTTTGGGAAGTGCATTATTGATGAGGCCAACAAGATGATAGGGGAGATAGCTGATGACATGGACAAGGAAGTAAGAGACAATGTGGAAGGATTTTGTAATTATGTTAAAAGTTGTGGGGAGAAATGCTGTGATGTGGAGAGATGGAGGCGGATAGTTCGTGCAGAGAGTATAGTATGCAATGCATCTGTGAGTCTGTATAGTAAGCTTCCTGAGGAGGAGCTTTTGGGGTTGTTGGCTGAGGGGTGCACCAAAAAGACTCTTAAAAAGAAAGGACTTAGTGAGGAGGAACTCAGTGAAAAAGGATATGTAGAATACAATATTGTTGATATTAAATTATTTCTAGACACGTATGATAAGTACGGGTGTGAAGTTGTGGAAGAGATAGTT